CCTCTCGGCCTCGATGCAGTCAAAAGAAACTGAAAAAGGCCTAAACGTGTGTCTGCAACAGAAAGGGTGACCAGGTTGTCCCCTAAATAACCACTCTACAAGGTGTCCCAGTGCCAGACAGGGCATGTCCATTCCAAATGAAAAATCCCACCCCTTGGGTGATCTGGAAAGCTGGTACAGAAAATAGAAAATATGTCCTTACTAGGAGAGGCAAAAGGCCACACAGGACTATATAGCCTTTGTGATTTTGTTCAATGAAGCGTCTTGGTCTCGCTCTGCAGAGTTCCAGCAAGTGAGGCTGCCCAGCCCTGGTCCCTGGCCGCAGCATATAAGGTAAATGGATACTGGTCTTGCTTTGAGTGGCTGCAGGTATTTAGGAGTGTGCTGGCTATGTTTTTATGGGTAGATCTGCTGTTCTCCTGCTCAGGTGTGAGTTGGAGTGCGCAGTGGTGGCTTCACCTCTTTCCACTATCGGTTCCTCAAACTAAGTTCCCATCAGTTCTGTTCCCCCACTCCCAGAAGACTGCAGGCCTCAGGGAAATCGGGTTGGGGAAATTCAAAGATGTCTTTCAAGAACCAGGGAAGCACTGAGGGGCTTTTCTTCATGTAGAATCCCTGATAATACAGGAAAGGGTTCTAGAAGAAGGGAGAACCATGAGCAGGACCCAGGACCCACTCATGATGTCACACCCACACCAGTGTCCTTACTTCTCTGGCTACAGACAGCTAGCTTCAGACTGGCCTCCAGCTAGTGGAAGGAATTAGAAAAGGACAAAAATCTGTCCTACCACCCTCCAGCACTGGCCGCAAGCCTGCCATGGATGCTGCCCCGCATTGAGCAAAACCGCATCTCCAAATGTAGACATGGAGATCTTCTGTAGTTGTACCAGATCACCACCACGGGAGTCATCATGGGCCAGCAAGGGTACCCCAGAAAAAGAGTGGGGTGGCAGGCCAGGCCAGACACTGCCGATTCAGCACCCAGACACGGACAGCTCCTGGACCATGAAACCCACAGGGGGCCCGCTTCCTACAAAAGCCATCTCTCACCGTCAAGCCTCCCAGTGAAGCCACGCTGGACCTCCACTTGCTTACGTTGCATGATGACTCTAGTCTCCGCACAATTTCCTACACAGTGTTGGAGGGCCCTGTGGAGCCTCGGGAGTCACCAACGCTATAGCAAGCCTCCCGGAGCTCTGGAGCCTAGCTTACCAAACATTCCTCTCTTCCCTTTTTCATGCTCCCCTCCCACATCTTCCTCCCAGCCTCTGTGGTCAACCCCTCCCATAAACCATCGGAAAATAAATAAATAAGCAAGTAGGTCATACCCGACCCCCCAGACTGGATAGAATCCTTTTCCCGCCTGTTCCGATCTTCTGCCAGCCTAACCGCATCTTTCTCCATTCTGTATCCCATCAGCCTGGAAACCCGGAGAGCTCGCCTATTCCCCAGAACCAAAGCCCTGCAAAGAGACTGGTACTACTAAGAAACTGGGGGCCCGAACAAGCCCCACTTTGCCCTGTAAACGGGTCTTGGCCACCAGCCTAGTGTTAAGCTGGGTTCAGCAGGACCCAGGCCCGATCCCTCTGAAGAGTGGGGACTGGGTGAAGGCAGTTCTTAGGAGACACCTGATTCCCGAGTCTCTTGAAACAGCCTCACAGGCTCCCTCCAGCTCAAGGTCCTCCGCCAGCTCAGAGCTGCTTAGGGTTCCCTAAACCGTTTCTCAATCACCAAGGGCTCCCTAGCCCGAGGACCAAATGCTCGAACAACACAGCATCAGGGGCCCCATACACTTTGGAGGTTTAAGCACCTTTGACTAGCCGTGTCAGACATACCCTTGCCCAAATACCCTGGCTTCTTGAGGCCTCCGCTCACAGGCCAGAAAATAAACCCCGAGGGTATCTGGGCCTGTCCGGGGCAGCCGCTCCGTCGGGCACCCACCTCGGCGCAGGTCGGCCCTCCGTGCCAGCAACGCCAGCAGCAGGTCACCGCTCGCCGGTTCCCGGGCCGGGTCCAGCTCCCCTCGAGCTTCCATGGGGCCCGAGGGCCGGCCGGGTGCCGTCGCCTTCCGACCCTGAACTTCTCTTGGGTCTGGCGAGGCCACCGCTGCAGAGACTCCGAGCTGGCGTCGGAGCGACTCGTGTCGCTGCTGGGCGCTGTGCCCACGGGAGGCCTCGGGGCGCCAAGCCACGGGCCCGCGGAGGGCGGAGCGGCGGGAGGCGGGGCCGCGGGCGGGGCTGGGCCGGGGGTCGCGGAGACGCTCCCGAAGCCACTGGAGGCTCTGTGCTCCTTTGAGCCAGAACCCGAGGTGTGCTGAAGCCGTCCGGCTCGCACTTTCCGAGGATAGAGACAGCGCTGTAACCCAGTCACGGCTTCCCACAGATGGTCGCCCCTGCCCCGAAGCGAGTTCACTAAGGCTCCGGGAGGGCTGAGGTCCTGAGTGTCAGGGAGGGAAACGCGTTCTCCTATTGCTCACGCTTAGCCTCTTAGCCGGAGCCGGAAAGCATTGGTACCACACCTGGTCAGCAGAAGGGCAACCTGATAACCACCGAGGGAATGTAGCTGCAAAGAAGCCCCGGTAGAGCTGCAAGTAGCCCGACTTGACGCCCCCTCTCCAACTCTGACACTTCCGGACCCCACCTCTGGAGCCGCCGACTGGAGCTAGTGCAGGGAGAAGGAGGGATTCTCGATTCTTAGAACCTCAGGTCTGGTGTCCTCTGTGGGAACACAGAACCAAGACTCTGTCTAGGTCGGGAAAAGAGCTGAGGCGTGGAAGCCCTGGGATCTAGCCTCATTTCTTAGGACAACCCCTGCACCTGGATTTCCACATGTTGCCCCCCCATCATAACAGGTGAGCCCACCAGAACCCATCCCATTCTCAGTGTACCCTCACTGAGCATTCACAGGACTCAGTCAGGAGACAGGTCTGTGCAGTCACCCGCCATAAGCAGAACCCAGCAGAGTGTAGGGCTCTGACAACTGTCAGGGACACTCAGAAAGTGGTGCTGCTACCCTCCTGGCTCCTCTGTCTGCCCTGCTCTGCTTCTGTCCCTAGGACTGTGAACGTTAAGAGCCCAGGGTGGGGAGGATGAGCGAAAGGACACAGGATGTCCCACCTGCTCCCAGCAGCACACCTGACGCCTCAGCAGGAGCCCTGTGCCTGCATTCAACTCTTTGTGTTGCTCTGTACTTGTTATTCCAAGAAGATCAGAGAACACCAGCTTGGAGTGAAATGGGCGCTGGGTGAGCTGGGATGCGCCATTGAGTGTCAGCTGCTACAGAGGCGTGGGGCGGGGGCCTGTGCAGCTAGACACTAGGGAAGGGGCGGCCCCACACTGCTGGGCATCTGGCTTGCCTCCAACAATGCCTCCATTATTTTCCAACGTCCATGGCAATGAAATGGCCCTTGGGGATCAGAGTTCAGGCGGGAGACTTGGCCTAGGGACCCTTGCTATAAGGCAGAGCAGTTTTAGAAGCTGAGGGGCATTTGATCTTTAGGGTTCTTTATGTTCCTTACTCTGCCCCTTCTTGACATCGTCTCAGGCCGTCCCAGATCATCCTGGTCACTCTTGACCCTGTGGCCTCCCTGTACCCCCTGGCCGCTATCACTCCCTTTCTCTGCAGTCATTCTTATGCTGCTCCCTCCCAGCCACTCCTCTGAATTCTGTCTCTTCTCTCCTTCCCGCATTGTATGGAAGCCTCTGGGTTGCAATGGCTTACCTCGAGCCCTGCTGAAGGTGCAGAGGGCAGGAGCTCCGGGGGCACCAGACCCCCCTCGGTTGCAATCAAGTTCCGCTTCCAACAGCATGGCAGTCACTAATCCAGTGGTTGGTGCAGCGTGTTCCTTGGAGTGCCGGATTTCTTCCAGGCCTTGGCCCACTCGCAGGATCGGCGCTGTCCACGGTGCTGAAAGAGGCACTGGCGTGCTGGGGCCCTTCTCCAGCCTGCCTTGCCCCTCCTCTGTCCCCGCCCTTGGCCCCTTCCAGGCCTGGGCAGGCGGAGTCAGACTAGCGTCACTCCAGAGCTGGGTTTGACCAGTTTATGAAATGTGGTAGTCCTTTCCCAGGACTTTCCTTTACCTGACATAGTAGCACAGCAGCTCCAACTTGCTCTGCTCTGGGCTCTGGGTCTTGGTTGGAGGTGCCATGTTCACCATGTTCACAGTATGCAGGTTTGGGAGCCTCAGGGTTGTTAGCATGGGACTCAGCCCCCCCACCCCCTGGGCGGAGGCAGACTCTAGGTCCAAAGGCCCTCTGCTCCAGGCACAGGTCAGAGACCTCCAAATGCTGTTGGTGGCCTTTAGAACTCTCCATACTCAACCACCTGTATCCAGTACTCTGCAGGCCGATTTTAGACCCTCCTCTCCAACCCCCACCTCTATCATATGTGCAAAACCACCTGCTACTTCAGGGCTCCTCACAGAAGCTCCCAGGTCCCTGCAGGGCCATCTGCTATACACACACTGTCCCAGGCTGACAGACCAGGGATAGCACAGATGGGAAACTTGGTGAGAGCCTTGCAGCTTCTGGGTTGACTGGTCTCCCAGGATCTGGCAGCCAGGAGCACCTCTGTGGGTTCAGATCAGCGTGAGGTGCACTTGTACTGATCTCTGCACTTTGTTAACAAAGGTGCAGGCCCCGCAACTCTGCCACAGCCCATTCTCATTCTTCACTTTCTGCCTGACCTCTGGGCTGTCTTCCCACAAAGCCTCTAGTTTATTTACGCAAGAAATTCTAGCTGGGCAACGGTGGCACACACCTTTAATCTCAGCAGAGGCAGGTGGACCTCTGTGAGTTCGAGGCCAGCATGGTCTACAGAGAGAGTGCCAGGACAGCCTCCAAAGTCACACAGAGAAACCCTGTCTCAGAAAAACAAACAAAAAGAAATTGTAAAACTTCAGAGCTGGGTTTGCAAACTAGAAGGGGCTTAGAGCATTTTCTGAATCCATCTTAACATACTGCTTTTCACATTTCAAAACAAAAACCAAACTGCTAACTTTATCAAATGTCAGATCTCTTTATTCTTAAAATGTGCACAGTAGTTGACTTAAATACAAAATGTACCCTTTCTTTGCAGGTAAGAAATTTCACTGGCATTTTCATGCCAATTGGCTTTTTAATCAAAATCTTTGCATTGAAAATAAATAAACATTTAAATTACTGAACTATTATATCCACTAATTGCAATACATCTCATAATACTTCAGACTTTAGAAGCTGAGCAGGGCCCTGTAGGAATGGAAGCCTTCTAACTGCGGAATGGACAGTCCAAACAGAGATGTATGTGGGGAGCTTGTCCCCCAGAAGGATGACCTTGGGACTCTACAAGAGTGGTTGAAAGTAGGCTCTGCCCAGGGTTGGCTTCTGCAAACATCAGCCATGTCAGACCTTGTGGGGTACTGTGGCAGCCCTGGGGTCACAGTTACAGAAGTCCCCTCAGCAATGCTCCCAGTTCAATGTGGGTTCAAAGCATTTCTCTTTGGAGCTATGCTTAAAACAGGTCTGATTTTTCAAGCTGACAGACCAATGGTATATCAATAACCTAGACACACAGGCAGCAATAAGGACAAACTCATCTTTTTCTTTTTTTCTTTTTAAAAAAGCACAGGATTCCAGGTTTCCCTCCTGCCACAGGGAAGTGAGACAGGAGGTTCAAGTGGCTGGGCCCAGGCCATGCCTGTCCCAGCAGGGAGGCCTGGCTGATCCTCCCATGGGATAGAAGGAGGGTTAACAACAGCCCAAGGAGTCAGCTGTCCATTTTTTTAAAGTGGCAGCAGGAACATTGATAATACAGGATTTTAAATGATACCCATGTGATCAGCTGTTGTTGGAAAGGATGCAAATATAAAATATAGATTATGCAAAGTGGAATGTATATTTACCCATGTAAGTACAGAGGTACACACATTCATCACACAGACACACACAACCACACATACACAAAGCTAGCTTACTTTATCCAAATAAAAAGAAGCTCCTGAGCCATAACAGGTCTCAGTAGGAATGTTTCCATAAATGTAGATGTAGTCTATGTTTTTTTAAAAAAGTCTTTAGGCACAAGTTTACCATTCAGAGTTTTGGGATTTTACAAATGATGTATTTAAACTGTTAAATTTTTGTTTGTTTTGGTTTTTTGAGACGGGGTTTCTCTGTATTGTTTTGGAGGTTATCCTGGAACTAGCTCTGTAGACCAGGCTGGCCTCAAACTCACAGAGATCCACCTGCCTCTGCCTCCCGAGTGCTGGGATTCAAGGCGTGCGCCACCAACGCCCGGCTAAATTTTTGTTTTTAAAGTTACCCTCAAGGCCAGGTGGCCTCGTGTGCAGGGGCCATTGCATGTGCCCAGCATCTGTGCCTCCACCAATGCCTTCTGCAGTGTATATGAGTCATGACAGGGGCTCTAGAGGCTTTCCAGAGACTGTACTCCCGCAGAGAACAGTGCTCACCACTGTGCTGTCGGGCAGAATCTCACCACAGGGACCAGAACTGAACTACAGCCTGACTGCGATGGCCTCCTATCTGCTGTCACCGCCCTTCCCCTTCTGAGTCTCTAAGTGTCTCATCCCCAAAGGTGACCAGACCTCCCTTCTCAACCTCAGAGCACCTTGAGCTCCCATGAGAGCGCCTGAGACTTGTGCAGGAACAGCTACACAGCACACATCTGTGGCAGGGTGTGATATCTGGAGGCCTCTGTGCTTTGGCTGTTCATCACTGGACACGGCCCCCAGGGAGCCAGGGTTGGGGGTGGGTAAGGGAAGGCAAACATAGATGTGAGGGAGCAGCAACATGATGGCTGTGTGCTGGACCTGCCTCCTTCAGGCCTACAAGGGCAAATACACACCAGTCTGACACGGAGGCTGGGAAGGTGAGGACAGGGTGGCAAAGGCAAAATGTTCCAGTAAAAACAAAACAAAACATGCTCCTCCAGACACCATGCTGGGCACATTTCCAAAATCCCTGATCCCAACATTAAAGCTGCAGGTGTGTGGGTGACTTCAAAGGCTTCCTCTGTGTTGTGATGCCTGTCCTACGTGTTCTATACAGCTGGGTGGTAGAGCCGAACTTTCCATCGCTTGGACCTCACTCGGAAGAAGAAGTACATGATCATGAGGAACAAGGAGGAGGCCACATAGAGCACCACACAGAGGCTCATGTCCAGACTGGAGAAGCCAACCCCAAGGAAGGGCACTGCTGCCTTGGCCTCTTCAAGTGCCTGGAGCCCCTTAGGGCTCTGGAGTCTTAGGTCCAGCCTGTGGTGCAGGTTCTTGGGGCCCAGTATGTGGGGTGGACGGAGACTCTCAGCATCCTGATGGATCCAGGACTTTCCTGAGGGGTTAAGACCTTCACCCTCTTCCTGCTCCCTGCCAGGAGCTCCCCAGTCACCAGGACTGCCCTGGTCCACAGAGTATGTATCCACCAGGTTGTCCCTGCTATAGTGCTGCTTCAGGAACACGAGTACCTGGTCCTCATTCCAGCTGTCCAGGCCTTTAATTTCATCATGGCAGGCTGGACAGAGGTCTGGAGTGGGCCATGGAACCTTTGGAAATTTGGGATCCTCACTCAGATGGCCTAGGAGGGAGGCAAGGAGAAAACCAGAGAAACCTTTTAGCCATAGGATGCAAGGTCTCACCCCATCTACCACCAGCTGTGCCCCCTGCCTCCCTTCCTGCCTCCCTCCTTCCCCACTCAGGGTATCCAATGCATGCCCTCTTCTTTCTGGCAAGCCCCCCCACCTGCGTGCAAAGGAGGGACCCTGCATTCTGGGCTCTACTTGCCACTCAGGGGACTACACTCTGTTGTAACCCACCTAGACCCTCCCTCTTTCATGGGTCCATGAAGCTCTCACTTTCTCACTTTCTGTGTCTCCCTCCCCCCATTTTTTTTTTTTTTTTTTTTTTTTTTGTTTTTTTGAGACAGAGTTTCTCTGTGGCTTTGGATGCTGTCCTGGAACTCACTTTGTAGACCAGGCTGGCCTCGAACTCACAGAGATCCGCCTGCCTCTGCCTCCCAAGTGCTGGGATTAAAGGCGTGCGCCACCAACGCCCGGCCCCTCCCCCCCATTTTTAAAGAAGGATTTTTCTGTATTAATAGCCCTAGCTGTCCTGGAACCCAACCCCTAGGCTGGTGGTAGGAATGGGGAGCAGGTAAGGAATCTTATGAGTAACATCACGCCAGCCCCTTCCCACTGTGGCCTAATGATGTGGGCACTTTTGCTTGGGGACAGATGACAGCAGGGCCCCTGGACTAGGCAGGCCCAGCTGGTGCCTTGTTCTGGTTGCCTCAAAGCCAGGCGCCTGGAGTGTGGGGAGGTAGAGTGGTGGGAGGGAGATAGGGAAGGCATTAGGGAGAAATCCCTGTACAAGGGCCACTGTTGCAGCGCCTTGAGACAAAGCAAATCCGCTACGCGAAAGGCACCGTCTGCTTCTGGTGCCAAGAAAAACCAATTTTCTTTAGTGCTTTAGTTGTAATATGTTTTATAATACAGCGGATTAAACAAAAACCAAGAGTTTAGTGACATGTTCCGTTCATCTCTATTAAATTCATTTCTCAGTAGAATTACTCTTAAGCCTAATTTTAATCTGCCATTGATTTTGGAATAGCAGGAATTACTTAACTCTGACAGACTACATGTGCCCTCTATTTTGTTTTCTTAAAACAAAATCACTTTGTGAGGTCTGCTTAACAATCTGAGATTTGTGTGTGTGTACATGTTTGTGTATACATATTAGTTAGTGCGTATACATTCTGGAAGAGGCCAGAGGTGGACACTGAGCACCTTCATCATTTGCTCTCTGAGACAGGGTCTTTCATTGAACCTGGAGTTTGTAGATTTGACTGGGATACACTGGCCAGCAAGACCCAGGGATTGTCTCTACCACCCCACCACCAGAGTTAGAGGTATGTGCTACTGCACACACATTGTTTTTTTCAAGACAGGGCTTCTCTGTGTAGGCCTGGTTATCCTGGAACTCCCTCTGAAGACCAGGTTAGCCTTGAACTCACAGAGATCCTCCTGCCTCTGCCTCCCAAGTGCTGGGATTACAGGCGTGCACCACGAATGCCAGGCCCAGATGTTTTTAAGAGATCAACTCAGACCCGCATGTTTGAATTTTTACAAATTGAACTAAATCTTCAGCCCCTGAGAACAGATTTTAAAGACATTAAAAATGTTTAGCAGCCGGGCGTTGGTGGCGCACGCCTTTAATCCCAGCACTTGGGAGGCAGAGGCAGGTGGATCTCTGTGAGTTCGAGGCCAGCCTGGTCTACCAAGCGAGTTCCAGGACAGCCTCCAAGACAATACAGAGAAACCCTGTCTCGAAAAACCAAAAAAAAAAAAAAAATGTTTAGCAAAATTTCTACAGGCTGTTTTTTTTTCAGAGTTCAGAATTGCTGGTGGTAAAGTTGGGGAGGGGGTATCGAAGGGAGATATGGGAGAAGCAAGAGCCCCATCAGTGTCTACAAAGGCCAGAAGCTCCAAAGTCAATGTGACAACAGTGGCCTGAGACACTCAGAACAAACAATGGCAAGAGGAAACCAACTAACTGTCCCCAAACACACTGACCGGGGCACCCTCGGCAGCCTTGAAGTGGGCTGGACCCTCCAAATCCAGGCTCAAGGTATGTGCTTGATAGTGTCAGGACAGCAAGGAACACGCAGGCCCCTTACCAGCCAGGCGGCTGTTCACCATGTTGTGCTTCTTCCAAAGCCAGAGAACAGCTTGGTCTCGGGTTTTCACAGAATTCATGGACTCCTTAGCCATTTCTTCAAAATGCTCGCCACATTCTTTGCAACCAAAGAATGTGTGAATGTATTTCCTTATGGTCTGTAACACAGCCTGGGGGTCATCTTCAAAACCTGCAGAAGGAAGAAGGCCGTCAGCGCTGTAAGCCTACGGACCATAAAGTCTTGGACCTGTCAGATGGTTCAAACAGGAAGACTCAGGTAGCATCCAGGAGCATGGACTGGCTCCAAGTGTCCCCATAGAGAAGAACCCATGGCATGGTTCCCCAGATACCATACTGCAACTGGAAGTGGAAGGCTGCTCCCGCTGCATGAGGACAGTGGAAATCACACTGGGCACACATCATTAGTATGGGTATTCCAAAGGTTGAGTACCAAGAGGAACAAGCCTCAATAACTCAGATGCCTTAAAAGAGATGTTCTAACATTCCTCCACCATGCTACTGGTTGTCTCTGTCCTTGACCTCATGACCCAAAGGGCAACCTAATTCTAAAAGAGTATGTTTCCTAGGATCTGCCATTCTGCCAGCCGTGTGCACTTTCCTGCTTTGTAACCCCTGAAAGTGTTGCTTGTGGAGATGAGGCTGTCACTCTGAGCCCAGAGCCAACCTGTTTCAGAATCCACAGAACCAGGTCCAAGAGCAAATATGGCTGTGTAAAATCTTCCCTGAGCAGATGGGCAGCAACAGTTACCAGCTGGCCAGCTGCTAGGGCTCCCTCTTGCAGGATGAACATGAAGGCAGGTTGGCAAAGTCTGCACTCTTTCAACAGGACTGGGTCTCTCCAAATGGTAACAGTTTTATTCTTTTGTTTGCTTTGATTTTTGGAAGCAGGGTCTTGCTATGCCACCTTCGTTGGCCTAGGACTTGCAAAAGAGCTCAGGTTGGCCTTGAATTCAAGACCACTACATCTAACTGATGGAGGTTTTTGTTTTGTTTTTTTGAGACAAGGTTTCTCTGTGTAGTCCTGGCTGCCCTGAAACTCACTCTGTAGACCAGGATGGCCTCAAACTCAAGAGATCTGCCTGCCTCTGTCTCCTGAGTGCTGGAATTAAAGGTGTGCACCACCACCACTAGGCTGGTGGTGGTTTTAAAATACAACAGTGAGCATCTGGGGCCACAGTTCACAGTAAAACAGGGGCTTATAGGATAGAAACAGCAGACATGAAGGGTATACAGCATTTTCAGAAAGCAATTCATCCCAAAGGCAGAAGCAAACAGCCAGAGCCAAGCAACCCAACCACACAGGGCTGGGCTGCATCCCAATGTAGATGAGCATGCAAGTAAGGGACCAGCACCACAGACAGGCAGCAAAGTGACAGAACAGAAATGCATTTCCCACTAGGGATGGAGTCTTTCCATCCAGAGCAGCCTGCATGGGAGTCTGCTTCTCAACAGGCCCTGACCTTCAGCCAACAAGAAGCTCTTGGGCATGGGGAGTTACACGAGGACCTTTATACCTGGAAGACAGAAATCCACATACCGCTGTTCCTGCTGGCCTTGAGGATGCCCACGGGTAGCGGGGTAATGCCTGGTGTGAGACCGTTGCTATTCTTGTGACCGCCTGCCTGGCCTCCTCTCCCCACTAGAGCTCTAAACATCTGCCTCACATCACAGTAATCCCTCCTTTTGCCCACTGAACCACCACTCACTCCAGCCCTAATCTTTAAAGTGGACAAGAACCATAAACCACTACCTGGGGGAGGGTTAGACCACGCAGTCAGCACTTTAGTAGACAGCTTTAAATCAGCAGCGAGAAAAGAAAACCTCGAAGACTTAATCCTGCTCCTCGACTGACCCAATTCCATTGGCAGGAGACTACTCTCCTCAGGGGTGCATCAGGCTGTGTTCATGAGGAAGAGAGAGCTGCAGCTGCCTGCCTGAATGTGGTCTGTCATGCAGACATCAAGAATGTATCTTAGGACCTGTGTCTCTGGCTGTCCTGAGCTGTCTTTAAGCACACACACCCCCTTCCCCGCCCCAGCACAAATCAGCAGTGCTAAGGAGCTGGCACAGCAGAAGCATGGTGAGCCAGCACTCACTCCCTTTACCACAGAACTTTCTCCACAGACAAGAGACCTCTGGAGTCAGCCTGTTTCAGTAGTCCTGACACATCAAATCACACAGTGCCATGGGTCTAACCTCAGTGTCTGAACTGTTTCTGGGTTTCTCCCTGGTGTGTGCTCCTCTTTCTTCTGATTTCCAGGGGAATGCGATGTTAAGACCAACTCTCTCCCATCCTGGACATACCCTTTTGGAAAGTGATTTAGGTGCCTCTATGAAGAGGTGGGTCCACTTCTCTAGCTCTGAGTTCAATCTGTACAAATGATACGGCTGAATGACAACCTGCCAAGGCCTTCAGGGTCCTCCCTCATCTTGGCACCTCCTGGTAGGAAGCTGAGGCTGGTCTGCAGGAGTGATTTAATTTACCACCCCCCTTGTGCCCTGATGGTCAATTACCACCAGAAACCCACACAAACAAGCCCATGCCTAGGAATAGAAATCATGCAGTCCAGTCAGACCCAACTGCTGACCCATGCAGACATGAGCAAGAAAAACAGTGGGTGGCTGACCATACCACTTAGTTATAAGTTTATGATGCTACTGGAAAGCAAACTGGATCGAATGGATTCTACTTCGCTTGGTATCAACACGAGTGGACCAAACAGACTACCACACAAGAGCTGAAAGACAAACACGAGTCTACAGCTCCAGAGCTTGATGACCTGGGAAGTACCCACATGGTCACAGGGCGGGTGAGTTCAACACAGGCTAGAGCCTTACGAAGAGAGCAGATGTAATTCTCATCTTGCTATTTTGTCACTGACAGCATCAGTCCCTATCCTAAGGTTTTGTTGTTTTCAACTCCATGTGACAGGCAGCCTCTGGGACTATCCCTGGTCCTTGCTTCTGAGACTCAAGACTCACAGGTTCTTGTTCCCTTGGGAGCAAAGTGGGCCAGAGAGACCAAGATGACAGAAGTGATGAGTGCTGTTCTTCTGCTGGCTCCCAAGATGTGAATGGACCTCAGAGGAGCAGCCAGCAGGCATTGGTAAAGCTTGGAAACAGGTCTATTCCCAGTTGGAATGGGTCTTATTATCCTGAAGCTGAGGAGCCAGTTTAGGCCACACTCAAGATTCCTGACCCATAGAAACTGTAAGACTATGAAAGCAGGACTTGTTTGTTTTTAAGATTTATTTGTTTAATGTATACTGGTGTTTTGCCTGTATATACTCTGTGAGGGTACTGGATGCCCTGGAACTGGAGTTATACACGGTTGTGAACCACCATGTGGGTGCTGGGAACTGAACCCAGGTCCCCTGGAAGAGCAGTCAGTGCTCTTAACCACTGAGCATCTCTCTAACTCGAAAGTAGGATGCTTTAAGCTGCTAAATTTGAGGCTAAATTGTTCTAAAACAAATGACAAATAGTATACCTCACTAAACAGGGTTCACTTGCCTTATTTTCCTGAGTAAACCAAGGTGAGTTTAATTACAAAGATTTCTGGTTTGTCTGTCTTCTCTGTGGCTCCTTTTTAATAAGGCTGTTGTTGCAAAGGGTATGGAACTCTCCCTACTGCCTTCCACGCAGAGCAGGCTGTGCTCATGGTGTCTGCATTCTGAAATGCTTACCCCCAGACTTATCATGTCCCCTGTCCCAACATCTAGAAGACTGGCACTTCATAGACAGCAAAACAAAATCTTGTAGATACTTTTGGTAGTACATGCCACACACTGGAACTAGACAGTGAATGCAGAAGGCCACTCATGCCAGCTCGGTTAGGCAGATGGTTACCTGTGCCAACCAGTGCTTCTGGATGGGTAGAGGCCTGAACCGTCAAAGTGTGAAACAGTTTCCAGAGGGAGCATGGGTAGCCCCTCAACTCCAATCGGCTTCCTTGACATCCCACCCACTTTATGTGGCTGGTAAGAAAGATTCCAGAAATCTGAGGGGAAAACATCCACAAAGAATACAAGACAAGTGTTAAAATTAACACTAGCTGTGAGATGCCTTGGGCCTTGGTTGGGGAGATGACCATACAAGGGTATGAATTTATCAAAGCTTCTCGCTGCATGCCTATATTCTCAGCACTTAGAAGGTTAAGACTGGAGAATCTCAAGTTTGAGGCCAGCCTGGGCTACATGAGAGACCTATCTAACAAACAAACAAAAGAATCAAACAACAATGTAAAAACCAAAAGCCCTGGGTGCTGTGCTGTCTGAGGGCAGCCCTCAGTGTGTTCTTGGTGAGCTGTCCTAGATCTGAAGCCTTCAGTGTAACCTGCCAGCATCACTGAGGTAGGGAAATGGGCATCATAGAAATGGGAACAGCAAAAATCATGAGGCATCTTTACCCAGGGACACAGTTTCCCTCCCTAGGGACATGAGACTTCTCTACACAGGGACAGGGCTTTTCTACATGGGGAGGGGGTTCTCCAAGCAGGAAGATGGGACCTGTGCTGTGTGAATCAACTGACAACAAAGAAGGCACCACAGGTGAGTCGACTCATTCTTCCTTTTTGTAGACTTTGGGTCCTGGCCTGAGCAGGAGGAGGGACATGCTAGGTGAAGGAAAATGGCACGATTTACACTACACACAGCCAAGGCTGGGACTCACCCGCATTTTGTTGTTGACTAGGTCTAGGATGGCATTGTATGGAATCTTGTCCAGGGGGAGGTTGGCCAGCCACTCCTGCAATGTCTCCAGAAGCTTCTTGACTGCCGGCCGGCCGGGGAACAGCTAAGAGAGGAAGGACCCACCCTATAAGATATTGAGAAAAAATGCCACTACCTCCTAAGGTCTGAAAGCAGTATGGAGAGCTGTGACCTTGTGGCAAAGTCACAGAGCAGGGTCAAAGCCCCACACTACACACAGTCCTTTAAGGAAATGGACTCAACCTCAGAGCCAGGCTACCAGGCTAGAATTGGGAGTTTTTCAAGAACTAGAGGTTAGCAGGTGGCTGTTTTACGATGTCAGACAGGAAGACTACTGAGTATGGTATATCATCAAGGGCTCAGTGGCCTTCCAGAAGGCACTGCCTGCATACTTATCCTGTCTTTCTGCAATTCTTCAGTTCCAACAGCCTCTCTTACTGTCTCTAACCAACTGCCCTATAAGCTGTGTGGGAACAGACACCTATCGTAGGCAGGGATGACATGTAGCCTAGTGGCTGACTCACAACACAGACGCCTGGAGAGCAAGTAGCTAAGAGAACCCTGGTGGCTTTGCTCTCCTGAGATAGCATATTGTTCTCTCACTACATGTGCAAAAATAAAGGCCGCTTTGGCTACATTTCATGCTTACAAAGCAGTATGATCAGTTAATCAGCATCAAATTTGTTCTTAAATGTTTAAGTAAATTTTACAACAGTAACTTTTTATCATGATTTAAGGAGCTGTCATCATCATATGGCACATCCTCAGACACCAGAGCTAGCTGAAAGGGCAGGAAGGCAATATACAGAGAAGCACACCCATTGAGACAAGGTTGATTCCTGTAAGCCAACAACGTTAGCCTGGTGTATTTGCTGGCAGGAGGTCATTCCAGGGTAGCAGGTCTAGTGAGACATATAGTTAGTTTAGATGAATACTTTTTGTTTTGGAAACAGGGTCTCTCTACATAGCCCTGGCTGACTTGGAACTCAATAAGTAGACTTAGGCTGTTCTTAAACTTGCATAGATCTGCCTGCCTCTGCCAGCAGAGTGCTGGAATCAAAGGTGTCTGCCACCACCCCTGGCTGGACACACTTTTAAAGAACAAAGCCATCCAGAGCCATCTCAACCTTGACCAGCACAGTGACTAAAAACTTACCTAGCAGTTTCACTGAAATACCTGGCCCATTATTCCTTGAAACATAAAGCTTATTTCCTTTGTTTTTCCAAAGTTACACTATAAATGTAAATATTTATAACCTACCTACCTGGACAAAAGCAATCCTATCAAAGGACTTTCCATGTAGTGAAAGAAGGCATGTAAAATACCTTGCTTCATCCATATACAGTACAAGATAAAGTGGGTCTCATTCTACTAATAGTGCTGTGGGGGTATCTGAAAGGTCAGAAAGCAGCAGGACTACAGCTAGACCAGACAGGGCTGCTACAACCAACAGGAGAGCTCAGGCTTATCCCTGAAGGGCAGGGCAATTCCTCCTCCCTAGCTCTGGGCACTGGAGACGAATACTTGGCAGGAACCAACCCTGACACTTCTCACTCTGTGTCAGCTACCAGAGTGATAGCTTGTACCCTGTACTACACATCACCAAGGTGGAGGTGGTCCCAGCCCATCTAGAAGGTCTTCTGAGCATGTCAAGCTCGCTGCTTAGTCTTTTCCTGCCCCTTCCACCCTTCCCAGCATTAGTCCTGTTCTTCAGGAGCCAGCCATCTGAAGCTGTCAGTTCAAGGTCTCTCTTCCAACCCCTTGGGAGCCCTATCAGGGCCAGAATGGCCACCGAGCACACACCTGCCACACCTAGTGGCCTTCCTGTATTAGCTTTGTTAGGTATCCCTTCATCTACCCCTTAATCCTGCTCAGCGCTTATGCATGGAACTAATTTCCTCACATGGTTACTAGGAGACTATGGCTATGCTGGCTGGTCATCTTCAACCTGATTCTGGCATGGAAGGACCTAGGCTGTGTTGTGTCATGACTTGTTCTTCCCCTGGACACCTAACTCTCCTAGAACCCCATTCTGAAGCTGCCTAGGAGCAGGTCCCCACCTTTGAAATCTATACAACCTCCCATTCCTCATGCCTCATCTATACTTTCCCTCAGCCTGCTGAACCGCCCCGGTTTAAGTGGGGCAGTCAGAGCTCAACAGCGCTCTGCTCCTGTTCTCAGCTTCTGTTGCCCCACCCTCACAGGCAGACATCAGTCAATACCAGCTGATACCAAGGGGTCTAGACTAGCCAGCTACCCACATCGGCAGACAGATGACCTGGAGCTTAGTATCACAGTCTGAGCAGAGCCACGCGTACCTTGGCAATGACAGTCATGAAGTCCCTAAATGTCTTGAGCTGAGCTCCAGCCAGGGACTTGTGGGCGGCCAGCTCCACTCTCAGCAGGTAGTGCAGTCCCGACTCCAGGTCCGCGGCGTACAGCTTGGCCCTGAGAGGACAGTGAAGAGTTAGGAAGGATACTCCCCGCCTTCCTGTACAAGGCTCCTCTTGTTTCTGCCACCACCCCTGCGTGGGAGGCTGACTGAGGAAGCTGCCAAGTGTAGCTCTCTGCGGCACCCAGTCCCCTTCATACTTGCCTGTCAAATTCTTTCCAAACCATAGCCTCTGAATTTTCTTCTTTGTTGGGCTTTTCAGGAAAGGAAAGGGACTTTTTCCTCACATCTGGCAAGGATTTTAAGTAAGAGGAGAAAAATGATCGTAGAGGTTTTGCACTGTGAAAGGAAAGAGAGGATGCTTTTATGGCCGTCCTCGGAGATCATGCAGCCTCTCCAGGTCATAACTTGGAGGAGAGCTGCTCACCCCTCACACACTATTCACCCTGTGCATACACTGACAGAGGTGGTGAAGACACTCAGCTTAGCTGGGCCTCAGGAGCTACCCTCCCATCTGAGATGAGAAGACAGAATACCTAGTCCAGAGAATCACTGACATAGCTGCGGTAAGTACCATAGCTCATGCACACTTGCTAGGTCTGTAAGATGCTTGTGAAGACATTGGAGCATCTGCCAAAACCAGTTTCATCCCAGCTATGATTCCACTGTGTCAGAGGGCCTTCCTGTCACGCTTGCTCTGCCAGCTGAAGCATATCTGGAGGCCAGGCCTGGGGAAGTCACTCCAAAGCTTTCTGCCATCTGCCACTCAGGAACCATCAGTGCACCCAGAGCTCAGTGTCATTTCCACAAAGAATAAAGTCATGCTACTATAAAGTATTAATGAGGCTTTGTGGTAGAGGCTGTAGATGTGACACTCTTGGTGCTATGTGTACATACATTTGTCTTCAGAACTCAACTGCAGTTACTGGGGTAACTGTTAGGGCAGCCTCCCAGGTGCTCAGGGCCCAACCCAAGAAGCTCCATGACCTTGGGTGCCCTGGATTTCTATATTTTTCTTTTTCTTTTTGAGAGAGGATCTCATGTAATCTCTATGTAGCCAAGGATGACATTGAGTTTCTGATCCTCCTGCCTCACCTCCCAAATGCTGAGATTACAGGTATGAGCCACTATGCTTAGTTATGCAGTGATAGAATCAAAGCTAGGCATCCTGCATACTAACCAAGTACTTTGCTATACAATCCACTTCCATACAGCTAAATTATGAGGTGTAACTGTGACTTTGGGAAGCTTCTCCTGCAGCTTAGAACTTTTGTTATCATGTCTATTCTGCTTTCTAAAGCTTTATTCAAGGTCACTTTATTGACCTGGTGCCTGGTGGCCACACCCTCCTCTCACTCTAGTAAGGGCTTGCCGGTGACAACAGACACAACCAAAAGCCCAGAATTAGCCCAGGAGGCACCTGTTGCCCTTGAAGTTTGTGCAGAAACAACCAGAGGCAATGACCATTCCAGATCCGGAGCTTGGAACATGGTCACACAGGTCAGGGAAGGTGGCCAGACATATGGCTTCCTCGAATTTTGGCCAACTAGTCTGTCAGGTGGACTCTGAGGCTTTATCCAGTATGCCCATGAAGCATGAGTCTCCACAGACATTACCGAATGATCTATACATTATACAAACTAGCACTTACACATTAACCAGTCCATGAGACCCATTTGGGTAAATCAAGTAACAGGAAGGAACCGAAGAAATGCCAAGTGTCCCCAGAAATGCTTTGTCCCTATCCAGTGCTCGGCTCACCACGATGTTGTCATATGGGATTAAGTCTAAGATCACCTGCAGAACAAGAAGTCATGTTACCTTCATGCTTTATTGGAAAACATCCCAGAGTTTGTAGACCCACCACTTCACAGGCCACCCTTCACCTAACATGTGCTGAACTGTCCAGAGAACAGCACTACACAGCTGTACTACACATGGAACCCTTGCTCTGCTTGCAAACAGCTGGGTAGTGCGACCAGTGCTATACCAGTTACACAAGACCGGGGCACAGCACCACAGCCAGTCTTCATCCATCCCTCTGCAACCAAAAGCAGCCCGTGCACCTTAACGTCTACTGAATTTTAAGTAGCTCACCAAGTCACATGCCCATTTGTTGTTTGTGTGTATGCATTCATGTGTGTGCAGGTACACGTGTGTACGGAGATGCATGTGGAGGTCAGAGGACAACCTAAGGTGCCATTACTCAAGTGCCATCCATTTTGTTTCATTAGCCTGGGCTTACCAAGTTGGCAGGCAGGCTGGCCAGCAAACCCCAGAGACATGCCTACTCTGGCTACTCAGCATTAGGATTACAAATGTGTCCCTGGGGATGGAATCCTAATGCTTCCAAGGTAAGTACTTTAAGGGCTAAAGCATAAGTAACCCAGGCCCAAAAGTAACATCTGTTACTAAACTTCACCTTTCTGAACCAGTTTGTTGGCTACAGAATCTACATGAACTGCGTAAGCACCTTCACCACTCTCCAGCTACAGGCCTGCTTTCCCAACACTCTGAGCCAGGAGGTTTGGGGTGGCTCCTGCAGGTGACTTGTACCATTGGGCTTGCTTAGGCTGAAGGAGGTGCACTGGGTCTTAGTGACAGAGAGACCAGGGCTATGGTATCCCAGTGTCTAAAAAACCCCTCATGTGCTTGCATACCACATGGCAAGGGGAGTCTATTGTTCTCTGCTGCTCTTAGATGTGAAACAAGGCAGTTACTTCCAGGGATGACGAACAGACTACATGTGAGGTGGCTCACAGTGGTAGCGGTGGTGGTTGTCCTTTGTTTGCTTGTTGTTGTTATTGATGTTTTTGAGACACTTTGTAGCCATCACTGGCCTGGAACTCATGTGTATTCCATCTTAAACTCAGCCACTTGAGTGCTGGGATTAAAGCTGCGTGACCACCACACTGGCCACAACGGTTCTTCTTGATACTGACTCTTAGGGCACCCTTGGTTACAGGTCCACCCAGAGGACCAGGTCTTACTGATCCCAAAGGCATTGATATCCTGGTACTATGGGGACAGGGTGACTGGCAAGAAAATGGGCCTTCAGTCGTCTTCTCAGGGACAAAGTCCTGTTTTTGGTTTATAAGTGTACATGTGTGTATGACGGCATGTACACTGGCATGCAGTGGCTCTGGACAGTAGGGAAAGGAGTTGAGCATCAATGAGTTCTCGGTTTTACTGCTTCTCAGTCCTTTGACTGAGAATCCTGCCAACAATGAAGCAAAGGATAAGATGTATCATGGAACCAAGAGAGGGCAGTGAGGTCCCAGAGAGCAGCCAGGCACACGTGGTTGCCTGCCTGACATCCTCCAGGGTCTATGGAGGGCAGTGTTGTCTCCTCCTTCCTGAGCTACCCAGATAACCTGCAGAACTGCACCAAAGTGGCAGGAAGGAGCCCAGGAGTCAGTGCTGAATTCCCATGTGAGCCAAGAGGCCTCCTTATTTTCAAGGGACTTTGGCATTAGCAACTAGGTCTCTGGTCCCTTGGTTTGATACTTGGCCAAAGCGGAAGGCTTCTGAACCACCCATATGACACCAACATTTCACAAAAGAAACAAGGTCCTACAGATTCCTGAATGTGGTAACGGAACACAGGAGATCTATAACAGCACATGATAATAGAACTGATGGAAGACAGCAATGGCTGGACCCTCAAAGGCAGTCCTGTCACTCTAGCCTTTTCTGCTATATATAGGTCAGTGACCTAGGAGCTCTGTAACTAACGATAGCTCAAGGCTCACTGGTTGTTGCTGTCAATAGACTAACCACAGTCCACCCCAGCCACATTAGCTGTAGCCCCAGAGCACACAAGACACAGTACCTCTCGTCCAACATAAGAACCACTGCTCTCAAACACAACTGCGTGGTATTGGCCACTATGGCTGTCCATGAGGGAAAGGATGTCACTGGGCCTGTCAGGAGAAAGCACAACCCTTAATGCTCTCCAGGATAGCAAGCTGTTACAGCATGCCAGCACCCCAGTCACTGTATATACTCAGATTTTAAAAACCATGCCTAATATGCACCATGCAACTTGGGGAGAGGGATGAACCAGGGCTTCCTATTTGCTGAGCTCTACCACCATGATGCTCCAGGTCCCACAGGCCACCTTTTGATGGAGTTACTCACTGAACAGGGTCCAGGGGCGGGCAGGCAGGAGGCCGAGTGCCCTCTGTGTGGTTCTGCAGGAAGTCAATCATCGTCTGCCTGACAGTCTGAAGTTCCCTGTCAGGTCCTACAAAAGCAAATCTTGGTCATGGCTGTGGCTGCAGGTATATGTACCTAAGCAGCTCCCAAGCCCAGAGCCCGAGGATAGGGAAGGCAGCAGCACCGTTCATGAGACCGGAGGTGCACAGCTGCTCACTGACAGGCTGTAGTATGGTCAGCAGCAGATGCATAGAGGGAGAGCGCACAGCTGAGAGCAAGTGATAGGCTACAGGATACATGGCAAAGTGACAAACCTCATGCACATGGTGGTGAGAGGGGGCCAGGAGCACCAACCAACTCCATGTATATTGCTAACAGAGGCAAACTACTCCTGACGCCAGAAATGTCAGGCGTCTCCCAGGGGGACAAACCTGTGAAGCAGTCATCTGGTCTTCACCAGGGCACTGCTCACCTGGCCAGGCTCACACATTAAAATGTATGAGCAGAGCCCTATATCTGCATATATATACTCCACTAGATCCTTTTCCAAGTTTGTTACCACATGAAGGTGGAAAGAGACCTGCAGGTAGCAGGGGGTAGGGCTGGAAGGTACAGAATGAGAACGATCAGAATGGAGGATATACATGTATGAAATAGTCAAAGGACAAGCTTAATAAAAATTGCAATAAAAATTTACTATCACATTTCCCAAGAAGAGCAAAAGCACAAAATAAAGAATTTTCTGTGGCTGGAAAGATGGGTCGGTGGATGTACTGCTCTTCCAGAGAACAGATTCAGTTCCTAAAACCTATGTTGGATGGCTCACAGTCTCCTGTGACTCCAGTTCCAGGGGAGTCTGACACCTCTGGCCTCCAAGGACAGACAGACAGGTGTATATACAAACACATACACACATAATCAAAATTAAAAAAAAAATCTTAGCTGGGTGATGGTGGTGCACGCCTATAATCCCAGCACTCAGGAAGCAGGGGCAGGCGGATCTCTGTGAGTTCAAGGCCAGCCTGGTCTACCTACAGAGCTAGTTCCAGGATAGCCAGGACTACACAGAGAACAACAAAACAAAACAAATCTTATTCCCACACAGTAGCGGTGGCTTGTTCCTTCTCTTTACCTTCAGACAAGCAAGATATCATCACACCACAAGAACAATGAAAGTTTGAATTTTAATAGAAAGCCAGGCAGCACTGGTGCAAATTTGCTGGCTGAGGGAGGAGGCCCCTGGGCTCCATCTGCTAAGACCAAATCCAGTTTACCAGGTTGTGAGTCAGTCTATGGGATTAGAAGAGAATGCTGTGTGTCCTTACCTTTAAAGTTTTCTCCAGTTGTAAACTCCTTTGTAAATGCTTTAAAATACTGAAGGAAAAACACAAAAAATAAGAACAGCCTGGGTGAGTTGAGTATGTGTTTAATATTTAAACAAGATGACCAATGTCTCAACCAGGAGTTCTGGTAAAGTCCTTCCAAAGTAACACTGACTGGACAAGGCATGTTCCATGCCTACATGGACACCAGTGTTCCTGCAGACGTGTGGAACACTGTTCTGAGTACCCACTGGGCTTATTATATCACTTCTGGTCCAACAGGATCTGAAGCAAGACAACTCACTAGGGTGGAATCCTTACAAAGGCGGTCCCTTGAAGAGCATTTGAGGGCACCGGTTCCAAGGGAAGAGGAGCTATCCAGAGCCTCTGAGAAGATGAGTCTCTGACCAGACCTGCCCCAACAGAAGCACACCAAAACAGTTGAGGATAGGTAGTATTTCCAGTGAAGCCCAAAAGAAGACCAGTGCTGAGACAGGGGACTCCCTGGAACCAAGTGGGGGAATCAGAAGCACTCACGAGGAAAGTGGACAGACATATAACAGTCCCATAAGAATAAAAACACAGATGTGCTTGTCACCAGGAAAACACTTTGCCCTGCACCATGGGCAGATGTGTCATGTTGTAGGAGTGGCTGGCCCCATTGGGTCCCCTGGCCTTCTTCCCAGATCCAGCCAGGGAAACGAGGGTGTGTGTGTGTGTGTGTGTGTGTGTGTGATGTTGTCGGAGGGGCTGGCCCCATTGGGTCCCCTGGCCTTCTTCCCAGATCCAGCCAGGGAAACAAAGGTGTGTGTGTGTCCCAGCAATGTTGGTCATGTAATATCAGCCAGGAGATATCCCAATACTCAGCAGAGAGGGCCATCACGTTCAATGAGGCATTACTGCACAGCCAAACCCAATGAGCCCAGCATCATGGGCAAATCTTGGCAAAGTCATTTGCAGTATTAGAAAGAAGGCCCAGACATTTACACACAGCACTGTTTAATAAAGGGTATGAAGTTAAAAGCCAAGTAAAACAGGAACACATGTACATTATCAGTCCAAGGCAAAAAGCAAGAGAACAAGCAACAGGGGCCTGTGAGGTCCCTGGGGCAGGTACCTCACTGAGCATCTCACTGGGAGGCCAGGTGATCACAGGGTAGCAAAGCCCAGTCAATGAATGGGTGGGGAAACACAGGGGACACCACTGTGCTGGTCCTGCCTCTGACAGTGCACAGTACTAGCAGGACAGAAGTGGAGAGTTGGGGTCACAGGCTCTTCAGAACTATCTCTGAGCTGGGTAGTGATGGCACACACCTTTAAACCTGGCACTCAGGAGGCAGAGGCAGGTGGGTCTCTGAGTTCAAGGCCAGTGTAGTCTACAAAGTGAGTTTCAGGAGGGCTACACAGAGAGTAACCCTGTCTCAAAAAAAAAAAAAAAAAAGAGAGGAAGAAGAAAGAAAGAAGAGGAGGAGGAGGAGAAGGATGGGGAAGAAGAAGGTGGTTCCATGGTTTTGGAGATGCCCGTGAGTGTGAGACGTTCAAATGCAAGTACATGGTCACTCATTCACTAAGTAGTGGGCCTTCAGCAGGGTCGCAGGTAGTATTTCTGCCCTCTAGTGGAAGAAACGTGTACAAGCTTGTAGACAGGGCCAACTGCAGGCCAGGCTGTGCTGGGGCAGCCACTTTCAACACTGCCGGTAACAGGAGACCAAGCAGCATGATTCCCCACAAAGATAGGCAGCCAATAGGCTTTTGTGTGAGCAGGGGCTTCATACAGCACCTAGCTCTAGATCAGTCTTCTGTGACTCAAGATGAGGAACAGAGGGACAATAGGCTGGGTATGCAAACTCCCACCAAGGTTTTAGACTTCAAGCCAGAAATGATAAGCTAGGAGTTACTGGTACAGGGATTCTGCCTAAAAAGCCCTTTGTGAAAAAGGCAGGGTTGGAGGTCAAGTTGCTGGGGGCTCACCCTGAAGGTGGGGTAGAAGTGGATGTCATATGTGCGGCACACGTCCTGGTTCTTTTCTTCTGCACAGTCCAGAGCAGCGACACGGATGGCAGCAGCCCAGTCTACAAGGCAAGAATGGGACCTTGAGCAGAGTTGCAGCACCATGCCATACATCCAGGACAGCGTCTGCACGAGCACCAGCTGTGCTCCTCCCTCTATGCTGTTCATGAGCTCTGTGCTGAGCTGTTTAACGTTTCAACCAAAGCCAGGGGTGTCTTCCACCACTGTTCACTGAGAAAATGGAGTTTTGCTGAATTTTCAAATCACCAGCTTTCCACGCAGCGTTTCCTACTAAAAGACACCTGATGGGTGGAAGTGCAGCAGCCTGAAGCACTGGTGGCCCAGCAGCCACTTTCCAAGCCAGGCCATCCCCTCCCTCCCCATCCACCCTCTGCCACCCAGGGATGCATGCACCATCGCTGCAGAAGAAGAGCACGCTTAGATCTGCTTCTTTAGTTTCAAGGTTTTAATTGAGAATTTCCAACAAATGCACACAACACACACACATACATACATGCAACACGCACCAGAAAAAAATCTAACAACATGGGCCTTATATTGGTGTCAGTAATTACTGTGAAATGTTTTATCCAAATCCCTACCCAGTTCTAGAACTCAGGAAGCAACCTCAGATCCAAAACATCAGTCATAAATCTTCCTGTGTTTTTTAATCCAACGCACTGCTATGGCCACAGAAAAGGACTTAGGCTCCCAATGCCATTAGGTACCTAGCTGGGACAGCTCCTCCCATCCTGCTCATATCTGACACGTTTCCTAGACCTCCTGCTAAAGGTGCATATGTAGAGATTTTTTCAGGTTCTGTTGCTGGGATTAGTTTTTTTTTTTTTTTGGTTTTTCGAGACAGGGTTTCTCTGTATTGCTTTGGAGGCCGTCCTGGAACTCACTCTGTAGACCAGGCTGGCCTTGAACTCAGAGATCCGCCTGCCTCTGCCTCCCGAGTGCTGGGATTAAAGGCGTGCGCCACCAACGCCCAGCGCTGGGATTAGTTTTAAGAAGTGAAGTGTAGGGGGTAGGGAGAGATGGCTCAGAGGTTAAGAGCATCGATTGCTCTTCCAGGGCTCTGGAGTTCAATTCCCAGCAACCTCATGGTGGTTCACAACCATCTACAATTCAATCTGGTGCCCTCTTCTGGCCTGTAGGCAGAACACTGTATAAATAAATCTTAAAAAAAAAAAAAAAGAAGTGAAGTGCAAACTGGGTACACCTTTAATCCTAGCACTCCAAAGACACAGGCAAGTGGACCTCCAAGTTTGAGGCTAGCCTAGTCTACAGAGCAAGTCCCAGGACAGTCAGGGATACAGAGAAACCTTGCCTCAAAACAAACAAACAAATAAATAAAAAAGGGAAGTGTGCTTCTGTAGGAGTATAAGGGGGAAACTCGGCCCTCCCTCGTTATTATAATAGATGCATATTAAGTCAGGGCTGTAGCCTCTCTTCTCAAGGTTCACTCCTGATAATACAGAGATAAGTGACTGGCTCTTCTCTGCCTTGCCCTCTGGTCGCCAGCATCAGGTGCACCTTTAAGTAATGGCAGGGGGTCCTTATAAGAGATGTGTACACTTTCTCCAGGGTATTAAAATTACACCATTTAGCCTACTTCTGGGCATCTGGTCCTGCAGGGGTCCTGTCTCGGTCCAGGCCCAAGAAGTGCTGGGCTTGCCTGGTGGGCTGTGCATGGTCAGCAGCACAGCATAGCTCACAGGTGCACAGTGTAGGCAGGCAAACAGGCATGAGAGACAGACAGAAGAGTGACTGGGTGACTGTGTATGCTCTGCCTGGAAGTCGCTTGATTTCTGGGCAGGAACTTATACAGTGAGTCACTGACGATCAGCATGCTTTGTATTGCTAGTGTTACTCTGTTTTCAGCAGCAACCTAGCTAAAAGTCATGTGAAACCATTCCTGTGAGGACAAGTAATGTTCAAAAACCTCAGAGGCTGCATATGGGGATTCCTGGACTGAAGGGGCAGTGTCAGAGGATACTTACAAACACCAGGTGCCAGAGGTCAGTACTGTCTTCTTTGTGAGCCACCCCAGTGTTCTACACACCACTCTGACTTATAATACACACCCTTTCTCTCTTTTATTAAGAGTAAGAAGCAAGGTCATTCACAGATAGTAACCAAATACTGTTGGCTATGAAAAGCCAGCTCTTTAAAAGAAGAAAACTCTAATTTTCCTGAGTCACAGTCTTAGCTTCCTGGAGTCTCAAATGGCACAGAACTGAGGAAGAACAGTTAATGCCCCATCCAATTAGGGGCAGATGGCACAGAAGGCACTCTGAGGCTCAAGGTGCTTCAAGGGCAGACTCACGCCCCGCATCTGGCACAGCAGCTCACTCCTGCCACCCTGGTTTGACTCGCAGACCCAACCAATTCACTCTGCCCACTGGGTGTTTCCAACCACACTTTCCTTCCATGTTCTAGAAAAGCACCTTCTGCCTGGAAAGATGTGTAACCGTAAAGACCTCCAAGAGTAAAATGCAGGAACTAGTCTCCCAGCTAGCTGAAATAGCAAACCCTCCCAGAAATGGGACGAATGCACCTACGTTTCCATGGTGGGGTCTGGTCCTGGTTTTGTTTTCAGACTTTTCTTAAGCATGCACACTCAGGAGAACCGAGTGTAGAGATTGGGGGCTCAGTAGCAGAGTACATCCCCAAGCTGATCCTGGTATTGTGGCAGCTGCTTGCTGATACTGGGCACTAGTTTTGTGTTTCTCAGATTCTGCATTCTAGAATCCCAAGCAGAAGGCCACTCCAACACAAGGCATGGGAAAAAGAGGGCTCCCCAATGCTGCAGGAGACAGTGCTCAGCAAGACGAACCAGAGCCAGCTTTGTAGTTTGTTTATTTGTTTTGTTTGCTTTTGTCTGAGATAGGCTCTGGCTATGGAGCCCAGGCTGGTCTTGAAATTCTCTTGCCTCAGCCTTTTGAGTGCTAAGATCATAGACTGACTGGTTATGGCTCTTTTAATAGCCCTGAATATAGCCCAGCACTAGAGACTGAACACATAAAACCTCCAGAAAATGAGTTGACATCTGGAAGAGTGAAAGCACCAAGAACCTAGTCCATCTGGAGTGCAGAGCACTGCTCACTGACAACTGCCTCTCTAGCCTGGCTCACCCTGAGCCCGGTCTCCATGAGGACTGCAGTTGGCTGTCCTAGTGTTTCTCACAAAATGTCCTGTCTTCTCTCTCAGCTACAGGTGTCTCATATAGGTACAATGGAGACACCACTGGCTCTTTCTCCTTCAGCCTCACAGCAATCATTTCAGTCACATGGGGCCAGCTGCCCTCATTTCATAAGTGGACCCTGCCCTCTGATCCCACATGGGGCAACTTTGACCTGAGAAGGAGAAAGCCCTGGGTTGCCTCCACTGTCCCAGCAGTCTGATGCCTCATGAGCATCGTGGAAAGAGCCATCACTGCAGCACTGAGAAGGAGCAATGAGCCCAGAGCTTACCTACTTCAGACACACTGGTAACATCCGTCAGCGATAGAAACCCTTAACCTTGTAGCATCAAGCATAAGTTCCAAAGAATTAAAAGCAGATTCTCAAGCCAGGTGTGGTAGTGCATACTTGTAATCCCAGCACTGGGAGGTAGAGGCAGGAGAATCTGAAGCCAGCCTGGTCTACAGAGTGAGTTCCAGAATAGCTAGGGCTAAACAGAGAAATCCTGTCTCAAAAAAGCAGATTCTCATTGAGGGAACCCATGTCACCATGTTAAAAGTTTTCTTCAGCGGATCACTGAAGGTGCTGGTAAAATGGCAGGTGGCAGAGGAACACTGGAGGATCAAACCACAAGACCACAGGGACAGAGCATGGCCAGGACAAAGCTGCCTTGGTGCTGACCACCCATCAACATCTTACTGACTGGGTAAGCTGTGACGGTCACATAACTGCAGCCAGGGCTAGTGAGCAATGAACAGCAGGCACCTAGACACCCCTGGATCACCACTTCCTGTGGAATGAAGTCCTGGTATGAGACGGAAAGGACCTGAGGTCCATGGTGGCTGAGGACGAAAGCAGCCAGGAGGCGGAAGCTAGTCAGACTGGGAACACGACCATACCCTGGGCTCAAAAGCAATGGGTCATGAAGTCTGTTTGTAAGAATCAGTCCTTACCCTTGCCTTAGGGTAAGCACTGGCCCAAATCTATCTACACAGCTGGCTAGGTGAGGTGGGGCACACCACACCACACCTGGAATCCCAGCATCAAAAAGCAGAGGCAAAGGCCTGCAACTTTGAAGACAAGATTGGGCTACCCAGCCAGATTTTGTCTTAAACAAACCATCCCTCCCTCTACCATGGAAAAAGAGCAAAGGACCCTCACTAGTAGTGTCTCACCTCTGTTCCATCCACTGGGAGCCCCACAGGCCTGAAATGTCCTTCAAAGCCCCTGAGATGACCTTAGAAGGTCTTACTTCTTCTGCTTCCTTCAGGCTCTTGGCTGGAGGGTGGGGGTGGGGCAATGACCCTACTGCTCTCTATCAGGTAAGGGTATGAAGAGTTACTTTGCCTTTCCTAGTGTCCCATGTAAAACCATTCTTTGGTTTCTTGTCATTTAGTAGCAAGATGGACACTGTTTATCAGGTCAACACCCTTGAACTCTTAACATTCTCTGGACCTGGGGTCCTGCCTGCCTGGGCTCTCTGCTCTTGCTGTGGCCAGTCACAGGGACAACTCCTCAGAGGGCAATACCTGGCTTTCTCAACTGCCAATCCTACAGCTACCTTCTCCCCTACTATGCGTCCCTCTAAGGAACACGGACCTGCCTGCTTTGCTCACTGTTCTCTTCAGCCTAGCAGAACTGGAGGTATGAGGACTAACTGCTGCCAGCTACCAAATGCTGACACTGAGACAGGTTCAGATTTACCCCCGCACAAACACCACTGCCCTGCCATGAGCCGGTAAGGACAAAGTGTCCCTTAACAGAGGACATCCAGGGAAAGGGCCACGTGTGCTGGCATCTCATGAGGTGAAAACCAGCTGGGCTTACGCACTCTGAGAAAGCAGCAACAGACGGCGCTGACAGTTAGGAACTGAGAGGCCTGAAGCCTGAGGCTGGCAGATGGACAGTATTCACAGCAAACAAAAGACACAGCATCTACTTTACCAAAAATGGGATGCAGAGCCCTGAAAGGGCTGGCTTTGGGGGGTGCGCCTCATTCAGCAGTGCCTGCCTTGCCTATCCAGGACGCCATACTAAAAAAGCCGAATGCAAATTGCTTGTTTGCACCAGCCAGGCTGTCCCTCCACTCTGGGGTGACAGGATTCCCACTGGAGGGCAGAGGTTACGAGAGGGAAGGGTGACTAAACTACAAGTGACTTCTGGCTTGTACTCAGTTTATCTACTTTAGCACTACAGGGTTAGAAATACCTGTAAAACAATTATGATACACAGTAGACCAGTTATTTCAATTTATTTGCCCAGTGACACTATTGCTGAATGAACATCCTCAACTTTTCCCACCACTTGTTATGTCTCAATGGAGAAGTGGAGGAAATCTTGATTTTTGGCAAGCATCACTGGTTCTAGAAAATGATTACAAGTGAATTAGCTCCAGGCTTCAATACAAGGCAGGGCTGTTCTAGGTCTCTTATGGCTTCTTCACTCTCACAAAATGCTGGGCAACCAATGTCTCTCTCTACGTGTTCTCGGTAAATGGATAACGGCACCCTGTAAATATTAAGCAGTCATCTTCAAGAGCCTTATCCTAAGCAAGCAGAAGGTACCAGCCACCATGGGAATGAGGAACCTCAGGGAAGGCATAAAGGCTTAGCTACTGCAGGCAGCAGTAACAGAGCACTCAGTCCTCTTCCTGTGGATGGCACACTCTGTGCCTATCTCCGCCCAACACCTCCCACTCTCAATTCCCAGTGTCCTCTCTGGGATGCAGGAAGTGTGCCAATGGGGCTCCACAATCACTTGTGCTGGACTTAAACCCTGGCCTGTCACCTGGGTACCATCACCTGCAATATAGACTAACTACCTCCTTGCCAGACAGTTCTAGATTCATCCTAGATGTTGTGGTGATGACTTGTCAGGTCTCCTGTTCCCCTTCAAGTCCTTCACCAAGAATTTCAGGGCCAACAAAAGATGTGCCCTGCTCTCCAAGGTGTGCTGACAGGGAGAGAAGAGCCTCGAGATCACAGAGAGCTCAGAGGGACACAGGCTCATCCTTCAGGGCACAGAGAGCTCAGAGGGACACAGGCTCATCCTTCAGGGCATAGAGAGCTCAGAGGGACACAGGCTCATCCTTCAGGGCACATTCCTGCTCTCCTAGGCCTCTACGGAAGTCCTTCAGTGTCCAGGAAGTTAAGCACAGGTGTCAACTGCCAACCCAGATTGAGCTAAACACAATAGGTTGGGATAAATGATTTCAACAGAGCAGGTTCTGTTCTGGGAAATACTTAAGATGGGATAGGCCTAAGCCAGGGTCACATAAATACTAGAATAGCCACTGGGTCCACTGAACAATAAACCTTTTGTTAACCCATTTCTCATAAGGAAAAACACTATTTCCCCCTAAAAGTCAGTGAAGAGCCAAAGATACACCATCATAAGTTTTTGAGGAAGTGAAAGGTGTCCTGAACCAAAGAAGGGAAGTCCTCCCTCTATAGACCAGCTGTTCAGTTCAAATAGACAGGTTGAGGGGCAGGAAGGCAGGCATAGGCCACCTAGTTCTAATCCCCACCCATGGCAACAAAACCAGTCCAACCAGAGACTGGGTGGCAGCTAGGGTGGGGGCAGGAAAAGACACCTGGGGAGAACCCAATGCAAGCCCTGCATACTCAACTCACAGGTGACTGATTACCCCTGTGTGGGCAAGCACCCTCTCTCCTGGCGGATTACCCAGGCAGGGAGCCAGCAGGGAGCATAGCCAAATGAAAGCCAAGGCAGAGCATCTAATGCTTCCCATATTCTGCACAGAATTCCACAAGACGAGGCACACAAGAGGTCCTGAGCTCAATATCCCAGGACAGGGTGAGAGCCAAAACCTTCCTAAGGAAGTTGGACATGGCAGACATCACAAGGGATGGCATCTCTTCTGCAGGTGTCTAGCAGTTAGGCAGGATCCTTTTCAACAGGTCATCAGACATCTTTCGAGCTTGTTCTGACAAGATGCTGGGACCCACCCAGTAGCCTAGGCTGGGACCAACAACACGGGTGTCTACCAAATCCCCAGGTGACTTGCTTCACACCAGGACATACTCTGAGGGCCCTGACTCAGGTGGCCTTGCCCTCCGCATCCTTGCTTCCCTTCTCAGGTGCTCACCTGCTCCTGCCAGTCAGCTCTTTGACCTCCACCATCCAGTGTCCTTGGCAGCCAGCCACTCTTGAAAGGTAACTTCATTTCATTAAGTCAACCGCAGCATTAGTTGTGGATTTTCACTGCGGTACTTTCAGAACTGTCCTTTCTTTCAAGTTCCAGAACAATTTCAACCCTGTCTACTGTTGATCTGGTTACAGAAGACCCCCCTGATGTGGCTTATGATGTCTACAAGTCAGCTACTAGATTGAAAGCCAGAACCCACATAAACAAAAAGTCTTGCCAGGGTCACCTGAAAGCCCACTGTTAAGTATCAAGAACTAAAAAGTAGCCGGGCGTTGGTGGCACACGCCTTTAATCCCAGCACTCGGGAGGCAGAGGTAGGTGGATCTCTGTGAGTTCGAGGCCAGACTGGTCTACAGAGAGAGTTCCAGGACAGCCTCCAAAATGATACAGAGAAATCCTGTCTCGAAAAACCAAAAAAAAAAAAAAAAAAAAAAAAGAACTAAAAAGTTGGGGCTGGAGAGATGGCTCAGTGGTCAAGAACATTGGCAACTCTTCCAGAGGACCCAGGTTCAATTCCTAGCACCCACATAGCAGCTTACAACTGTCTATAACTCCAATTCCAGATGATCTGATACCTTCACACAGACATATATGCAAGCAAACCACCAATCAATGATCATAAAAATAAATAAATTATTAAGAACTAAAAAGTCCCCTCTACTACTGAGTGGCTTAAAAAAATAAAGCAAAATAAAAACAAAACCATATATAAACTCTGTCTTTTCAATCGCTGGTCTCAGTTTTGGCTAGTGCTTGCCAGGGACCTAAGAAAACTTGAGATGGCTTAGAAGTTAAAAGCACATACTACTCTTTCAGGGGACTGGGATTTGAAACTCTCAGCACCTACATCCTATAGCTCCAGCTTCAGGCGATGTAACACCTCTGGCCTCCATGGAAAACTGCACACACCTGTACATACTCACATAATTCAAAATAAAATAAATATTAGGAAGAAAGAAAAAGAAAACGTAAGACTCAAGAGAACAATTCCATTAGGTTCTACATAAAAGCCTGGTAATCAAAAAGGCAGAGGTCACTGTGGATTCAAGACCAGCCTGGGCTACACTATGAAACGCTTTTTCAAAGGGGAAAATAAAAGTGTTCCAACAATGAGGAAAGAGGTTAACATTTTAAAATAGTCACTTACAAGTGTGTACTTGGAAAAAGGCGTCTTTGCAAATCTGTTTAAGAAAAGCACAGCAGTGTTCAACACCAGACCTAAAGCCAAAGGTGCAGGAAGAAGCAACAATTTGTCGTCTTGCCCTGTGAGATCTGTAATTAGAGGTTAGTTCAACAGTAGCAAGCTGGCGAAGCCAAACCTCAGCCAGTGCAGGGAAAGCTACTGCACAGCCACTTAAACCCCATTTACATGAGCTGCTGGAAGAGGTCTGAGGTCTGCAAGGGTGAGTAACAGCACTAAGAAAGCAAAGATTTCTCAAAAGCTGTGGTTAGCGAAGGAGAAGCCCAGCAAAGAAGACGCTTTGTAAACTTTTCGCTTCTGCACAGCAGTCCCCAAGGGTGTCTGGGTTTCTAAGCTTCTCGGCCCGAAGCCCACCATACGGCCGGCTACCTAGCAAACCAGGTTGGGGCTTGACAGGAATGGAGACCTTCCGGAGTGGAGATGGCAGGCTCTGAAATGCGACTGCTGGGGATGGGAAGGTGACGGCTGATCAGGGAGAGAGTGGCCAGGATAAGAGGCCGGGGGCAGGGTGAAGTCGGTGTCCTGAGAGCTGGCTTCGATCCACACAGCTGCTGCGCGGGAGGGACGTCGGCCGGCGCGCGGGACCCTCACCTCGCACGTCCGCCGCCAGCGCTCGCCAGGTGGGCGCGTAGCCGATGCAGTGGCCGCACCACGACGAATGGAACTGCACCAGCCACGCGGCCGAGCTGTTGCTCGTGGCCGAGCGCACGCTGCCGCTGTCCAGCAACCACACGGCGTCCTCGTCCACGCGGTACAGCCGCGCCGCGCCGCCCTCCCGGGGCCCCGCCATCGCCACCGCCGCCAGCAGCAGGAGCAGCCGCGCGGCCCGAAGGGAGGGCGGCCGCCGCGCCTCAGCTCCGGGACCGCGCGCCACAGCCCGGGCCGCCGCCATGTTGGGAGTGCCGCCGGCGCGCCGACCTTTCACCCTGGCAACCGCCGTCACGTGCCTGCGCGCGCCGGTCCCGCCCTGTGCCTTGGCCCCGCCCCCAAGTCGGCTAGTCCTCTCCAGCACCATCCCTCGTCCTTCTCGCCCCGCCCCCGCGATTTGGCCCCTCCCTGAACGCTGGTCATTCCAAGTAGGGTCCCGCTCACCCCGCCCCCGTACTTCTGGCCCCGCCCCAGAACGCAGGCCCCGCCTCACTCCCTAAGCCTGCTCCGCCCCCGTACTTCTGGCCCCGCCCCTGCTCTGGGTCCCTGTTGGCCCTGCCCCAATATTAGTTCGCTCCAGACCACAGGCGCTTTATACCCAGCGGACCAGACTCCGGACCGTGAGGTCTGAGCCTAGACAGCCACAGATTAGCAGGGAGAAATAGCCCATACCAAGTTGAATGTGAAGTTGAGTAAACACTCCTGGAGTTCCAGGCTGAAATGCCGATTTAATGGGGGCATAATTAGGCTCAGAAACTATTCTCTGTGTACCTGAAATTCATATGTAACATGCATCCTGGATTTTACATGCAACCTGTCATTTTACCTGTCAACCTTAAATGTCCACCATGATCACCTTGACCTTTTTATAACCCAGAGAATATGGTAGAGCCACAGGGCAAAGCCACACAGTCACCTGCTAAGAGTGGAGACCTAGACCCGACTTTTTTAGACAGGGTTCTACGGCTGGCGTGAAACTCGATATATAGCTGACTCTGACTTGAACTCCTTTTCCTCCTGCCTCCCCAGCCCTGGGATTACAGATGTGCACCCCCATGCCTGGCTTCTCTTATTCTGCTTTCCTAGTGTTCTTACTCTGGAGAGAACAAATTATCCAATCCAAGCCCTGGCGCCCGGGGTTGCGTAGGGCAAGGAAGCAAGTGTTGGGGGGCTGTTGTGCGTATAAAAGCCTGGAGGCATCTCTTGGAACGTTACTCAGTTGAGGACAGGGGCGAGAGGAACGTGCATGCGGCTCCTGAGGTGAATGAAGGCTGCTGAGCCCTTGGGAAGCCTAGGAAGTGAGGGGCTGATTTTCTTTGGAGTGCAGCATACTAGGGCAAGTCAGGAGTAAGAGAAGTGACACCATGACGAGGGGTGACTTTGGATGCCTGTGACTGTGGATCGGAAGGCATGGGGATGGCTCCCTACATATTCTAGTGAGGTGTGGAGCCGGGCTTAAAACTCTGGTACCCACAGACCACAGGTTGGCTGTTATTATCAAAAGCATACACCGTGCCATTCTGTAACACAGCTGAGGGAAAAAATAAAACCTCCGTGCAGATGAGCCAAAGGGACAGGAAAAGGCTGGTGGTGTGTGTGTGTGTGTGTGTGTGTGTGTGTGTGTGTGTGTGTGTGTGTGTGTGTACATGTGTCCTATTTTCCAAAGCCTGCAGTCTCATCTTACAGACACCCTGGCTGGCTCCCAGTTGTGTTCTGGAAGCATGGGGGATGTTGGGGGGGTGCTAGGGAGCAGGGAGGAATTTCTTGAGACAAAGGGAGAGAGACACTGGTTGGGAGACAAATACAGAGAAGCTGTAAGCAGGAGTGACCACAGGGACAGGAAACTGCCTTGGGAAGCAGGCATGAGAGGACTGGACTGCTTTAGCCTGGGGTGGTCAGAGAAGGATCTGGACAAGGCCTGCCTGAGGCCGGAGAGACGGCTTCAGGTCCCAACTCTACCCTGAAGGCAAGAATGTCTGAGGCAGGATAGGATAGGGAAACCCACCGCGGGGGCATGAGAAAGGGACTCTGGAGTCTGGCTGAAGCCTCTCTCCAGCTGATAATCAAGTATTCCAATGCAATTAGCATTTGCCGACACAGAGACATTTTCAAATAAGGGTGTTAAAGTAGCAACAAGCCATGTTTGAGTCTTCTCAATCTAAACCTGCAAGTTTCTAGGAATCTCACAGGGTAACCCATTTACAAGAAAAGATGTGTCTTAAACCCACTGTGGTCCAAGGTTTTATTTTTAACAGACTGTAATCCCATCCAAGGTGCCATCAGAACCATTCTATGATCTGTTATTGAAAACAGGAAAAGAAAGGGAGAATCCCTTAGGAACCTGCTGAGCAGGAAACTCTGGCAGCCTCCAAAATCCAATATATGGCTATTGCTAAATCATTTAGATATGACTCTCCTTTGAGAAGCCAACACCCAGGCTTAGGGTGTACTCTACTCTTTCTCTGAGCATCTCTCTATTAACCACTATGCTGACGTTTTTGTTCCTTTCTTCCTAATGAACTCCGACTCCACCACCATCTGGCTAATCCTGAAATTATCTGTGGCAAACTCAAGGATCTGGTGTTACTTGGTGGAAATCCTTGAAGGATAAGGAGACTCCTCAGGTTGCTGGGGACCACATGGACTGTGTCTACTGCTGCAACTGTGTCTCACTGATGACAGGTCCACTATACTTCCAGCCCACAGCAGCTACACTCTTGGGGCAGGACTCAGTCAGACAGGAGGCACAATGAGAATACTCTGTGTTCCAGGGAGTATACACGGCTCTTGCCCACTTCTAAAAGCCCCTGTGGCCTCTGGGTGTGTTGTATGAGAGTGGCTGTGGTGGTGGGGCCGGGCTTGGAAACCTAGGGACTTGGGAAAGTTTGGCTTGTGCAAAGCTGAAAGCAGAGTTTAAGGGAACTGCTTAGCAGGACACCGACAGAGACAGATCACAAGAACATCAAAGGAACAGGTTAACTGAGAAATAACTGTTTTCTATGAAAAATAATGACTTCTCCTGAGGCTCATGTCAAGATTTATCGGCCCAAATGGATACAAAGGATCAGCAGGTACAGTGTGAGACCTTGGAGGGAGGGACCTTGGGCTGAATCCTCACCAGGGTCAATACATCTGAATGCCAAAGCGCTCTGCTCACACACATGCTAGCGAGATAAAATGTCTAGCACTTTCTGTGGATATACTTTCTCTCCGCCCACAAGAGTAATTTTATGGCTTGGCTCCTGCAGCTGTAGCAGTCTTCAGAAAGCCTGGCCTGATTCTCATTAGTTTTCCATCACCAGCTTCCCTTCAAGGACATCGCGCCGAGGCTAAAGCATGCTGCACCTGCTCGGTACCCAGGGAAGTTGGCTCTGGAGAGACCCTGGCTGTACTGTGTGGAGCCCTAATGTGCCTAGGTTTCAGCACCAACCTCCATGACACTATACTGATCAGGGGCAGGGGGGGCTGTGGAATTTGAGGCAAATTTGCAAGGTTTTGATAGGGGAGATTTATTGCCATGCCAAACGTGTGTGTAAAATACATAATTCCTCTCACTCGGCCTCATGAATCCGAAGGGGTTAGAAATAGGGGGGAAAGTACAAAAAAATTTATAGACTAATTCATTCCAAAACAAAACAAAAAAACAGAGGGCACTTAATAGGAAACCTATAGGTCACAAATGTGTCTTAAAATTATGTACACTGAAAAGTGCATATTCCCTGGTTCGACCAAGCCTCTTCTGTGCTCTGACACCAACTGGGAAACTTGGTGCAGGATCTTAGCTGGCAGGTCCCGGGAGCCATGTGTTCGCTGGGCCTATAGGACAAAAGGTGACTCACTGAGCAGCTCATTGGAGCTAAGAGGCTGCCATGCCCCTGAGGACAGGTTAACTGTGGGTCTGCAAGAGGCTGTTGGGAAAGGGATTCTACTTCATTGCAGGGGCCCAAAGAAATTGTAAATGTCCTGGAAACCAGCACCAAAGCATGCAGCAGAAGCAGGACAAATCTGATGGCTTGGCACCAACAGGCTTTCCCAGAGGCCATAAGCTAGTCAGAGGAAATAATGCCTTACAGTTGGGGATCTGGGCATGGTGGGGAGGCCAAGCCCTGGATGGATCGGCCTTGGACTCTCATGTCCCTAAGGCTAGCAGGATGCTCATCTATCAGGAATCCACACTCACAGGGCCTTCTCATCCAAGAAGTAACTAGTTGCACAATTTTGTGACTATACTAAAATTTATTAATATGTACATTTAAAAAAAGAAAACTATGGTATATGAATTATCTCAATAAAACTTTATTAGAGCCAGGTGGTTGGTTGTATTGTACACCTTTAATTCCAGCACTTCAGGAGCCTGATAGAAGCTGTGGATACACTGTCCAGAGAAATGCAGACAAAGCCAGCCTGTAATGGGGATGAGAGAATCTCACCCATGACTGTCAAACATAGGTGAAAATTGGGCATTTACAAGCTGAGACAAAGGTGGATCTCTGTGAGTTCAAGGCCAGCCTCATCTACAAAGTGAGTTCCAGGACAGCCAGGGTTATTACACAGAGAAACCCTGTCTGGAAAAAAATCAAAAGCCAAAAACTCCCCCCCCCTCAAAAAACCCACTTGGTTAGAAGAGTCTGGAGAGATGGCTCAGCAGTTAAGAGCACTTGTTTTATTTAGACAGAAAAGAGGAGGTGATGGGGGATGTCCTTCTGTATATGTGTTTCTCTTATTGGTTGACGAATAAAAACACTGTTTGGCAGGAAGATAGGTGGGACTAGGAGACGAGGAGAATTCTGGGAAAGGTAAGCAGAGAAAGAGACCACGAGAGATGCCATGTAGAGACCGGGAAGAAAGGATGCACCAGGCGTTCTCTGGTAAGATAAGGCTATGTAGAAATACATACATTAGTAGTTGTGGGTTAATAATTAAGAGAGAGCTAGCCAATAAGAAGCCCTAGCCATCGGCCAACAGTTTAATAATTGATATAAGTCTTTGTGTGTTTATTTGGGGCTGAATCAGCTGTGGACCTGGCAGGACAAGATAACTCCAGCAACACTTGTTCCTCTTGCAGAGGATCAGGGTTTGCTCCCAGTACCCATGCGGTGGCTCACAGCTCTTTGTGATTCCGGTTCCAGGGATTCAACACCCTCTTCTGACCTCTACAGGTACCAAGGCACACTCATGGCGCACATACATTTGTGCAGAGAAAACAGGCACACACATAAAATAAAATTACATCTGTAAAAAACAGATGAGCGGGGGATGGGGCATAGGGTGGGGGACCGGACTCAGCAGAAGAGCACTTCAACATCACTAGCATGCAAAGGCCCTCTACTGCATCCCCAGCATTGGAAAAAAGTGTTAAAAATGTAAGATATCTGAGCACTGTAATGCAGGCCTGTGCTACTCAGGAAGCTGAGAAAGGAGGATTGCAAGTTTGAAGTAGCTTGGGCTAGAATGAGTTCAGCCTGGGAGCTTAGTAAGACCCTGTACCCCCCAGGTCTTAGTTTCTCAGTGGGTAAAGGTGATTGCTGCCTGATGACCTGAGTTTGATCCACAAAACCCACATAGTAGGAGAGAATTGATTGCCAGTTGTTCTATGACTGCACACACACATACACTGTGGCATCTATACACATGCAAGTAAATGAACGCTAAAAATAAGTGAAAAGGGGCTGGGGATACAGTTCAATGTTAGCATGTTTTCCTAGTTTGTGCTAAAACCTTGGTCCAATCTTCAGTACTGGGAGGGGTGGGATATCATTTTCTGAAGATAATTTCTTCATATTTTAGACTATTTGCTCAAGTGCTTTTTTTGATTTTTTAAAACTGATGAATAAAACAAAAACATGCACATTACCTGGCTACCATGAGGAGTGTACAACTGCTTTTATGTGAGAAATTTCCCACGATCACTGAACTAATCACCAACTCATTGACCCAGCCTTTTCCTGGAGCATAAACCAACGTCATTGGCACAGACTATTCATAAGCATAGTTTGTTTTTTAAGATTTATTTATTATGAATATAACATCCTGCCTCCTTGTACATCTGCAGGCCAGAAGAGGGCACCAGATCTCATTACGGATGGTTGTGAGCCACCATGTGGTTGCTGGGAATTGAACTCAGGACCACTGGAAGAGCAGTCAGTGCTCTTAACCTCTGAGCCATCTCTCCAGCCCCATAAGCATAGTTTTTAAGGATTAAAATGAGATGAGGAAGACTGAGGGAAAGAAGGGGAGTGGGGGAGTGAGGGAGAAAGAGCAGGGTGGAGGATGGATATAGTCAAGCACATGATGCACTTGGCAGACATTGTCTTTATGAGATCCAGCAAGATAGTGAATATACATCAATAAACAGGAAATTAAAACAAAGTTAGTAAAGGATTGGTGATGGATTAGATATGCATACCCATGTATATACAAATATGCATACACTGCATATTTGTGCACACATACCGATTTAAGACACAGAAAGCAAATTCTAGGAGTTCCAACCATGTATGTGAGCCCCATCCCATGAGATCCTGCTCAAGCCCGATTCAAAAAACAGATTCAAAACTGCTTCTTCTGGAAGATTTCGGGGTTTGTATAAAAGCCACAAACTTTTGGGGTGTGTGACAGCTCATGTCTATAATCCTAGTACTTGGGAGGCTGAGGCAGAGATATTTACGTGAGTTCAAAGCTAACCTGGGTTATAGAGCAAAACCCAGTCACACACAAGCATGTACACACAGTGACCCTTCCCTGGGGCACCGAAGACAAGGAGACAGAAAGCTGCACAAATAAGATGCATCAGGACACTGCCACCTGCACGGGGCATCCAGACAGAGGACTCTGTGTGGCTTCCAGCACAAGATCTTAGAATCCCTAAAGACAGCCCGTTCCTGGTCACTCAGGGTCCCAGAAAATCCTCTGAGGAGCTAAGAAAGCAGAGAAGTTTTCACTGTTGTCTGAGGTTGCTAGGGGCTGGGGTTACTAAGGGTTACTAGGAGTGAATAGCAGGCAACCTTTCTCCATCAGGAACACACCAGAGTCCATTGAGGGAGGTGAAGGTGACGCCTGACCCAAGTCACTGCTTTAGTGGCCTGTCCTCACCCTTACACCCCCCCCAAATTGTTCTGTTCTCCTGGGGGACTGACTACAGGAGCCCATCCCCGGCTCCTCATCTCCACGGGATGAACAAATGTCCCTCAGTCACAAGCAATCTGTTGGAAACAGAGACATAGCAAGATCCAGACAGGACTGAAGAGATAGCTCAGTTGATTAAGCACTTGCAAGTATGAGGACTTACAATCAGTTCCCAGAACCTATGTTCAAAAAACAACAAATTGGACACAGACGGCTCAGCCTGTAAAGGCTCTTGCCATACAAACCTCATGAGCTGAGTTTGATCCCTAGAACCCACTGCAGAAGGAACCAATTCCCCAAAGTTGTCCTGTAACCTCTGCACAGGGACCATGGCATGTGCACACACACACACACACACACACACACACACACACACACACACACACACACGTCAGGTATCTGTGAGTTCCTATCATTTCGGAGCACACTCCTAGGGGCTGTCTTCAGGGGCCAGCCCTGAAAGTGCAGCCAGAGAGTCACACAGGATCCTCCTGCTAAGCTGGGTAGACACCATATCCACTGGCCCAGCATCTCTTGTCCCTGAAAAATCAGCACAGGCACCAGAGGTAGGGTCAAAAGCCCAGTTTCTCCTACAGAGCTGCTGCCTGTCCAACAAACCCTGGAGCTTGTGCCGGCCCTGTGTCCAGCAGCTCTGGCCTTCCCTCTCCTTCTCACTAGCGTGCTTGAGGGATCCAGCCACCAAGGGCACTGGGTCTGGGGGTGGGCTTTCAGAGGGTGTACCCCAGGAGGGTGACGATGTGGCTGCCCTTCTGTCTATGAGGTGTTCTATTCCTTGCCGGTGCTCTGCATCCTCCAAACACTGCCTTGCTTCCCAGGGTCCACTTTGACTGCCTGGGGCGTCCTCAAGATTCTCTCTGGTCACACAAGCCACTGGGGGTGGACTCAGGGGTTGGGTGGACAGTCTTGGGGATGTCTCAGGAGCACAATTACTCAAGGGAGATGTTGAACTTGAGTCATTCAGGCTTTCATCTTGCCCAGATGCTCCTACACAGTGCCCTGACTCCTGGGGCCCCAGGGAAAGGGCTTCCTCCAGAGCCCCCTCAGATAGGGAGGACATGTCCTCAGCGGTAATGGACAGATCCTCTCCTAGAGTGTCCAGTGAGTCACCTGGAAACATGACCTCCTCAGGTGGGGAAGGGAAGTCTTCTGAGCTGGGGCTGGGCTCGTTGATGTCACTCTTTGCTTGCGGAGTAGGTGGTGGTAGAGGGAGTTGAGTGTCCCCGCAGATAGAGGACGGAAGGTCCCTACTGCCGTAAGATAGCTCCTCATCCACGGGGGACAGTATTTCAGTCAGGAAGCCATCTACGTACGAGGGACTGGCTACCTCTGTGACAAGGGGAGTTGTGTCCTCAGAAGGAACATTCAGGGTCATAGGGGCCCTAGGATCAGGCAAGGCCTGTAAGGGCTTCCTTTCTATGGATGGACTAGTATCAACATCCCGGGGTTCCTCCTGGCAGCCAGCTGAGGCCTCAGGAGGCATGTTTCCTTTACTTAGACCTGCCCTTTCAGTGGTGGGAGTGTCCACAGGAAAGGACAGTGGCAGAGTTGGGTCACTGGTAGAAGGGTTCTGGGGTGGGAGCATTGCAGAGGTGGTCACAGGGGACATCTGCCCGGTTTTCCCTGTGTTCAATGTACCCGTCAGGCTCCTGCTGGATCTGGAAGGGTCTTGTTCTTCCCCAGGCCCCAGGGAGGGAAGAGTGGTACAGGGGCCTCCACTGCCTCCCGTGTCCAATGAACCATTTGCAGGCAAGGAGCTCCCCGAGGGTGGCCCAACACCAGGACTAGGTTCTTCAAGAGTCTCCTCATTGTTCTCATCCCAAATTTGGCTGGAGGACTCTGACAACTCTGACCCCAGTCTTGGAGATGGGACACGTGGGAATGACGACGGCCAGCCTGCCTGAAGGAAGTCGTACCCTGGCTCTGAGCCTGGTGCCACAGCTGCGTCCTCGGAGAAGCCACTCAGGAGTCTGGCCCCACCGTCTCCCAGTCTCTGCAGGGTCACTTGACCTACATCCCCAGAAACACCCTCCAGCTGAGGGAGTCCCTGGTGGAGGCCCCAGAATGAAGGCAGGCCAGGCTCCTCCCAGGAGTCATGAGCAGAAAGCTCCCTAGACCAACCGGGGTCTGCATGCAGGGAGGCTTCAGCTTCCCCGTTAGACAGGGATGCGGAACTGCTAGAAAGCTGGACGAGGGTGGCTGTGGCTCTCTGAAACTCCTGGAGAGACGGACAGGAAAGGCCATTTGATGAGCCCGCCGAGGGGGTGAGGGAGAAGGCAGGGGCTTCCGAGGACCCAGAACAGCCACTAGAAGCAAACTCAGAACACGCGTCCACGGCAGGCTGGGACAGAGGACTGTTTAGGTGCCAGGCAGGCCACGCTTCTTCCTCACTGGCCACAGGAGCTGCTGAGATGGATTGAATTAGGGAGTGGCTCACAGCTGCCGCACCCTACATGGTAGACTATCCCAGAAGCCGCCCCCAAACTGGAAAGATGTTCCAACAGAAGACATTAACGGGGTGATGACACCAGTTACAGCTGGTACAGTGTGCTTAGTCCTTTGATAACCCCTAGGTTATTGCAGACTTGTGGGTCACATGTGGCTGTGTGTCTGGACTGAGCCTACACCACCTCAGCTGTTGTTAGATCTGGTGGTTGGCTCTCTTTGGCTTGTTTTGAAGTTTTAGACTCAGCCTGCAGCCCCAGGGGAAGGGGTCACCCAAGGCAGTGTGGAGGACAGGGCAATGTGCCTTCAGAAAAGCCTCACTTTGGTATAAGAACTGGTTTTGGATAGTCTCTAAGTGAAGACTTAATGGCCTTTGAATGACCTTGGGGTGGGGTGGGAGCCTCACCTGGGGAAGCAGCCTCCTGGTCAGCTTCCGGGTGGGTGGAGGGGATGTCTAGGTTCTCCTGTGGACAAGCTTCTCTCCTGCAAGCACATGGTGAAGGAGTCTGGCCTTCCAGATGCCCTTGCCCTGGGGCTCACAGCCAACGACCCCCATGTCACACTCTTATGAACAGTCCTGCCAGTCACCCACCATTACAAGTGACCACTGTTACACAGGGTTCCTTGGGACACGGTGGGGGATGGGGAGAGGCATCTGACCACCTGGATCAGGTAGCAGATGGGGACACTTCCAGACACCTGTGTCCCCCAGTGGCATTTTGGCCCTGCATTGGGCAACAACTTTGATACCAAGAGGGAGTCAGAGCTAGTGGTGTACAACTGGGCGCAGTCTAGGAGGGGTGAGGGAAGGGTCTAGGCACTGAGAAGTCCCGGATACTGACTGAGACTGTCTCCGTTCCTCAGCGCTTATCCCACCCACGCTCCACACCTCTGCTGCTCTGACCTCCAGTGTGCCTCTTCCTGGGGTTCCTCCCTGGGGCTTCTGGAAACAGCCAGCCCTTGACTTGTTCTGTTCTCAGCTACCTGCAAGAAACACATTAGAAAAGTAAGATATCTATTAGAGCCCCTCCCACCTCCTCCGCTGGGAATCACAGACTGTGCTTTCAGAGACTCATTCAAGGACCCCAAAGATGCCAATCATCAAACACTTCCTCTCACCCCGGAAAGACTTTCTTTCTGCCCAAGCATTGAATATGAGGTGAAACCTGTGGAACCTGCAACTTGCAGAACCATATGAACGGCCTGGAATGCCCTCTGAGTCCTCATCTGGAGGCCGCACAGCAGGCCAATGCCCCCATAGCCTGCAGACAGCACATGGCTGCACCAACTCACTCTGGCTTCCTCGGGACAAGGACCATCTCCGCTTAGGGACTGCCCACACTGTCCATGCAAGCTCCAAGCATGAAGGTCTGTAGGCTGCCTCTCCATTGCCCAGGCTGCACTGGGCTTGTTCTGTAGGTGGCCTGTGGGACAAACAGACTGTGAATGCTGGCGTGTACAGGTGTGGTGGGGTGGGGGTGGGGTGGGGAGCAGTGGTTCCCAGGAAAAATATCTGAAAGTCCAAAGTGGATGCAAGACTTGGCTGTGACATTTGATTCGTGTGAGGACCTAAAAGATGGGATTATATGTTTCCCAAATTATCCTGTTGGATAGTCAGTGATATGAAGTCCTGAGAGAGGGGGAAAAAGTCATTTTAATTCATAGCCCTATTGTCAGGTTGATGGCACACACCTTTAGCACAAGTGCTTGGGAGGTAGAGGCATGCTGATCTCTGTGGGTTCCAGGCCAACCTGGTTTGCATAGCGAGACCCTTGTCTCAGAAAACAAACAAAATCTGCACAGCCCCCTTTCCCTCCTTTGGGGACTTGCCACCAGTGGCTGGGAAGCCTTGCAGAGCTGTTCCTTTCCTTGTCACAGCACTTTGCTGAGGTCCCCTACACTGTGAGGGGCACTGGCACTAGGGAAGGCTGGCCTTGGACATGGCGTGGTCCTCCATAGCAAGCTAAAAGACTAGCCAAGGGAGCACAAAGCAGGGCACAGCAGCCGGGTTACACCTCCATATTCCTAGGTCTGAGTCCGGCATGGACCCTGGTAGTAGACTGTTGGGATCCTGAGGCCCAAGGCCACAGAGATGTGGTGCCTTAATCTGCCATCCAGAGCCTGAAATGAAGGCTGAGGTGGCAGGGCCACTGCAGGAAGGACCTTGGACTTCTCTAATGGCCACGCTGGGGTACTCCCAAGAACCTCGAGGAGCCATCTTCTGACTAGGGAGCACCAAGAACTGGGCCAGACAGGTGCATCCTGGACCATCACTAGCAAACTGCGCCATCTCGGTCCAAGTGCTTCAGTTCTCGGGCCCCAGCCTCTTCCCCTGCAGGATGAGCATGCTCATCTCAAGAGATGACAGGGTCCCTCTGAGTGTGGTGTGAGCACTGGCTGGCTTCAGTATATGTCAGCTAGTACACACATGGCCACAGCGTGCAGTCACAGAGAGTGACATGAATGGTGAGGGGTATCAGGCCTAACAAATGTCCACAGAGCCCTGAACAACAGCCAACAGAGGCATGACTCCAGCAGAATGGAAGGCTATGGAAATGGGCTCTGCCTGCCCCCTGCTCACCATCACCCTTGGACCCCTGGGAACCCCATTGGTCCCAGCTCTCCTGGGTAGTCCCAGCACACTGGGAAGGCCTTGCTCCTTCCTACCCTGACGAACGTGGAATTCACTTTCTCCAGCCCCAGATGTGAAGAATGCCTTGGTATCTGACAAGACTTGGCATCCCTCCTGCTTCTAAGGGTAGATGTTGAGCAAGGAATGCAGAGGTGGAGCTTCGGTGGAGCTTCTGAACCCAGGACTGTGACCCAGGGGTGGGGAACTCAGAGGTAGCATCAACCCACCAAGAGCCAGCCAGGTCATGCCAGTCCCTCAATGTCAGCCCCAGGGCAGCCCACAGAGTAAGAAGTAAATTCCCCCACCCCCTGAAAATCAGGGGTTCTGCCCTCAGAGAGGCCTCAGGGCCAACTGCATGGATCAGAAGAATCTGATATGTGTCAAACTGTGGTGTCCACTAATGAGGATGCTTCTGTCGGTGCTGATTTCTAGGCTCTCAGAAATGTCTAGATAAACCAAGCTGCAGCTGAAATGGCCAGACCAAGTATTGTCTTTAATGTCCCCAGAGGAGCGGACGAATCATCTCCTACAGGCAATGGAGTCGGCCAGTCTTCTAGCCATGAAGAAGTCTGTGGTCATGGCAGGGGGCCATGAACATCCATCCTCTTCTACTTTCCCTGGGGACCTCCCTGTCCCTGCTTGACCGCTGGACACCAGCCTTGGACAGGGTCCACTGGATGTGGGGGAAACTCCTGGAAAGATCCACAGAGGGATGGCACACAGACTGTTTCCGGGGATATTACCTGGAGGAGGCAGTTCCTTAGCCTCCAGTGGCTTCAACTGAGAGCCTGGGCTATCATCTTTCTTGATGACCTGTGTCAACAAGAGAGAAGGAGACATATACCAAAGAGTACAGGAGCCACCTGGGGACAGAATTCCAAGGACTAGGATGACCAGGGGCCACCAGCACCACGGGAACTAGTACACGGGCACCTAGGAATCCCGACCAGGATCAAGTTGGCAGAATGGTAGGGAGGTTCCCCAAGCCAGCAGGACTCGGGAAAGGGGCTTGCCAAAAGTTGCATACAGGGAAGGCTGGATGTTTCTGGTGTTCAGGGTCCAGGGAACTTGAATGCAGCAGACCGGGGGAAGAGACACAAGGCTGTTTCCCAGGCTCTGAAAGACACAATTGCTGGGGTCACTCACACTGACCAGCCTGTGTAGAACCCGACACTTAGGAGGCATCTCAAAGTTGGCTTCTTTGGAGGTGAGGGTTCCTACTGCTGTCCCCTCTCTAAGGACCAGAGTTCCACATAGCCCCGAGCCCCCACACTGCTCCCAACACTCTCTCCTCCGCATCTGCCTCATGTTCTGGTCATAATGATGTCTGGTCCTCTGTCCCTGTGCCCAGACCTCTTCAGCATCCCCAACTGGAGTGTCTGAGGGGGGCCAGCTCCATCCTGTGTCCCCCAGACTGTGTGCCTAGGTAGTCTGGGGTCTACAAACACTGTGCTCAAGCCATAACCTGCAAACCCGGGCATGAGCTCACATTTGTAAGACAGCCCTTGCAGACATAATTAAGAATCTCTAGACAAGCTCATCTTAGAGTTGGGCAGGTTCTAACTCTAAAACAGATGGGGGCTGGGCGGTGGTGGCGCACGCCTTTAATCCCAGCACTTGGGAGGCAGAGGCAGGTGGATCTCTGAGTTCGAGGCTGGGCTGGACCGATAGCCTCCAAAACAATACAGAGAAACCCTGTCTCGTAAAAACCAAAAACCAAAACAAAACAAAACAAAAAAAAAAACAGATGGGAGAGGAATTGGACACGGGGGAAAAGAGACAGGCACAGGGAGGCAGAGACTGGAGACAACCTTAGATCTGGGGACGTTTGGAGCCAAAAGGAGCTAGAAGAACCCTGCCCTGGAGTCTTTGGAGAGTATATAGATTTCTCGTTTCTGGTCTTCAAAATGCGAGAGCGTACATTTGTTTGAGCTATCCAGTTTACAGAACTCTATTGTGTGGCAGCCTCCAGAAATGAATACGTCATTGATCTCATCATAGGGAGGAGACTGAGGTAAAGGAGGGGAGGAAGATGGTGGAGGAAGAATGGAGCCCAGGCTGACTGGGCTGATGGAGGCAGAGAGTGCTGAAGGCAGCACCCTCATCTCCTGGATTCTTCCTGGTGGGACACAGAGCAAAGATGCCAGGCCGTGGTGAGATGGGGACAGCCAGGAATCACGTTAGACTGCTTTCTGCTAATGTTTCTTGCCTGGCAGCGGGGGGACATGGCCAGGCCTTGCTCCTCTAACAGGTTTGTGTTCTGGTCTGCCTGTGCACAGTCCCAGGCCTGCACAGAGTGGCAGGTCACATTAGCTCTGAGCAACTGCACCTGCCAGGAGCCCTCTGCAGCCTGTCTGGTCAGTTCCCCGGGGTGCCCTATGTCTCCAAGTGTTTCCAGGGGCAGGCCTCCTGCAACTCTGCTGCAGCTCAGATGTGCCCAGGGAGGCCTGGGTAGCCCAGGTCACACACCGGTCTGGTAGCCTGGTATGCGGGACTGTCTCACCCCAAGCTTAAAGCTGTCCCCATAGAAGTCTGCGGCCAACTGATCGAGTGATTGGTTTTTTTTGGCTGGTCATTGCCACTGCCCTGAACTACCTTGGCTGTCAGGTCCACTCCTCACAGGTAGGTGTCCAGTCCCAGGTGTGACAATTGCCCACTTCACCCTCGGAGGCTGCAGGTGCTCATCTGCAACTGAAGTCGTCTGGGGAGGGGTCACTTCCTTTTGCTCAGGGGAGAGGCTGCAGGACAATACACGGTAAAACAGATGTGAATGGACACCCAGCTGTTCCGCCCATCACTGACCACAACACTCAGCAGGCCCTTATCCCCAGAACTACCTTGAGCTACATACAGGGCCAGCTGTGGCCAGTGGCCAAGCAGAAGACAGGGTCCTGGCCCCTCTTCACTCAGCAGCTTCCCAAGCAGGGCCTGTGCCTCAGATAGAGCAGTTGCTATGGGACATGGGTGGGGGCCTAGAAGCTTCTTCTGACCCTTTACCTTGTTGGTTGGGCCCACCACCATGTGGGTACCTCTTAGTACGCTGGGGAAACTCTAGAGGTTCAAAAGGCAGGGCTATGTCTGGGGCAGCTTCTGAGTCCTAGCACTTTTGCTAACAGCAAGTGCTCTGGGTCAGTTCATGGCCAGGGACAGGCATGCTACCCTGACCCAACCTTCACTGTGCTGACAGGCACACAGAGGAGGGCACCGAGGGACTGTTCTTGCCAATGCTGGTGAGAGGTCCCAGAGAAAGCTCTAGAAGATTCCCTCTCTTGCAGACCAGCCTGAAGCAGATGATTCATAAAGGTGGGCTCATTCAATACCCACCCCCACTCTCAAGATGGAGGGAGGGAGCCCAGGAACTAATAGCTAGGGTCTGGGTGATAGTGGGCGCCTGGGGGAGAGGGGACTGCCAGGATGAGAACCACCTCCAGATCATCACCCCCCTAAAGTGCTGCTAAGTGTTTTCTGTTGTGGAATGTTTATTTAACCACGTAAAGGCGTGTCACATTTGTTTATGCGGTATTTGTCTAATGATGCACAGATGTGTCGCTTTTGTTTATGCTGCATTGTTAATGCTTTGCCTGCCTAAGGCATCTGATTGGTCTAATAAAAAAAGCTGAATTGTCACTGGCTAGGCAGTAGAGGGATAGGTGGGGCTGGTGGGCAGAGAGAAGAGGATGGAAGGAGAAAGAAAGGGAGACACACCAGCCAGCCAGCTGCTAGCCAGACACAGAGGAAGCGGGAAAAGCAGGACCTACAGAATGAAAGAAAGGTAAAAAGCCCCGAGGCAGAACATAGATGAAGAGAAGCAGGTTAAATTAAGTTATAAGAGCTAGGAGGACAAGCATAAGAAAAGGCCAAGCGTCCATAGCTAACAATAAGTATCCGTGTCATGATTTGGGGCAATGATCTGAGAAAGCCTGCTCACAGTTTCCAGCATGGGGAAGCCAGGGCAGTCCTGATGGGAAAAGCCCTGCTGCTGCTGCTGCTGCTGCTGCTTCCAGCAGTTTGTGAACAAGGGACACCCTTCACATCCCTCATCTGAGCATGGGCAGGAACCTTACTCCCTTTCACTGCAAAAGGCCTTAGCGGCCAGGACTCAGAGAGAGCCCAGTTGCTGCTGGCCATAGAACAACCCCTATAGTAGTCTCAGAGGCTGCCATGGTCACACACATGTTTTCTGCTGCCCTAAGTCAGGCTGTTTGTGTACTGTCACTGCATACCCCACAGAAGTGCTCTAGGAAACTCCATGTGCCCATATCCCTCAGCCGCAGAGCCAGTAACCGGCTGCTGTTTGCCTTCCCTGGGGCTCAGGGTGGGCCTGGTCCTCCCATGCCCTTCTGTCCTCCCGTCCTCCTGGGAGCAGCTGAGTGAAATGAAATTGCCCAGCAGAAAGTAAATACATGAAAGGCTTCTTGTGGCAAGCGCCAGGGGCAGCTCCCCTCACTCAAACCCTCACCCACTCACTTTGCAGCTTCGGCGCTCTCAGAGATTTCCTGGGGATGGTAGCCTTGGGGGCTTCCAGGTCTGTGTCCCTCTATTTTCTGATTTGTGTCTGAGACCCCGCCCCGAGTGACCTTGATGCTGGGGCTGGAACTCTAGGAAAAACAGCACAGGGCAAGCCTGGTTTGACCACATTCAGCTAGTCCCCTCTTCAAAACAGCAGGAGGCTGGTGCACAAGGCTGTGGCCACCGCAGGACAGTCTCAGCCCTGTGGACAGCATACTCCCTCAGGAGTGGACAGCTGCTGGAGCAAGCTGTCCTGTCCCTTATCAGCCTACTGACGGGGCTAGCAGACAAAAGACAGAGCTGGCATTTCTGCCCAAAGTTGCCCAGAATGACAGGTGTGACACAGAGGGGCCAGGTGAAGACGCTGGGAGTGCCCACCTGCAGCAGCCGGGTTCGAGCCTGGAGCTCCTGCTGCAAGTGGGCCACAGACCTCTGCACATCGAGGACACACTGCTGATGCTGCAGGAGCTGCTTCCTGCCATGGTGCAGCGACAAGGACACCTTCCTCAGGGACTGGATTTCCCTCTGAAGTTCCAGAGGACAAGTAGCTTAGCCAGGAGAGGACATCCAGGGGTCTCTGCCTCTCATGCTGCCTGGCCTCCTGTCCCCTCCACAGGCCTTTTGCCTGGCCCTCCCTGCTCAGCCTCTTAGCTACTGATTTCCTCTGAGTTTGGTCAGGTGGCACCAGCAGGATGCAGGAGGGAAGCTGGGGTACTTATGTACCAATTGACTTCCATATGGAGTGTTTCCCCCTCCCCGCCTCTCTCTCCCTCCCTCCTCCCTCTCTCTCTCCCTCCCTCCCTCCCTCCCTCCCTCCCTCCCTCTCTCTCTCTTTCTCTCTCTGTGTTGGTCACTGCTTCTATAACACTGCTTTATTATAAAAAGCTCCCCCCAAGACCTAGGAAGCAGGCACTGCTGATCAGTGGGGACTTGAAGCTCCCAGAGGCTAAGCTACTTGTTGAGGGCCACAGATAGCAGGAGGCTAAGCTTGGTTTACATCCAGGGCCCTGTGCCACCCCAGACTGTAGTCCTCTGATCATGGGCTCTTCCAGGCACCATACGGTTCTAAGCGTCACTGAGGGGTGGAAAGAACTCAAGGATGTTCTGTGGCACAGGGGTGTTCTGGTCCCCCAACTGGAAGGGCTGCAGGCCTGTTCCTGTGTGACCATTCCTTGCCCATGCCTACCCGTTCCTTCTCAAGTCTGCTGAGGGCTTGTTGTTGCTTTTCCCGCAGAGTAGCCTGTGCTGCTCCACGCCCCACAAGACACCTAGGGGAGGGAAAAAGCCACATAGAGCTTTGAGAGTCTACTAAGATAGAGAGGAAGAGGCACAAAGCAGGGTCAGGACAGTCCCAGCAGCCAGATACACCTGGACACCCCCACAGAGCAGAGTCTGGGGGCCCCGGGGTGGGGCTGGGCTGCCACTCCTCCCTCCCACCACCCACATTTATGATTGTCTTATGGTCTAGGCCTCGAAGGCCTGAGATGGCAGAGTCTCCCGCCTGCAGACCACATCCAGGCAAAGGGTTCTCCGCTGACACCGAGGACTAATCCACCCTTAGCATGTCATGCCCAGGCCGGTATTGGGCTATGAATAGAGACACCCTTGGAGGCCGGCCTGAGCTGTCTCCACGTACACGGCTCACTTATGTGGAAGTCCTATATCTAAGAAGTCACACTAAGGTGTTGGGGAAGTCCTATGTCAATAAAGCACTGTTGAGCCAATAGGAATCTAGATAGGTGGAACTAGGAGTCCAGGAGAACTCTGGGAAGGAGAAACACAGAGAGTTGAGATGTAACGCCATGGGGTAGGAAGCCTGGAAACTTCTCCGGTAAGAGACATACTTAGATTAACAATTATGGGGTAATTACTTAAGTCAGAGCTAGCCAGTAAGAAACAAGCAAGGCCAACAGCTTCATAATTAATATAGCCTCCTGTGTGTTTAGTTGGGACTGATGCGGCTCTAGAACCAGGCTGGCAGGAAGGCTTCTCTCAAGGAAAAAGCCTCCCTTTACACTAAGGAAAGTTCTCAACATTTATAATAGCAAAAAGTTGGACACACACTAAGGGTCTGTGATTGGGGACAGGACAAGGGAATGCTGATGACCTGCACCACGTGCTGGCAGTTACACGGTGACGTGAGGCTTTCTTGCAGGCAACAGCATGTGAGGCACAAACCCCCAGCAACACCTGGGACACACTGGACACACTGCAGACATCACAGAGGCAGGGACAGTGGCTGTTTGTTTGTTTGTTTATTTGTTTGTGTTTGGGGTGTGGTTTTGTCTGGGACACTTTACTGTCTTACCTAAATATCTACAAATGCCTATCACAGCCTAGATCACTACAGCCATCTTCCTCCGTCTGTGCCCGGGCGTGGTGGGGGGGGGCACACCTACAGGGGTGGAGCAGAGCCAGCCACAAGCATGAGCTCACCCAATCTGATGCTCCAGGCAGGTCAACTCCGCACGGGCTTTTTCCTCCAGCGCCAACTCGCGCAGTCGGAGCACAGCAGTCTGGTGCTGTGCACGCAGCTCTTCGTCCCTCAGACTCTGCTCCAGCATCGCCATAGTGAAGCGGTGGAAGGTTCTGGACCTTTCTGTTCCTGGCTCTGGTCTTGTTATGCTCCACTGCAGAGACAGACCAGCCCAGTCTTGTCACTACTGGATCCTCTCAAGGGCTGGGAGCTTCCTGACTGTAAGCTCTTGTAGGGCAGGCAGAGTCCTCACCATCCTGGACTCATGCCCACCCCAAGCTAGGCAGGACACTTGTTTATACCCTGCAGAGTTTTAGCAAGGTAGGCTGGGCTGTGTATTGTGTATTGTGCCTAAAAATCCCTGTTGTCACGCAGGCCCTCAGCTATCACCCAGGGTGGGAGGGACTAGCTAGGGTGGCTACCAGCTGCCAGGATGGACAATGGGATGGCAGAGTGACCCTCCCAAGACCAGGGCCAGTATGGACACACTACCCACCACCAGTATCATGTAGCCTTAAAACCAAGCCGCATTCTTCGTACCTTGTAGGCAGGTCTGTCTGAAGGGTAGAACTTGGCGAGAGCCACCTGGGAGTGAGCTGGGTCCTGCTGCTCTGGCTCCGAGAGAGAAAGCAGGCCTTGACTGGGTCCTGAGGGAACCAGTGACATGTGCTTAGGGCTTTTCCTGCAGGAGGGCCTCACAAATGAAGTATGTCTGAGGCAGGAAAGGCTCACACTCCACCTCTGACACAGCCTCACACCAGATCTCAAGACAATGCTGAAAGGGCCTGGTGGCTTCTTGTTTCCTAAACTGAGGTTCTGAAATGGGACCCACAGTTGTACACAGGACCAGACCAAACATAAGGTGCTCAAGATAACAGCCCTTACTCTGGAAGAAGGAGACCCTGAGGCCAGATGGGGAAAGGATGTCCTGAGTCAGGCACCCAGCAGGGACAGGAACATAGAGCCCAGACTCCTGGCTAACCTAGCTCCCTTGCTGCTGTCCCCTGTCCACCGCCCTGATATGATGGGTTTCATAGAGTAGGCCCACTACCCTCTGGACAGACTTTCCCTGTGTAACAGCCCTGACTGTCCTAGAACTCACTCTGTTCAAGGCGGGCCTTGAGCTCAAAAAGATCTGCCCACCTCTACCTCTCAAGTGCTTGGATCAAAGGCATATGCCACCACGCCTGGCCCAAGAAGGCTTTTTTAGTTAAAAATAATTAAAGAATATTTTTTGACATCCCACCAAAAAAGGACAAAAGGAACTAGACTCACCACCGTATCTGAAAGTGTGTGTTTTACACAGACAGACATACATTCTCACACATATGAAAGAGCATTTTTGAGACACTTGATACCAACAAGGAGGTTAGACCAACAATGACAACATCCCAAGAGACCAAGGCTTCAGCACAGGGAGGACAAGCTGGGGTAGGCAGACCCCCAGCAGAGGAGACAGAACTGAGTCTGGGAGACAGCTAGGGTTGATGGAATGGTATGTTAGAGAGGAAGCCACAGAGAGAACCCCATGGTTCTAGTACTAAACATCTCTGATTTGCAAGTGAGAACTTATGGTTTAGCACAGGTTAAAAAGCATTCACTGGGCTGGAGAGATGGCTCAGCGGTTAAGAACACTGGCTGCTCTTCCAGAGAGGTCCTGAGTTCAATTCTCAGCACTACTTCTAACACTCCTCATTTTTCTGGGAAAATCTGTATTTCTGGCTGACATCATTCCTGTGTCCCTCACCTGATTTTTGAGATACACATCTACCAGTAACAAAAACAAAAGGAAACTCATTTATATATTCAAGAACATCTTCACTCTGGTTTTTGTTTCTTACATACTCTTCCCTGGTCATAGCATTTGAGTACACTTATTTTTTAAATAGGGTTTTACTATGTAGCCCTGACTGGCCTCCTGAACATAACACCAGTAGCACGACACTGAGATTGACAATTAATAAATGGGACCTCCTGAAACTGAGAAGCTTCTGTAAGGCAAAAGACACAGTCAGCAAGTGGCAGCCTACAGAATGGGAAAAGACATTCACCAACCCCACATCTGGCAGAGGGCTGATTTCCAAAATATACAAAGAACTCAAGAAGCTAGTCACCAAAACACCAAATAACCCAATTACAATGTGGGGTACAGGGCTGGAGAGATGACTCAGAGGTTAAGAGCACTCGCTGCTCTTCTAGAGGTCCTGAGTTCGATTTCCAGCAACCACATGGTGGCTCACAACCATCTGCAATGAGATCTGGTGTCATCTTCTGACCTGCAGGAATATATGCAGGCAGAACACTGTATACATAATAAACAAATCTTTTTTAAAAAGTGGGGTACAGAACTAAATAGAGAATTCTCAATAGAGGAATCTAAAATGGCTGAAAGACTCATAAGAAAGTGCTCACCATCCTTAGCCATCAGGGAAATGCAAATCAAAACAACTCTGAGATACCAAAGTATTCTTACTCCTGTCAGAATAGCTAAAATCAAAAACACCAATGACAGTTTATGCTGGAGAGGATGTGGAGAAAGGGGAACACTCCTCCACTGCTGGTGGGAGTGCAAACTCATATAGCCACTTTGGAAATCAATATGGCGGTTCCTCAGGAAAATGGGAATCAGTCTACCACAAGATCCAGCAATTCCACTCTTAGGCATATACCCAAAAGATGCACATTCATACAACAAGGACATCTGTTCAATCATGTTCATAGCAGCACTATTTGTAATAGCCAGAACATGAAAGCAACCTAGATGCCCCTCAACTGAAGAATGGATGGAGGAAATGTGGTACATCTACACAATAGATTACTACTCAGCAGAAAAAAAAACAGTGGAGTCTTGAAACTCCCAGGCACATGGATGGAACTAGAAGAATCCATCCTGAGTGAGGCAACCCAGTCACAAAAAGACAAACATGGTATGTACACACTCATATATGGATTTTAGACATAGAACCAAGGATTACCAGCCTACAATCCACACCACCAGAGAAACTGGGAAACAAGGGGGACCCTAAGAGAAACATACATGATCTCCAGGAGAAGGGGAAAGGGACAAGATCTCCTGAACTAATTGGGACCATGGGGGGAGGGGAGAGGGAGTTAGGAGAAAGAGAAGGGGAGAAGAGGAGGAAAGAGAAGGACATGAGGGAGCAGGAAGATAGACTCAGGGGAAGAATAGAGGAGAGCAAGAAAAGAGATACCATACTAGAGGGAGCCATTATAGGTTTAAAGAGAAATCTGGCACAAAGGAAATGTGCAGAGATCTACAAGGTTGACCCCAACTAACAATCTAAGCAATAATGGAGAGGCTACATTAAATGCCCTTCCCCGATAATGAGATTGATGACTATCTTATATGCCATGCTAGAGCCTTCATCCAGTAGCTGATGGAAGCAGAGGCAGACACCCATAGCTAAACGCTGAACTGAACTCCTGGAATCCAGTTGCAGAGAGGGAGGAGTGATGAGCAAAGGGGTCAAGACCAGGCTGGAGAAACCCACAGAAACAGCTGACCTGAACAAGGAGGAGCTCATGAACCCCAGACTAACAGCTGGGAAACCAACATAGGACTGTTCCAGACCCCCTGAACATGGATGTCAGTTTGGAGGTCTTAGCAATCTATGGGGCCTCTAGTAGTGGATCAGTATTTATCCTTAGTACACAAATGGACTTTGAGAGCCCACTCCACATAGAGGGATACTCTCTCAGCCTAGGCACACTGGGGAGGGTCTAGCCCCTGCTCCAAATGATATGACAGGCTTTGAAGATCCCCCATGGAAGGCCTCACCCTCCCTGGGGAGCAGAAAGGGGGATGGGATAGGGGTCAGTGGGAGGCAGCTGAGGAGAGGAGTAAGAGGGAACTGGGATTGACATGTAAAACAAGTTTGTTTCTAATTTAAATTTTTTAAAAAAGTAGAAAAACAGAAACAGTGGCTATATAGTAGGACCCTGTCTAGAAAAACAAAGGGGGGGAGTTTAATCTAGGCAGGGGGGCAAAGGGGGTTATGGGGAGGATACACATATAACCTCAGCACTTGGGAAGCTGAAGTGGAATGGCTCTTAGGAGTTAGAGGTCAGCTTGGGTTACAGGGCTCCCGGCCAGTCTGGGTTACAGAGTGAGACTCTGTATCAAGAAATCAGACCAAAATTTAACCCAAAATTGGGAGGCAGAAAAAGAAAATAAAAGATAGCTGGAACAAGAAAAATGAGCATCAAAGTGAATAACTTAAACCTAATTCTGAGGGTAAGCCCATCCCCTAGGAACAGGGTAAGCAACTCAATTAGAAGGCAGAGGCTGGACTTAACAGGAGCGTCATATTGTCCACAAGTAACACTCCTCAAATGCAAAGACACAAACAGAAAGGAAGAGTGTGGCGAGGGCCATGCTCTTTTTTTCTAGTCACAGGAAAGCTGTGCAAATGTCAACGGAGGTTTTGGAGGTGATGTGCATGCCCTGCCCTCCAAATTCAATCCCTGGCATAGCATAAACCAGGCACAATGGTGCCCATTTATAGCCCCAGCACTTGGGAGGCATAGGCAGGAGGGTCAGACATTTCAGGTAACCTTCAGTTACAGGTGAGTTCCAGGCCAGACTAGGAGACCCTAGGTGAGATGCTAGCATAGAAATCCCCCGGCCCCCCCAAACTAAACTTACATACAAAGTGGACTCCAGGACAAAACTCATTGCAGAAATGTCCCATATCAAAAGGGTCAATTCATCAAGAGCTCATTGGAAATCCTAAATATTTATGTGTCACAGCACTAATCGAACTGCCCAGGGCTCTAGACAAGCCCACAAGCTGACATTTCAGTAGTGCACCCACCCCCACCTCAACCCCCACCCCCTCCCCCCACCCCCACCCCTGCAATAGGTAGATAGGAGGCAGAAAAGCCACAAGCATGGAGTAGATCTGACCAATTCTGTCACCAACTGGTCTACCTGGCATTGCGGAATGTTCCACCCAACAGAGCATGTGGCATATCCCAGCAAAAGCTTGAATGGGGAGATAATAAAAACTCTACAAATGTACTTTATGAGCCGGGCGTTGGTGGCACACGCCTTTAATCCCAGCACTCGGGAGGCAGAGGCAGGCGGATCTCTGTGAGTTTGAGGCCAGCCTGGCCTACAGAGCGAGTTCCAGGACAGCCTCCAAAGCCACAGAGAAACCCTGTCTCGAAAAACCAAAATAAACAAAACAAACAAAAAAAAACAAATGTACTTTATGACCACCAGAAATGGACAGAGGGGCCAAGCTTTCCAGGGAAACGGCCGCATCAGGCTGGGGGTGAATCTGTAGGCTGGTGTGACTAGCTCCTTGAGGCTTTCCACCACTGCCCTTATCCCTGTTCAACCCCTAACCTGCCAGCACATCACATAGGACACTCACCTGCAGAAGATGCCCTTGCTTCCTCAGGAGGCTCCAAGGACCCCGTGCTGTCTCTCTGCGGGGAGGGTGGTGATCTGAAGGGTCAGGAAAACCACCAGAGGCCACTGTCATTGCCAGCACCTGAAACCTGGATTTAAGCCTGCCCTCCTCTACCCTGTGGAGTCCCATCTGGCCCCAGCCTTGGCCTCACCTGGATCTGGTTGTCATTGTGTTAAGAGAGAGTGTGTTTGGCTCTAGGCCACCACACATCTGCTGCTGTTCCAGCCTCGAAGCCTTTTCTGGCTTTTGCTGGGCTTCGGGTTTCTCCATCTTCTGCTGTGAGGAAACAGTCTGATGTTGCAGAGAGTGAGAGAGGAGGTTTCACAGCTGGGTCCCAGGGTCGGGCAAGAGAGACATACTGGGGTTTGTATATCTCACACGCCACAGGTCATAAGCTTTGGGCTCCAACAGAGACCCTGCTGCTCATCCTAACAGGCCCCAGATCGGGATGAGTGCAAGGTAAACACCCCAATCCGTGACCCAGCTCTGGAACCAGCCATGGGCACCTCAATGTAGGTATCCCCAGGACATAAGTGACCAAAGCATCCGATCCCTTCAAACAAGTCCACAGCCCCCAGTTTACGTGGCTCTGCGCTCCCTCCTAGACTGGTGAAGCCCTCCGTATCCATGGGGAGACACCCACTTTAGAAGGGTCAGGCTGGGTGGGGGGAAGGGACACAGGGCAGGGGTGGCACACCCATTCACGCCCGAGAAGGGGCGTCCCTCTGACCTTCAGCTGGTGTTTGAAGAGAAGTGCATCCAGTGTCATCTGCATCTCCCATACCTCATGCTCTGCCTGCTGCCGCAGAAGGGCGAGCGCCTGCTCCTGCTTCTGCTGGTCCAGCTGTCATGAGAACCCACACCCGGGGTTCACCTGTGTCTTGCTGGCAACAGACTCTGAGGATCACCCTGGTAGCTCCCATGCCTGGGCAGGGCCTGTCCCTTTTAGCAACCAGCTACTCTTTCTATTGGGGCTTCCCTATCCAGACTGAGGGACAGGGGTAAGGGCTGCTTCTCAACCCTGGGTTCTGTGTGTTTGGAGCCTTCTATTCAGCACTGGGGGCAGAGCCTGCTCACAGCTAATCTCCAAACAGAAGAAGCCTAAAGGGGACACAGCTGTCACTGGCCTGCTGTCATAGGGCAGGACATACCTTCAGTGATTCGAGAAAGCTCAAGGATTTCAGCTGGAAATTGGTCAGGTGCCCTTCATGCAGGCCTCCAGAATGTGGCCCCTTGGGCTCCTGCTGACCTGCAGACCACGGAGGAGGGCACCTGAGCGGCAGATAGGCTCTGAGCCTCTCTCCTGGTTGAGCCTCAGCACTCACAGCTTCTTGGCCTGCAAGGAAACTGAGGCCAGAGGCCGGGAGGGAAGGCCCGCAACACAAGCACTGTGCTGGTATCCAACCCTTCAAGAACGACCCCTTCCCTGCAGCCCTTCGGGAGAGCATGGCTGCCACGTGGCTGGCTAACCTCCCTCAAGTTCACTCTGGCTACCATTCATTCCAGAAGCAAAAATCAAGTTAGTATAGGTGATAGGGCCCACCAGACAGACCCAGGTCCCAGTCTCAGATCTGATCTGCACTTTCTAGATGACCCTGAACAAATGACTGGCCAACCAGAGCCTCTGGGGAACCCGGCTTCCCCAGCCTGAAAGCCACTATTGTTGCCCATGGCGTTTAGGTGGGTATGCGCTACAGTGAGGTGAGTTGAGGGTGCTTCTTGGAATTCTGGGGTGCTCCCCTTCAGTTACAAAGTCCCCAAGGGTAGCTGAGGGGGCTTCTTTTCTTTCTGATGGCTCCCCAGAGCCAAGGCTCTGCACACTGTTGGTGTTCCCTGCTCTGTGGGGAAGAGGAGAATCCAGGGCTTGGCTGTGTCTCCCTCTTGACCCATCCTCTACCTTAACCTCAGCCTCATTTCTTCTAAGAGTTAGCTGTTGGAGGAAGGCTCATGATGTTTGGCTTGGACCATCTAGCCTGGATGAGAGGGCCTTCCTGACGGCCCTTGATGGCCCTCGGCCACCGACTGGTCATGAAACAGAATGGCAGTCCTCTGCCTAAGAAGAGCCGTCTTTCCTGGCAGACTACACATCATCATGGACAGAGAAGCTCAGGGACTTGGAGTGGGAGCAGATGTAAAGCTGTGACAGCAGCTACACAGTCCTGGGCATTACCAATGACAAAAAAAAATTCTGGGGGTAGCAGGTTGCAGCCTTAGGACATACACTGAGCACTTGGGTACTCTTGGGGGGCCCCATATAATTGGGCACAACTCTTGGGTTGACTGAGTTCCTTTGCAGGAAAAGAGGGCTTCACTGCTATGTCCAGGCTCTCAAGAAGACTGAGGACAGAGCAGATGTCAGTGCTCCGCCACCTTCCACACACACTAAAGACTGAAGCCTCAGGCCTCTAAGCAGGTGCCAGCCCCCGTCACCCTTCCACAGACTCTAAAGATCGAAGCCCAAAGCTTCTAAGCCTTGCATCTGAGGGGGTAGCTCCTGGTCCTCTTGGCCATGTCAGTGCCCCCAAAGGTCACAGCTGCATGTCCCTGTGACCCAGAAGAAAACTAGGTCAGCCCCCAGCTGGGATCACCATATACAGAGAACGACCCTGCCTTAATCCCTAACTCCTCTCAAAAAACAGGGAAAAGCCCCTGGAATTCAGCACCCTCCAAAGCCAGCACTGTGAACCCAGTGAGCTGACCTCATGAGAGCCCGGCGGCTGCAGCCTGTAGGTAGGAAGGATGATGAATGCAGAGTGCTTAGACTGTGGGGTTCCTCTGCCCCCAGGGGAGACCTGCTAAGCCAGAGAGTAGAGCTTTGCTTCCAGAGAAGCAGCAGAAGGCACAGTTGGTGTTTAACTTTGCACATTTAGAGGAGAAAAATGGGGACCCAAGTTTGACCTTAAAACCCTTGTATTAAAAAAGAAAAAAAAAACCTGGGTGTGGTGGCACTCCCACGTAATCCCAATGTTTCAGTGAGGAAGAGAAGCAAAGCCTGGGCTCACCAGACAGACAGCCTAACCTGTGTTCCAGGCTCCAGCCAGAGAGAGACTCTGTCTCAAAAACAAGGTGGGGGTGTTGCCTTCTGGCCTCTACATATGTATGCTCAAGTGCACACGCACGCGTGCGCCCGCGCGCGCACGTGTACACACACACACACACACACACACACACACAGTGCATAAAAAGCTAACTCTTGGGGGGAGGGCACGGGAGGAGGGGAGGGAATGGGAAAGGGACCTGGAACTGACTTGTGAAGCAACCTCGTTTCTTATCTAAATTTAAACTGGAAAATAAAAGAAAAAGAAAAAAGAAAAAAAAAAGCTAACTCTTCTGTTCCGCCTCATCACAGGCCCAAGTCTTGACCGTCACATACGTCTGACAGCTTCCACACATCCCTCATTAACAAACATTCCACCGAGCAGGGACGTCTAGGTACTGAAGTCCAGAAAGTTTTGCTGGACTGCGGGGCTTGTATACACTAGTGGCTAGAATTGAAGGTCTCGCTCTCATTGCTGTTTCTGTGACCGACCAACACTTCTGCTCAGGGAATGGCAAATGGGACTGAGGGATAAGACAGGGCAACCCCCCCCCAACACACACACACTTGTAAGGAAAGAGCCACACCCTTGGGGGAGATGGCCATCTTGTGACCAGGAATTACTCTTGACTCTCACACAACAGCAGACCCTGCTTAGTCTGGAGGAAGAGAGTGTATAAACCCAGCCAGGGGTGGCCAGAGCCCAGGGAGTCTCGCTGACTCTCTCTGGACTACACTTTCTGCGGAGAGATAGGACTTTCCTCTGGTTTAAATGCTCCTTCTCAAATTCATGTAGACATTTAGTAGCCATGGTAACAGGGTTAGAAGGTAAGGCTTCTAAATGGTGAAGGCTTGTCCCTAGAGTGGCAAAGTCTAACCACTAAAGCCAGGAATGGACTTATTATAAAAGGAAGGGCTGGTGTGTGAGGATAGTGCATTAGGTGTTTGCCTTGGGTTCCATCTCCGGTACCCCATAAGCAGGCTCTGGTGGCACAAACCTGTAATCCCATCTCTTGGGAAAGAGACAGGAGAAGCAGAGGTTCAAGGCTATCCTTAGCTACACAGTGGGTTAAGTAAAGGCTATCCTTAGCTACACCTTCTGAACTATGAGCCCACACCTCCCTGTCCATCCTAAGTTCAGGCTGTTAGAGCAGCCACTCAGAAACAGGCTGGAGATCCATGTAATACTGTCAACTTGGCAGGCTCTGGAATCATCCAGGAGACAAGCCTCTCGGCAAATCTGTGGATTTATCCAGAGTAGACTGAAGTGAAATCTGTGGGTCACAACATCCCACGGGCTCAGGTTCTGCACCGAACACCAGCATCCGTACCCTTTGCTTCCTCCCTGCCGATGCTATGTGGTCTGCTGCCTCGATTTCCACTAGGGCTTAATTCTAGTCCAGGCAAGTAACTGAAAAACCAACCAGGGCTGGCCAGGGATCTCCACAAATGCACTTCCTGCCCCTCATCTCCTGGTGCCCCTAAAATGTAGATTTTGCTGGGATAGAGGCTTGAGCTCTGATCGATGTCAAGTATGAAGTCACACTTAGTCAGTGTGGCAGGAGTAAAAGGTTCATGGACCACTGAGGTTTTGCTGTAGTCCTGGAGCCTAGGAGAGTTGGCAGCTGTTGCCTGAATCCCCCTAAGGGAGAAAGGTCGTGCCCTGTCCCACCCCCCAGAGGCCAGGAGCCTCTACCTGCTGGATCTCACATGGTATAGAGCTGGTGGCCCCACAACACACTCTCCTCTCTCTCTCTCTCTCTCTCTCTCTCTCTCTCTCTCTCTCTCTCTCTCTCTCTCTCTCTCTCTCTCTCTCTCTCTCTCCCTCTCCGTCTCCCTCTCCCCCCCCCTCAGCTCATACATAAGTGCTAACTCACACCTACCAGGTATGTCCAAGGCTCTGAGCCCAGTCTGAGACATTTCCCACCCACCTGGCTGGCTCTACCCTGCTGGGAAAGCCTTGATGCCTGTCCTACAATCCTCTGGGGCTACTCAGTCTGACTAAGGGTCCTGAGCAGAGCTAAGGCTCACATTTACTCTTAATGTTTCTCCAAGCCAGGCGTGATCACTTTATTGTTGCTGTTTGGTTTGGTTTCATTGTGCAGTACTGGGGTTCGAACCCACAGCCTCATATATGCTAGACAAGCACTTTATGTTTGAGCTATATCCCAGCATTGTTACCCTATTTTATGTGTGTGTTTATTTTTGTGTTTTCTTTGTTGTTATTTGTCTGTTTGTTAGCTCTCACAGTGTATCCCAGGCTGCCCTGGAATTTTGTATTTCCCAGGCTGGCCTTGAATGTGTGATTCTCTTCCCTCCTCCTGAGTGCTGGGCTTACGGGTTATCTTACTACCGTATTCAAAACCTGCTTTATGAGGAAAATAAGCAAATAGTAAAGAAATAGTGAACCGAGTCCCAGTCTTGTTCAAACATGGTACCTATCTCCTTGCCATGCTGGGCAGGAAGCTTCTCCCCACAGCCTACAGACTCCTAGCAGGATGTACCCCCGAGGGCAGGTAGGCTCCCCCAAAGAATCTGTGACTTCTGTGGTCAGCAAGAGAATGCCTCATACCCTCTCTAGGTGCCCGCTCTTCAGCCCTGAGTGCCCTTAGCTGAAACCTAGGAACAAGGACACTTAAGTATCAAAGAAAAGGCAGAACCTGGGCTGACAGGCATAAGGAAGGAAAGCAGAGTGTCACCACTGGGCTACAGCTATTCTGGAGACCAGCGATGACATACATCATGACAGGCGCAACAGGAGCGGAGTAGGCGGCGGGGGCTGGAGAGCCTCAAAACACTTTAATACTGACACGTGGCTGCCGTCCACATAGAAAAAGGCCTCTGCCCTGCAAGACCAAGCTCAAGCTAGGCAGTGGAAGAGGCCCATGGGAGGACCCCCTGGCCACCCGACCAGCCAGCCCAGGGCCTATCTGCGGGCTCGCCCTTACCGCAGCTATGGGTGGTCCAGGGCGTTACCAAGCCTGCCTTTTTGGCTTCTGGCATCTTCTCCTGGCAAAGGGAGTCACAGGCGGGGGCTGGTGCTGCTGGCACCCCAAGTGAGCTAGAAGACAATGAGTATATGATGAGTGAAGTCAGCATCAGGATGGGGGGAAAGGGGTGAAAAGTACCGTAACTCAGCAGGAATCTGGGCTCCCACAGCCTCCAGCAGCCCTAAGATCCAGGCAGTGTGGTTAGGAGACAGACCTGAGGGCTTAAGGTCTGGCTCCATTAGCCAAGCATAGCCACAATACAATGTGTGCATACATGAGTGCATGCGTGTGTGCGCGTACGTGCATGTGTGTGCTAGTTCCATCATCACCATTTCTGAGGTGGGCTCCCAGCCCCATGTGCCAATGCAGCTACCCTCGGTCGACCTTGTCGGGTGATTGAGGACACCACCCACAAGGCTATGTGGGATGAGATGACACTCCACAATCCCACCTCAATGCACCGCGACTCTGCATTGCAGCTGTGCCTGTGATGCAGAGCTGGGCCATCAGGGGAGAGGCAGAGCCCCAACTAAGGACTCTAATTCTCTATACTCCACATGGTCCCAGGCAGCTGCCTCCCTGAGACAGACGGGAAAGGCCTCTACCCAGGTCAAAGCAGCCGCCAGTGGGCAGCGAGCTGCCTGGTCCAGGTGGGTGCGCAGCAGCTGCAGGGATTAGAAGGCTTTGAAGCACAGAGGGCGAGGATGCAAATTGGCTGGTGTGGGCGGTGAGCACAGCCTCAGCTCATTCAGCCGGCTCTCCCCGAGGCGCCATCTGTTCCTGGACAGAGCGGCCTGGACTCCACCTGAATCACCAGGAATATCACCCATGCCTGGGTCCAGCAGCCCTCGGGGCCCACAGGTCTGTCTCCAGCCTTCTTCAGGTCAGGGGCTGGGCAGGGCTAGGCTATGGTATGGCCACACCCAACCCCTGCCTGGAGCTAAGGTCTTTCTGAACATACGAACATACGTTACGGGAACACAGACACACGAAGAGTTTCCAGGAAGCAGGAGCAATGGGGGCGGAGTTAAGTGTGAAGATAGGTGGGGCCAAGTCCCATGGGTAGCCGGCTAGAACCTGAACCCCTAGTGCCCTGAAAGTGAGAAGACAGTGACTGACGGGCTGTGGTGGAGGAGAGGGTCCCGCCCAGACTCAGCCTGAGAAGTTCAGGCCCTGGATGGTGCACCTGAGGGGAACAGACGGAAAACCACAGGCCTGGAGCAGGAAGGCAGACTTTGATCCTCAAAAGCAAACTGGCAGGACCACCTGGCTGTGGCCTACTACGTAATGGGACCAGCAAGCCTCCTCTCATTAGCAGAGGAAAACCTCAGCACAATGCTGCCCCCTACTGGTCATTATGAGTCAATGACGACACAGGCCTTACAATCCAGGAAACACCAATTCCATCAAAAAGTTCATTAGGAAAAAAAAAAAGTTCATTAGGGGAGGAACGGGTTTCCTGGTGAGGTGGCAGGGAAGGCGTCGGGAAAGAAGTGTCCCAGCTCCAGGAGGAGCAGGGGTCGGGGGCTGGGGAGGTTACGTAGCCTTTCGCTGTAGGTGAATGCGCTCAGCAACCTCTCCTGGGGTGAAGAGGAAGGATGAGCTTGCTCAAGATAAACAGAGCTGAGATTTGATGTAAACATCCCCCCCCCCGCCCCTCCACCCCACTCCCACCCCGGCCCAGAGCTGGGCCAGAAGTGGAGAAGCCACCTGCACACCACAGCTACCTTAACCACAGCCGCCTTCACGGTCTGTTCTCCCTGCTCTGAGTGTGTGGCAACCCCTCTCACCCACGCACAGCCTCTCCTCACATGAGAGGGGCTATCCTCTGAGACAGCTAACCAGCTGCCGAGCGGAAGACAGCTCAGCCTGTGGTTAGCAGTATAACACAGAGCCTGCGCCTGGGGACCACGCCGAGGTCAGAGGTTATTCTGGTGAGCTCTGTCAAAGTATAGACACAGGGCCAGCTGAGTCCTGGTGGCAGGGGCCTCCCAGCCTCCTCCAGAAGGTGCACCCTCTGTTCCGGCCACAACTCCGCAGAAAGGCTGTACAGGCTGCAGTTACCTGCCTAGGGTGCTGCAGTCTAAGGACAGCAGAATGAGGAGGACGTGGTTTGGTCCCTCGGGTGGGTAGCGCACTGCACAAAAAGTCAGGAGGAGGAGGCCTGGGGAGGGGGTGTTGGGGACCACAGAGCTTCTAACGCTGCGGAGGCCCAGGTGAGAGAGAACAGTAGGCAGGCGAGGGAAGATATTTGGGAGGCAGAGCAAGTTTTCAGGAGAGGTGACCAAACATACTTCCAAGCGCTGGAAACAGAAACCATAGCTGCGGATGGAGGAAGCCGTTAGCTTTCTGGTGGGCAATTGCTGAGGGTCAGCTGCAAAGTCCCTACAGGACAAAAGCCTCCTGGGCCCTGCCCAGCCTTGCATTCAGTGGGGGCCACTAAGGGCCCAGTGTGGTGGGGGCAGGATGGGCCCTTCTACGAACAGGAAGGAAACAGGGTGAGATGGGTGGGAGGGTCGCGAAAACTACAGAGGGGACATGGTAAGCTCCTGTGCGGATTGCACTGAGAAAAGGCTGGGGCCAGGGCTAGGGACAAAGAAGATACAGGGATAAGTCCTGAGAAGTCCTGTGACAGTGAACCCAGACAGGCTGATGAACCATGTCCTCAGACAGTCAACCTGGCGGCAGTCAATGAGGAAAAGCTAAGACAAGCATCTCCCACGGACTGTGGGCCAGCGCAAAGGAATGTCTGATGGTGAGCATGCCTCCCTGACCAGCGAGCAGCTGAGGCCAGAGGTAAACCAGATGTGTGAGGAGAACCAGTGTCACTCTTCACCTGGCCTGATGCACCCAGACTCCTGTCTGTGGGCCCTGGGCTAATACCATGACCCTCCACGGGAGATGAGAGAGGCAGACCTAACGGCCACAGCACAACGAACTAGACTCACCTCCTCATGGAGGCACCGAGGGCCTGGAGGGTAGCCATCTCTCTCTGCAGCTTCTTCTCCAGCTCCCGGGCGCCATGACTTGATGAGCCAGCAGGGCAAGGTTGCGTGTGAGACATTGAGACAGGGGCGCTGGAGACGGGACCTGCAGAGAGAGCATGGAGGTCTTTCTGACCTTCTTGCCCCTTGGGAAGGTACGGCGGGCAGGCAGCAGGCTTTGGGAAGAACCTTACCCCTCCCCCAACATGGGATGAGACAAATATGGCCTGTACTACATGTCACTACTCTCATTGTCTGGGTAGCGCCTACCCTGCCCTCCAGAGATGAAAAGGAATGGGGTCCTGTTGCAACCAGCCCAAGGATCACCCAGCAGGCATGACACCCACTGCCCAGCCCCACCTTGGGGCTGGCTCTCAATGTGGGTCCCCAGGTTCACACTCTGCGGCTCCCGGTTGGGTCTCCACGATAGCATCTCACCGTCCTGGAAGTAGGTGCTGGGGAGAAGGGGTTTGGTCTGCACGCCCACCCTGTCCTGGGAAGTTCCTCTGCCTCCATCAGACACTAAACTTCTGAGGTAAGAGGGAGGAGTGAAAGCGGGGGTGACAGGCTCTGTGCTGGGGCCCAAGGGCAGCATGTCCGAGGCCAGGTCACTAGCTGGTTCCGGCGACGTCGACTTGTGCAGCTTGGTGGTAAGGATGTCAATACGCTGCTTGAGGACATCGGCCATGGTCTCCAGTGCCTGCAGCCTGGCTTGCTTGTACTGGAAGTGCAGGAGGCCCGATGGGCCCAGATGCTCAGTATCCTGGGGGTCCATGTAGATGCACAGCCCCCCGGACATGTCCTGGAGCTTCATGGGGCCAGGAGAGGAAGCGGTAGATGGTAGCAGAGGGGCAGCACTCATGCCGTCCCGGGGGCGTCCAGCGTCCTGGGTCTCAGCACGGTTCCATGGTTTGTTCAAACACAGACAGAAGCTGCAGGGAGAGAAGAGGGGTTGGGAACTCAGCCTCAGCAACACGGTGCAAACACATGCGGGTGAAGCAAGGAGAGACAATGAGGACATCTGTGACAGAGCCAGGGTTCACCGCAGACCGGAGGTCAAGGCGAGGACATCATGTGTCATCAGTAGAACGAGGACCAAGTGTGAGGTACAGAGACATGATGTCAGTCCCTGGGGAATAGTCTGGTGAGTCTTCACACATCAAACACCACATTAACACAATCATCAGCAAGGGGTTTTACCAGAAGCATCAAAGGCCTGGGTGTGAACAGATGTCTGCGTACCCTGTTCACCGCAGCAACACTCCAACAAACAAACGAGGTCCATGATCAGATGATGGACCAGCAACGTGAGGCCCATCCACACAACGGGATGCTTCTCAACTTTAAGCAGGAAGAGAGAATGGTCCCTGCTCTACACCAGGAACGAACCCCAGAGACATCAAGCTAAGTGACATTGGTTACAAAAGGACAAGTCTGACAGGATTCCCCACATCTGAGTTCACCTAGGCCATTAGATCCAGAGAGACAGGTGATGCCAGGGGCTGGCAGGGGCTTCTAGGTTGGTGTCAATGGGGACAGAGGATCTACTGGGGAAGAGGAGATTCTGAGGACGGATGGTGGTAATGACTGCACAGTAATAGCAATGTGCCGTGGCTGTGCGACTAAAAACCGTTCAAGTCGGGCATGGCGGTGTATGTCTGCAACCTCAGCACTAGAGGCTGAAGGAGGAGGACTGTGAATCTGAAACGACATAGTGAGAGCCCTCACTGAAAAACAGAACAAATGCTGGTGTGACACTGCACGCCTTTAGTCCCTCCTAGCACGTGGGAAGCAGAGGCAGGATTGTCCCTGTCAGAGTTGTAGGCCAGACTGTAAGATGCTGTCTCCAAACAAATAACAATAAAAAAAGCTAATCAAGCCGGGCAGTGGTGGCGCACGCCTTTAATCCCAGCACTCGGGAGGCAGAGGCAGGCGGATCTCTGTGAGTTCGAGGCCGGGCTGGACCGACAGCCTCCAAAACAATACAGAGAAACCCTGTCTCGTAAAACCAAAAAAAAAAAAAAAAAAAAAAAAAAAGCTAATCAAAACAAACAAAAAGGAAGTTAGGTGGTGGCAAAGGCCTGAAAACAAAAACAAAACAGTTTCTTAGGAGTCTGAGGCTGGAAGAACAAAGTTTCATACTGGCTGGGCAACTTAATGAGACCCTGTCTCTAAATAAAAGGCTGTTTTGGTTTGTTTGTTGTTGTTTTTAAAGGCTGGAAGGGGCTAAATACCTGTAATCCCGGCACTCAGGAGATAGAGGCAGGTGGATCTTTGTTTGAGGCCAGCCAGGGCATAGTAAGACTCTACCACAAATAATAAACAAACAAAAGCTGGGATGTAGCTCAGTGATAGAGGCTTTGCCCAACAGCCGTGAAGCTCTGGGTTCAATTCCCAACACAGAAGACAAGAGGGAGAGTGTGTGAGACACCAGTGGGAAGAAGCTGGTCAATGGGCTATAGCTGAAGTTATTCTTTTTTTTTTTTTTTGGTTTTTATGAGACAGGGTTTCTCTGTATTGTTTTGGAGGCTGTCGGTCCAGCCCAGCCTCGAACTCACAGAGATCCACCTGCCTCTGCCTCCTGAGTGCTGGGATTAAAGGCGTGCGCCACCACCGCCTGGCATAGCTGAAGTTATTCTAACAGCCCTTAGCATACTGGAAAACACCGAAAAACTTGAAAGAAAGGACGCTGAATATGTTTTATCATACAGAAATTATAAATGTTTGGAGATGGATGCATTTAGCCTAATTTAAATATCGTGCAATGTGTGCGTGTATCAAAACACCACATGTACCCCATCCATCCATATGCACAATTTTTATGTTTTTATGTATTAGTCAAGCATAAACTTAAAACAAAATCCAGATGGATTTAGGATTTTTAAAAAATGGTTATCGTTGTAAATGTTATGCTATGTGTATTTTAGCATAGTTTTTAAAGGTAGGAGTAAAAAGGGCCAGCACGCAGTAAAGGGAGACAAGTCTACAGCTTCCACAGTGATGGGGATACCCCTCTAGCCCTGCAGGAAGCTGAAGGGGCCATGCAGGCTGCTGAGGGCTACCCATGGGTACAATAACTCGCTGGACCTGAGTCCTCCTCCATTTGCAACTAGAGGCTGCTTTAGAAGTTCACAGACACAGGCATCTACGCTGCCCTTCAGACATTATATCTCAAGACATGGCCAGGGAAAGACTAGGCAGGATAGAGGGAGGAGTTGGAGAGAGGAGTCAAGAGGAAGGGGAGAGTGTCTGTCCCATCTGGCCAAGAGTATATATAGAGGGGTAGGAGCAGGGACCAAGGAGATCAGCTCAAAGTTCCTCCCAATGCTAATGCCAAAAAAAAAAAAAAAAAAGCCCACCAATGTCCCTAGGGAGCCTAGAGCAGGACATTCCTGGAAGCAACCTCCTGAGGAGAGCTGCCAATCCCTGCGCCTCCTCCTCCTCACCTTCCTATACTGGCCAAGAGGAGTACCTCAGCAGGCAGCCATGGGTACCTTTGCAGGTGACCAGAATGAAGCCAGGCCGGGAGTGGCTGGCAAAAACCAGAGGTGGAGAAGGGAAAGAGCTGTCTCATTTAGGCGGTGAGGGAAGGGAAGGGAGGGAGCAGGGCGGAGGGGGCTGCGGGGGGGGGGCGGGAGGGGAGGAGGAAGGACAGAAGGGCATGTGGAAGGTGTTGATGCCACTGTGGCAAACAGCTTGGAAGCTCCTTAAAGAACTCCAAAGAGAAATACAGTGCACACAACGCCCCCCCGCGCCCCTCCCCACATCTCTGGAGTGGGCCTCTGGGACCCCAGTGCTGGGCCATGTGTTCCCAGTGGGAGCATGTGGGGCACCAGGTGAAGTCCTCTCCCCGGTACCTGGTGCCAATCATAGTCCCAGATGTTGAAACCTTGAAAGAGTAAGTTCTTCCAAGTCTAAAATCCCGATCCTGAAATATTAAAACTCGGAATGTTGAAACCAAAACCCTGGACGCTCATGTCCTGGAAACCTCAGTTTACGGGGGGGGCGTGAGACGGGGGCAAGGCAGGTGTCGTCATTACTGGGATCCATCTGCTCTCCCCGTGACCATGGCTCCTGCATCTTGCAGGAAGAACGCCTAGAATCCTGGGCCCATATCTGTGCCTGCAAGGGGTTCTCCAAAGACCACTATTTGATCCCCAGTGGGCCAGGAGGGGAGACTCTCAGAGGAAATGGATGGGAGCATGTTCCCCAAGAAGGGAGGCCCTGACAGAAAAACAGCGGCTTCCCACCACGGCTCCAGACTTCCAAACACAGTCCAAGGACAGGATGGTATCATGTCCAGAGACGGCCAGTGTACGCCGTCCACGGTCCGCCCTGTGGCCTCTTTGTCCTCAGTCACAAACCCTTCGCATTTTGCTTTATTTTATTTTATTTTATTTTATTTTTTTGGTTCATTTCCCATGTTTGACTTGTCAGTGCTGTCTCTCATTTGCATTTCAACCCCATTCACATCCTCACAGGGCTACAGACGAAAATCGCACAAAGACTTCTAGAGAGTTCTAATCCATCACTTCTTGGCACTTTTTGCCAGTGTGGCTCGGGAAAGAGCACTCTCAACCACCGACTCTGGGTGCACAAGAAACGCCGAAGCCCCCTTGACCTGAGAGATGTCCTTTCTTCTTTTTTTTTGTTTTTGTTTGTTTGTTTGTTTGTTTGTTTGTTTTTGTTTTTACGAGACAGGGTTTCTCTGTATTGTTTTCGAGGCTGTCAGTGCAGCCCAGCCTCAAACTCACAGAGATCCGCCTGCCTCTGCCTCCCGAGTGCTGGGATTAAAGGTGTGCGCCACCACCGCCCGGCTGAGAGATGACCTTTCTATGCACCCGACTTGCTGAAAGATTAAACTGTTGGTACCCACCCTTTTGCTGGCATCTCTCCTCAGAGGAGAGCTTATCCCTCATCCAGATGATTAAGGTGAGAAATCTGGGTGCCCAGTCATGGGGACAGTGCCGTCTCCTGCCCAGTGCGGTCTGACTGCTCATAGCATTTGCCATGAGGAACCCTGAGCAATACTGAAACTGAGAGCCTGTGTTCCGCTTTTCTATTTTATTGTATAGAGTGTCCTCTGAAATGTTCCACTGTGTGTTTATGTCTCTCAAGTAAATCTCCCTTTGAAATGTCAACACATCTCTTCAAGAATTCAATTTTTTTTGAGTGTGTGTGTTTCCAGAATTTAAATCATTCATGGCGGTAATTTTCAAAGTTTTCCTTTGTGGATTTCAGCGTTTAGGGTTATGCCATTCTGGACTGTTGCCTGGTACAAACCACCGGGTATCATCAGGAGACCTAAGGGCAGGTGCTCAAACAAGTGTGTGCGTGCACACCTGTGATCCCAGGAGCATCATTTTGAGCAGTTGAAAATGAGAACAGCCCGAGTCCACAAGCAACGAATGAAGGAAATGTGAAGAGACCCTGGTGCCTGGCAAGCTACAAAAGAAGAAGCCACAGCTTCAGCTTCCCAACAGAGAGCCTGAGGAAAGGACACTCAGACACCATTGATAGAAGAGTCAGAAGCTACGCCGGGCGGTGGTGACGCACGCCTTTAATCCCAGCACTCGGGAGGCAGAGGCAGGCGGATCTCTGTGAGTTCGAGGCCGGGCTGGACCGACAGCCTCCAAAACAATACAGAGAAACCCTGTCTCGTAAAACCAAAAAAAAAAAAAAAAAAAAAAGAGTCAGAAGCTGCCTTCTATCTAAGGCCTGGGGTGGGGGTGGGGTTAGGGTTGGTGTGGAGCAGGGCTGGGGGCAGCAGCTTACAGTGTGGATCTCCTTTAGGGATGCAGGAGGCAGAAAGGGGACATTTGAACATCACCACGCTCCCATTCTGTGCACTTAAAAACAGGTTAGGGGCAGGCAGAGCGTCTCAGTGGGTAAAAGGCTCTTGCCACATAAGCCTGGCAACCTGAGTTCAATCCTTGGAACCCGTGTGAATGTGACCGGGGTGAGCCACATCCACCAAGTTATCGTCTGGCATCTACAGGCCGCTGTGTGGCATGCATCCCACACCTCCACACACACAATAATAACTAAATACATCTATGTATTAAAAATAGCTTGTTCTGAGCAGTGGTGGCACATGCCTTTAATCCCAGCACTTGGGAGGCAGAGGCAGGGGGATCTCTGTGAGTTCGAGGCCAGCCTGGTCTACAGAGCAAGTTCAGGACAACCACAGCTACACAGAAAAACAAACAGAAACCCCCAAACAAAACAACAACAACAACAAAACAAACAAAGAAAATACAATTTAAAAAAAGGTGAGCTGGAGAGATGGCTCAGTGGTTAAGAGCATTGGCTGTTCTTCCCAAGGACCTGGGTTCAAATCCCAGCAGCCACATGGCAGCTCACAACAGTCTGTAACTCCAGTTTCAGGATCCAACATCCTTACACAGGCATACATGTAGGCATATAAATAAATGAACAGAAGAACAAAAAGTTTCCAGCACTTGGGAGGCAGAGGCAGGCAGATCTCTGTGAGTTCAAGGCCAGCTGGGTCTACAAAGTGAGTTCCAGGACAGCCAGGATTGCTACACAGAGAAACCCTGTACATTTGTTAATAAAGCACTGTTGGCCAATAGGAATCTAGATAGGTGGGACTAGGAGTCCAGGAGGATTCTGGGAAGGAGAAACACAAGAGAGTCAACATGTAACGCCATGGAGTAGGAGCCCGGAACTATTCTCCGGTAAGAGACATACTTAGATTAACAATTATGGGGTAATTACTTAAGTCAGAGCTAGCCAGTAAGAAACAAGCAAGGCCAACAGCTTCATAATTAATACAGTGTCTTGTGTGTTATTTGGGGACTACAATGCGGCAGAGCCCAGGCGGCTGGCGGGGGATAAACCAAAGCAGCTAGCAAAGAAAAAGCTTCTCGTAACAAACCCTGTCGTGAAAAACAAAAAAAACAAGAAACAAACAAACAAAAAGGTTGTTCTGTAGAGAGAGCTGAGTCAGTAACATGCCTGTCATATAAGCATGGATTTAATCTCCAGAATCCACATTAAAAAAAAAACCCAGATGTGGTGGTACACATTTATCATCCCAATGCTACGAGAGCAGAGGCAGGAGAATTCCTGGAGCTCACTGGAGGCCAGCCAGACTACTCTAAACAGGAAGACACAGGTCCCAGTGAGAGACCCTGTCTCAAATACCCAAAGTGGATAGCTCCTGAGAACCAAAATCTGAGGTCTGCACACACACAAACACACATCAACCAGTAAAGCTGTGAGCACACAAAGTACATTTTCATGCGTGCACACACATGTACACAATCGGGTCGCTTCTATTCACAGTGACTGTCTCACCTCAGCAAAACATAGCAGTTTCTCTGCTCTGTAAAGCACTGGAGTAGCCAGGGCCAGGAGAAGGAAGGTCCCCAAGCAGCCACACTGTTAAAAGCAATGTGCAGAGGACCACCAGAGTTCACCCTCCTCTCCTCTCCTCTGAGCTCCCTGTGTTTTCGCCCAGGAAGAGCATTCCTGGCCTCCTCACCCACCTGTCTGGCGCCTCTTGATCCCCACGCACCATGCCAGATGTCACCTTGCTCCACTTCTGCAGTGGTGACCCCAGGCTCCCAGGGGCTTCCAGGCCCTAAAGCAGAGAATGACACATAAGGCCCACAACCTCTATTCAGTTCAGAGTTGGGCTCCAGCCCCTGCCTGGGGCTTCAACCTGGACTCTCAGAGCATTTGAAAGCATTAGGGGTGAAGAGGCGAGTAGGTCCCTCTAGCCCTGTCTACCCATGGAGACGGCATGCAGGAACTCCCCCAAACAACTACACAGGAACCAAGTTCAGCTAGGAACATTCCCCAACATCGCCACCACCCCAGTCAGGGACAAAAAACGCCCCATGCCTAGCCTCTTCTCTCTGGCAAGGCCTCTGTCCCAGGTAAATGCTTACTACAAGCTGCCCAGAGCCAATGCCATCCCATCCCCTGGGCCCAGCGGCACCACCCACCCACCTGTTGGTAGGCAGTAAGGCAGGCAGAGCGTAGCAAAGGACCACAGGCTCAAAGGCTTGGCCAGTCCCCGCCCAGCACATACCCCAGACTGTACGGAACTGGGAACAAAGGTGACGATGCCGGGGCTTCTCCGGGAGACCACAGGGGCGGCCTTGCCAAGGATGGCCTCTCGCTGCTTCCGGTACACCTCCTGCAGCCTCCGGTTCCTCAGCTCCAGAGTATGTGTGGCCAAGGCCTTCTGCTCCATGGCCTGCTGCCGCCGGGCCTGGGCCTTCCGACGGATGAAGTCACGCAAGGACTCAGAGCTGTGTGGCCGGCCCAGAGATTGCTGTGTCCTTGCACAGGGTGGGGGCTCCTGTGTGTCCTGCTCCTTGGCTGGTTTGCTAGGAGGGAGGCCCTGGGAAGGCTCTGGCCAAGCTAGCTTGGCTTTTGAGGGAGGTGGGACAGCACTTTGGCCCTTGCTGTAGGGACTAGATCTCTGTGTACAAAAACTACTCCAGGGCTGATGGAGAGCAGGCTGTGGCTTAGCCACAGAGCCCCATGGACTGGACCCAGGAACCTCCCAGTCTTTACAAGCTGTGGAAGTCCCCTGTGGACAAGTCTGACCATCCAGAGCACTCCAGGGTCGCTGTGAGAAGGGGCTTGGCTTTTTAGGGGAGCTCCCAGACGTCTGGAAGGCAGTGTCCTGTCCCTGAGCTTCCCAAGCCCTCTGTGGACAGGCCTTCCAAGCCAGGGCACTCCAGGGCCGCTGTGAGAAGGAACTTGGCTTTTCTGGGGTGCTTCCAGGCTTCTGGAAGGAGGTGTCTTGCCCCTGTGCTGTCCAGGCCCTCTGTGGACAGGACTCCGGCTCAGCCATGGCTTTCCCCCAGTGTTGCCGACTCGTCAAGTTTCCAGCCCTGTCCAAGGAAGAGCACTTCCTCTCTGTTGCAGTGCAAGCACTCTTTGAGAAGGAGCCCTGCATGTCCCAGGTGCTTTGAGGTCCCTGTTGCCTCTTCCCTGCCAGGTTCTGTGGCTTTGGCTTTGATGATGAGAGCTTCCTTGCCACCCTGGAGTGTCTGGCAAGTTCCAGACCAGCCTGGATTTGCTGTCGCAGGTCTTGTAGGATCTCCATGGCACCTTGGATAGTTGCTGACTGATCATGGGAAGCTAAGCTGGGTGTGTGCTCACAAGCCTGCTGGTCACCGCGGGCACAGGTAGGCTTAGACAACCAGGTGTGGGTGGGTAAGTCCCCAACAGCTGCTGCTTTCTTGTCAGAGCCTGCAAAGACGGACAACGAAGGGGTCTGTGGGCTGTAGGAAAGAACAGACCTGCTCCTCCATTCGGGGGGCATCATGGGGCGACCAGGGAGGCCCTGGCCTTGGCCCCACAAACTCCCTCTCAGCCTCAGCCCTCGTGATCAGCACAATGGAGGACAGGTGCTGTTTTTGCGTGAGCCGCCAGCTCCACGTGTGTTGGTGGGGTGCACACAGAGGGGCAGCAGGCGGCCCCCACGGGAGTGGCCACTGCCATCTGCTCTCTTCACAAAAGCCCAAGTAGTACATCTGCTCCCAAAGCTGAGGAGAGCCTCTCTCTTCAGGCTTGTAAAGGTAATTATTCCCAAATTTCCATCTCTGAAGGAAATCTTCAGAGGCTGCCAAGCTACCACCCTCCCGGGCAGCACATGCATTTCCTCTGTGCCCACCCACTAATGCCACAGCGACACACACCAGGCTAAGGCTGAGGCATGAGGTACCTAAGTCCGTGGCAGGGACCTTGCCCTGGAGCCGGGGGAGGGCAGGAGGGGGCCCAAGCAGCCGCCTCACCAGGGCTTGTCCTTTTCTCCAGGCGTACACACCAGCCAACTCAGAATCTTAAATAGAAAACACACAGCTGGACCATGGCCCTCAGACCACTGGCAAGGATTCATACCGGAGACAACTTGGCATACCCTGCAAGAGCTCATAGGGAAACCTCTCACATCCAAACCCCTGTGGGAACAAAACCAGATGTTCAGTCACTATCCACCATGGGCGAGGGGAATCTCCGGGTGTTTGATGATGAACCCCCAGGATCCTGCCCAATAGAGAGGGTAATAAAAACTGCACCAGCAGCTCCACCCATGAGCCATTCAACACAGCCCAGGCATACAGCCCGCACTCGACCAGGGACAATGACAAGGCCGCAGCCTCAGATGACACCTGCAGCTGGCCACTGAGCCAGGAGCTCACGCCAGGGCCACAACGGCGGCAATGTCACAGCACACACCTTAGCTGAGAGATTAATGTGCTCTGAAGTTGATCAGAGGCACAATAGTGGGACTGGGATCAGAGACGGCTTTAGGCCTCCTAAATAGTACAGAAAAGTAAATGACCAGCATAGCTGAGCTTCCCTGGACAGACACTGTCATACGATAAACATGACTAATGGACAATCTCGGATTGCATCTACCAGTGTCAACACTGATTGGTCATCATGACAACCCCTGTCACAGGGCCCCACAACAAACGGAAGCAGGTCTTTCACCGATGCTCATATATATGCCCATTCCCACGTGCTCACAAGGCTCATTCTTACACACTCACAAGCTGTACTGCTCAGTTTCACACAGACTCACATACACTCATGTACAGGCTTACACAGGCTCACATGCTCTATGGAAGACTGTGTAAGAAAACTGTGGATGTGGCAGAGCACAGAACGCTCTTGCTGGCCGGGCAGTGGTGGCGCACGCCTTTAGTCCCAGCATTCGGGAGGCAGAAGCAGGCGGATCTCTGTGAATTCAAGGCCAGCCTGGTCTGCAGAGCGAGTTCCAGGTCAGCCAGGACTGTTACACAGAGAAACCCTGTTTTAAAAAACAACAACAATGTATGTTCTTTCTACAGAGACAATGTGGACATGCCAGGTACAGGTGCTCCCATCATGTCCTTGCTTTCAAGTGCATTTACTTATCGCAGTTTACACAACTCTTTCCAGAAGGCCACCTCCTGGTACAAACATTCTATACTCTGCCCATCCACAGATCACAGTAAGCTCACAGTTTTCTTACATGGGCTGTCATAGTGCTCACACACAGATTCACACGGTCACATGCTTCCACTCACACAGGTTCACAGCTCACATATGTCCACATCCTCATATGCTCACATGCTCACACACAGGCTCATGCGTTCATATATGCTCATTCACATTAGCATACATACTTACATATTCACACATGCTCATGCGCTCACAAATGTGCACGCACCCATTCACATACACGATTACGCACACAAGCACCATAGACACATGCTTTTGACACAAGTGTGCACACTCACATCCACACACAGGCTGTCTCACACGCATGCTCACACAGACACAGACATACTACTCTGAATCTAGCCAGTTCTGCAAAACTCAGACCACACATGCTGTGTTCCTGGTCACTTCACCCACGCTTCTGCTCAAGGTGACACTATCTGAGGCTTGGGATCACATCTCTGTGTGGGCTCAGCCAGGACTTGCCCTGTTTCCTCTGGGCAGTACATCACCTCTCAGACAATCCAGGGCACTGACCCCTGAGGGCAGTCTATGAGTCAAGTCCTTCACAACACTCCTCCCTCCACCGACCTGACAGTTGTGAATTAAATCAGCAATCTGCCATGGTTTAGAAAAGTAAGTCCCTGGGGACTGGAGAGGTGGCTCAGTAGTTAAGAGCACTGACTGCTCTTCTCCAGGCCTGGCTGTGATCCCAGCATCCACATGGCAGCTCACTAACAGCAGTTTCCAAGAAACTGACGCCAGCTTCTGGCTTTCTTGGGTACCAGGCACTCAAGTGGTACCCAGACATACATGTAAGCAGAATACCCATGCACTTAAATTTTTTAAATAATATTTTTTAATTTAAAAACATATTGAAAAGTAGTTAAATCATGATAGTTGTAAAATATTCACCTATCCAGGCCAAAGAAAAACTAAGTTCTATATTGCACAGACTGAGTATTCTCTTCAGCCCAAAAGAACTCTGCTGTGCTGAGCTGCCTCGAGCCACTCCCGATTCTCCAGGCCTGAAACTGCCTTTCCTGGGCGGAGGATGGGCTGAACCCAGCCACACCCTCCATGGGGACTGCTCCAGGTCATGCTTTTTCTAGGCCCCAGCTGAAAGGAATTGGAGATCTAAAGAGCATTTGTGACATCAGACACGAAGATACTAAGTCTGGAGTTTGCCCAGCTGGTTTAGGTCTTGCTTTGGTCCGGTATTTCCTCACTATCTTCTCTTTCCTCCATTTCGGAATGGTAATATATATCCTGTGCCATTGTATGTTGGAAGTATGTGACTTTTCTCTTTGATCTTGACTTTATAGGGGATGATAATTAAGAGATTGCATGAATCTCAGAAGAGACTTTGAACTTTGGACTTTTAAACAGTAAAGTCTGTGATGGACTATGGGGACTTTTGAAGCTGGACTCTTGAATTTTTAAATGCATTTTGCATTATGATATTGTTACAAGCTTATGGGACCCAGAGAGTAGAATGTAGAGGTTTGAATGTAATTGGTTCCTATAAGCTCATAGGGAGTGGCACTTTCAGAAGATGTGGCCTTCTTGGAGTAGGTGTGACCTTGTTGGAGGAAGTGTGTCACAGAGGGTAGGCTCTGAGGCCTCCTATGCTCAATCTATGCCCAGTGTAACAGTTTACTTCCTGTTGCCTGAAGTTGTTCAAGATGTACAACTCTCATCTCCCTCCCCAGAACCATGTCTGATTGCATGCTGCCATGCTCCTCCATGATGGTAATGAACTAAACCTCTGAAACTGTAAAACAGCCCCAACTAAATGTTTTTCCTTTGTAAGAGTTGCTGTGAGCTGGGTGGCGGCGCACGCCTTTAATCCCAGCACTCAGGAGGCAGAGGCAGGAGGATCTCTGTGAGTTCATGGCCAGCCTGGCCTACAGAGTGAGTCCCAGGACAGGCTCCAAAGCTACACAGAGAAACTCTGTCTGGGGGTTGGGGGGAGTTGCTGTGGTCATGGTGTCTCTTTACAGCAAGAGAAACCCTAGTTAAGACAGCACCCCAGGGGGCTGGAGAGATGGCTCTGGGGTTAAGAGCACTGACTGCTCTTCCAGAGGACTCAGAGTCAATTCCCAGCCCTCACATGGCAGCTCACAAGTATTTCTAACTCAAAGATCTGACACCCTCACGCAGACACAGATGCAGGTAAAATACCAATGCACATAAAATAAAATAAATTACATAAAAAGACAGCATCCCCAAATCAGTTTGAAATCAAATGCATCATGAATCCAGGATGTTTCTGGCTGTGTTTATCCATGTTAGGTCACAAAGATTCATAGCAGCCTCAGTTCTGAACACACAGCATACATACTGTACATGACATCATTTCACACAATTCCAGCAAATACAACCTGAAACACCTCAGCTAGATTCCAGATCACTGCATGTCATAGACTGCAATGATTTTACTATACACATAAAGTTTTCTGTTCTTATAGAGACAAAGTGGTTTTATTATTTAAAAAATGCATTTTCCTATGATCATTCCTCAGTATGTAAGTCTCAAATGGATTATATTTGTTAGAGTGTTTGATTTTTTTTCCAAGACAGGATTTCTCGATGTAGTCCTGGAACTCACTCTGTAGACCAGGCTCGCCTCTAACTCAGAGATTCACCTGCCTCTGCCTCTTGAGTACTGGGATTAAAGGTGTGTGCCACCACTGCCCCAAAGAGTATTTGACCTTTAAAATTGCTATTTGAGTTTCTGACTTGAGTTTCACTTGAAAAACAAATCCTTGAGGTGCTGGAGAGACAGGTCAGTGGTTCACAGCACTGGTTGCTCTTCCAGAGAAACCTGGTTTGTTTCTCAGCACTCACATGGTGGTTTACAACTGCCTGCAAATCCAGTTCCAGGGGATCAGCCAACCTCTTCTAGCTTCCAGAGGTACCAGGCACGTACATGATAAATACACATACATGTGGGTAAGACACTCATATGTAGAATAAACTTTAAAAAACCTGCTAAGTGGACTTTGGTTGGAGATTAGAACAGAAGTCCCAACAATTTCTGAAATAGCCTAAACACATTCATTCTTCGCACATACTTATGTGGAAAATCAATCAGCTCTGAAAAGCCTTGAGGAGGCTTTTGTATCCTGCAGTGTCAAATATTCAGGAAAGATTTAATCCTTTGCGCAAAAATGTGCAAATAAAAAAAGCACAGGTATCCCATTAGTATGCAAAAGTGCTTTTTGTCTTAATAGATGGTTGCATAACTGAATGGAGACAGTTTAAGACATTCTGCTGCAGAACAGGACACCAGGCCAAGAAAGCTTAACACTTGGGCCTCGTAGTCCCAGACATGGGGCTAACCCCAGCTGCTGTTCATCAGTTACGATGAAGGGCAAGTGCCTAGACTTCTCCATCTATAAGAGGGGAATGTTCTAGCAGGCAGATGGGAACACAAGCTGGATTCTGCAGCCTCAGGGAGACGTTGTTTAGCGGGGCAGGCCACATCCAGGCTTCAGTAGGGGTGGAGACGGTTGAGCTTCCCGAGAAGGCATCTCAGTCCACCTGGTCATGCGCTGTCTCTGCCAGGCACTGGGCCAGAGGCCCCACGCAGGGAGGACGGCCCCCACTGGCCTCTCACAGTAATCCAGACTCCCCATTAGCCCACCAGAGAAGCCCTGGTCGATAAATGGGTCCTGATGGGCACATTTTTTTCTTCTGCTGAGCAGTTTAATGGCAATTAATTTTTTTACGGGAGGATTTTTAATCTGTGGAAATGGATGGAGTCCCCAAGTGCCCTGTCAAAGCTCCAGACCGACCTAATCTATGATAAAAAATGCAAAGCGAGGTGATATAATCTGAAATTAAATATCGGGCTTCATTTTCCTTTGGCCCGGATGGATGAATATTTTATAACTATTGTGATTTAATTTTTTGTTAACTACAGCAAATTTCTAATTCATCCAATTCCCAAGTCTTGTGGCTCTGACCCCTGAACTCAAACTCATCTCTCCTTAGCCCAGCTGTGGCTTCGTCACTGACAGAAACTAATGGTCACTACCGTCAGGGTGACACAGTGACTGCTATGATGAATGCAGCCGTGGCATGCCCTCTGACCCCGTGTCAGGCAGACGGCAGGTCATTTTTCAAGCCAGCCATTAAAGCAAGACAACAGGAAGCTGGGGGCAAGGCAGACGATGATGCAGAAGATGTCTGTATTTTGTGCACTTTCACGGGTCCTTCCAGATTCTTGTAGTTTCAGGGTTTCTCCCTTTTGGGTAGTGATCTCCCCACCTGGGAAGTCTTAATTAAGTATTGCTGAGCCCAGGCTGGAACAAAGGGCTCAGGCATGGTCTCAAATACACCTGGCTCTCAAGCAGGGAGCCCAGGTCTCTGCCCGTGTGGCCCTGAGCAGGCTGCCAAACCTCCCTTGGCCTCAGTTTCCACATCTACAAAATGGGAGCCAACCTACCTCACTCTCAGCACACCTCAAAGACATCTGAGACCCTTCCTGGCTCCCTTCCAACAGTCTCAAAATACTCAATCTGCCCTTTCTCTGGGGTACATGGATCCAGCTGGATGGAGGGAGTCCTTCAGTTCACCCCCATAAGCCACAGAGGCAGCACCCTGGCTGGGAGGCTGGGTATCTATGAGCATCCAAGCTCAGGGAAGGGGTGCCCTAGATAGAAGCCCATCAGCCCACCTGCCACCCTCAGGGTCACTGACTAGATCCCCTGAGGACCTGCCATAGAGTTGACAGCCACCTAAGTCAGGGTGGAGCACTTGCAGGAAGCTCACAGAGCCCCATCAAGCACGCTTCCACCTACAACCCTGGATCCCAAATCAGGGAAGACACATCTTCTTCCAGCTACCTGCCGAGAAGGGCAGCCAAGCGTCCTCAACGCACCTCAGACAAGAGGAGAGGCGGGGCTTCCACGGTCCCCCATCTTTCCAGCATGTCTCTGCTCTGAAGAGCAATGGGCTGAGAACATTTGGAGTGTGGTCAAACGGCTTGATGTCCGTCCAGCCTGCAGGAGCTTAAAGGACAGCTCACAGGGCCTGGGGAGTTGTGGGCTTCCCCTTCACAGGAGGGACTCTCAGAGCTCAAGGCCCCCAAGCATCCTTGCATGTGGCAGAGCTAGCAGCCAATGTCCCCAACACAGAATCAAGAGCCTTATGTCACCCTCCCCAGCTGCAATTGCAGACTCTGTGATCCCAAGTAGCAAACCTCACCTCTGCCTCTGGCAGTTCTGCGCAGGACAGATGACTTCGGGATCTCTCTTTTGTAAGAAGCACTTCTGATCCTTTTGATGTTTGTCCTTGGAACTGAGAGAGGAGAGGGGAAGAGAGGGAGCAGAGAGCCTTAATCAGACAACCTGCAAGTAGGCAACATGCTCACCCCAAGGAAATCCAGGTACAGCATCTTTGCCCTGGACATGGCTTCTACCAGGGAAGGAAGATGGAGGCCGGAACTAAAGGGTCCAGTCTCTGACTGACAGACATGGTGACATCACTCTGATGGGGGAGAGCCCCTTCAAAGCCCCACAGCAAGTTTATTGACCAACCACAGTGGACTCATCCATTTGGGAGGCTGAAGCAGAGGCCATTTGGAAAGCCAACCTAAGCTATGTAGAGAGGTCCTGTCTAAACAGGAAAGAGGAAGAGGACTAAAAGGGGAAGAGAGAGGAAGAAGAGAGGCAGGGGGAGGAAGGGGAGAGGGGAGGACATGTCCTGTGGGATTCCTGTGATGTGACATGCCCAGGGTAACCAGATCTAGAGATAGGAAGCAGAATAGAAGCCACAGGGTTTCCTGCATCTCCTGGTCCCAGAAGAAGAGGGAAGGAAAGTGTGACACCAGTGAGCCTGGGAGGGCTGTGACTTCTGCATTCTGAACTTGACCAGTAACCACACTCGTGGTATGGAAGAAGAGATGACTTATCTGACAGCTGATAGAGCAGCATTTCACGAAGGCAGAAGAGAATTTAGAGCAAGGCTCGAGAAGGTCCTGTGTGACCTGCCCATCAGGCAGCTTGGGACCCTACCTACATCTGCCGTTGACTCACAAGCACAAGGCAGGGTGTGCCCCTAATACGCCCATGGCTGTGGCTGCTGTCCAGCAGGTGACGACTGGAGTTCTGCCTTTACTCTAGCTTTGCTAGGGATCTGCCTCTCCCCACTTCCTCCTTCCGTGTGAAACCCTCCTATTCTCCTGAGATGGAGAACCTGGAGGCCCCAAATGCCCAGGGTCTACACGATCTGGGGGAGTCCCAAAGCACCTGTGCGCCTATGCCTCCCCTCCTCCCCACCCTCCTCCTACACAACATCCAGCAGCCCCTGAGCCCAACATCCTCAGACAGGGCGGAGGCTCCTGCCCCTCTCCATCCATGCTCCTTTTCTGCTAATCAGAAGAGTGGGCAAAACCCTAGCTGTCGTGATCTGAGTCTTCTGACCCACCACCCATCTCTCAGCACCCCGGAGCCAGGCAAGGCCATCCTGAGCTCTGCCTTCCAGCTATGAAATGGAACAACAAGCCTCAAGGCTGGCAGGGATCGGGAGGTGTAGGTTCAGAAAGGGGCTGGCCTACAAGGCTGTGGGAAGGACCTGGCCTCTGTACAGAGGCTTGCTGTTGCTAGGAGACAGTCACTGCTTTACATCCCTACCTTGATTCCTTCACTCCGAGAGGCAGAGAATGAGAACACAGGCTCCGGAGAATGGCAGGATGTCACCAAATCTCTGAGTGACCCCTGTCTAGCCAGGGTCCTTTCTGACCATAAGTGTCCTTATTAGCCTCAGGGTCCAAGCTAGAGCCACTCACCTGAAGTATGGCGCTGGGGAAACCTTGAGAGCTCCCGTCCCAGGCTGAAAGGTGCCCTGTCTTTGCTTCTATGTTCAGCTGCATGAAGAAGGTCTGACCCTGGAGAAGAAAGGAAAAAGAGCAGAGTGAAATAATTTCCAGAGTGGAGTTACGGTTTAGAGCCTTTAAATTGTTCCTCTGCTCAACACCTCAGGCCAGAAAACACACCTCACAAGGCCATCGCTTTCTTAACTATGAGCAGAGCCATCTCACGGGCAAACTTTCTCCTTTTTGTACAGTCTGGGGTCCAAGCCCAGGGAATGGTGTCACCCATAGTGGGCACCTCAATTAATACAACTGAGATAATCCTGGGGTCAACAAGATGGTTTAGGGGGTAAAACCACATGGCCAAGTAAGTTTGGTAACCTGAGTTCAATCCACAGAACCCTCATAAAGATGGAAAGAGAGAATAATGTCACAAAGTTGCCCTCTGACGTCCACACACTTGCCATGGCACACATGCCCACCACACACATATATCATGCATACACACAAGATTTTGTTTTTAAAGTTCATCTCCCATAAGCCTATTGCCCAGGTGATTGTACATCTCAAGTGATGGGGATGTCCTTCTGTATATATTTTCTATAATTGGTTGATGAATAAATACTGTTTGACCAATAGCCAGGCAGGCAGGAAGCATAGGCGGGGCGACCAGACCAGGAGAAGGCTGGGGAGAGGAAGGCAGAGGGAGGCCACAGAGAGAGGTCGTGTAGCCCCCAGAGGAGTAACAGGTTTGGGCATTCTCCGATAAGCCAAGACCACATGAAAATACATAGATTGACCGGGCAGTGGTGGCACATGCCTTTAATCCCAGCACTCTGGAGGCAGAGGCAGGCGGATCTCTGTGAGTTCAAGACCAGCCTGGTCTACAGATCGAGTTCCAGCACAGCCTCCAAGGCCACAGAGAAACCCTGTCTCGAAAAACTAAAAAAAAAAAAAATAAAGAAAAGAAAATATATACATTAATAGCTATGGGTTAATAATTAAGAGAGAGCTAGCCATTAAGAAGCCAACAGTTTATAAATTAACATAAGTCTTTGTGTGTTTATTTGGAGTTAATCAGCTGCAGGACCAGGCTGGAAAGAAATACCAGCAACACTCAAGTTGACAAGTGACTTTGGCATAAGCTCAGAAGACCAGAGTACTAATATCAATGTAGATAGTAAAGTCTGTGCTCTTGAGGGTCTGGGTCCTGCAAGGAGTTAGACTTGAGGATGTATGTATTGCATGGCAGCAGAGAGCTCAGCTGCATTTTGTCTTCACCCTTGAGACCGTGTATTAAAAGTGATGAATTATTTAATTTCACAGAAGAAATTCCAAGGCAACCCAGTGTTCAGGCTACAGTATGGGTATCGCTAGCTTTTCAGCCAGGTTTACAGTGAGAATCAGAAGCAAGAAGCAGAGAAGGATTGGAAAAGCCTTATGTACAGTTGGAGCTGAGGATCATCTGGATGAAGATTAATTTCAGGAAAGAGCTGCTGGGGCACCCTGCTTGCAGAGGAACACCCAGACATCAGACACCAATGAAACCAAAGTCCAAGTGGGCCCACTTAACTGCTAAGCTGGTAGCAGACCTTAGCATTGTCCATATGATGCTGGTTGTGAGGCACGTAGGTTGTGAGGCACATAGGTTGTGAGGCACGTAGAACTCAGAGATAATGAGCTTGTGGAGGCTCCTGCTGAGATTTTAAAGCAAATCTTGGGAGGCAAGGTCAAGATCCCTGCAAATGTATTGCCCTTGGAAGGGTGGGGCCTGAAGCTCTGGAGGTGGAGTTTAAGCTGCAAAGATGACCCCGGGAAGTTAGAGATTCCAGGGCAAAGAAGACCCCGGGAAGTTAGAGATTCCAGGGCAAAGAAGACCCCAGGAAGTCGTTAGAGATTCTAGGGCAGCAGACTTACTGAGGAAAGCTGCAGGCAGGTAAGCACAGGCAGCCCAGGAACGGGAACGTGGGGGATGCAGCTCATGTCATGTTCCCATGCGCCCCGAATGCTGGACACAAACCTACACACTACAGGGGCTGGGCAGACAGCTCAGCAGCTAAGAACACTTGCTGTTCTTGCAGAAGATACTGGCTTGGTTCCCAGCTCCTCCTCAGGCAGCTCATACTGATGTGTTTACGTGAGCTCATAACTGTTTATATACTCCAAATCCCTCTTTTGGCCTCCATAGGCACCAGACACACATGTAGTGCACATTCAGATACACAGGCAAAGCACTACATACATTTTAAAAAGACTTTTAAGGTGGCTACCATCTCTTTTACAGCATCACGGCTGCCCTCCGCCCTCTGGTGAAGCCCAAAATCGTCAAAAAGCGGACCAGGAAGTTCACCCAGCACCAGTCAGATGGATGTGTCAAAGTTAGACGAAAATGGCGGAAACCCAGAGGTATTGACAACAGGGTTTGGAGGAGATTCAAGGGCCAGATCCCGATGACCAACATTGGTGACCGGAGCAACAAGGAAACGAAGCACGTGGTGCCTGGCGGCTTCCGGAAGTACCCGGTTCACAACGCCAAGAAGCTGGACGTGCTGCTGGTGTGCAACAAATCTTAGAGTGCTGAGATTGCTGACCGCGTTTCCTCCAAGTACAGAGAAGCCATCGTGGAAAGAGCAGCACAGCTGGTCACCAGAACCGCCGATTCCAACGCCAGGCTTTGCAGCGAAGAAAATGAGCAGACAGCTGGTGTGCGTGTATTACTTGCGCTTGAATAAAATCACAAAACTGAAAAAAAAAAGAAACTTTCACCGGGCATTGGTGACACACGCCTTTAAACCCAGCACTCGGGAGGCAGAGGCAGGTGGATCCCTGTGAGTTCAAGACCAGCCTGGTCTATAGAGTGAGCTCCAGGATAGCCTCCAAAGCCACAGAGAAACCCTGCCTCAAAAAAGAAAAACAAAACAAAACAAAACAAAAAAACTTTTAAAAATTTAAGCTATAGAATATATTTTCCCTGATAGTTTCCATCTCAGTTTGGCCTAATACCTCTTTGATGTTTCTCTGTTCTCTTTTGAAATGGACACATTTAGCTCACATCATTGCATCTTGGGAAAACAAAACTTTCTGCCTGGAGTCTCAAAGGAAAATTTGATAGGGCCTTTTAGCAATTCTAGGACCTTTGAGCTTCTTGAAGATAGGCTAAGTGGGTTTTTGCTCTGAGGTAAGCCTTCAGAGTCCAGGGCAGAATGGTATGGTTTTTTGATATTAAAAGGTCTCAAAATCTCCGGTGTTGAAGGCTTGATCCCAAATCGTGACACTACCTGAGGTGACCAGATGCTAATTCTGGGGATGAGTTAATTCATTGATGGGTTTCTAGACAAACAGGCTAGGGGAGCCTGATGGGAGTATGTCTTTGCAGGGAACATCTCATCCCTGGATCCCTTTATCTTTTTCTCTCCGCTTCCTACTTACTGTGCGATGTGCAGACTGGCTCCGCCACGCCCTGGCATCACGTGTGCCGGTTGTGCTGTGCCGCGGCCCTGTACCATGATGCCCTGCCTCACAGAAACAATGGGCAGAGCCCATTGAAACACAGACCAAAGAAAATCCCCCTCTTCCAGGTTCCTTTTCTCAGATACTTTGTCCTCAGAGAGCTGGCCAGGGCAATCTCAGGGGGAAGGCACGCGGGGACTGGTGATGAGTTTTGTTTCTTCCTCTGTATTTAACTTTCAAAAATAATGACTCCTTGAAAGAAAGTCACAGAAGGACAGTCCTGTGGGATCCCATTTCTGTGAGGTGCACACAGTCATCAAACCCATGGACAGGAAGCAGAAGGTAGGTTCCAGGGTCTGGGGAGGGGATGGGGCTGTTGGGGTTGAGTATGAAGGATGGGTCATGTTAGAGAAGGCTGGTGGTGAGGCTGTATAACAAGGAGCGGATGCCTATAGCAAACAGAACACTTTTAAATGGTGAAGATGGGGCTGGCGAGAGGGCTCTGCAGGTAAAGGTGCTTGCTGCCAAGGCGCAAGAGCGTCTTAAGTTCTAGTCCCTGGATGGATGGTGGAAGGAGAGATCCTAACTCCTACAAGCTGTCCTCTGAGACACACACACACACACACACACACACACACACACACACGAATGAAATGAATTTTTTAAACAGTAAGACAACTAATTTTATGTTATGTACTTTACCATGTTTTTTAAAAAACGAGCTACTGCCTTAGAAAAGAGATCCCTCCCCCACTTAGAGAAACCCCTGAGCCGATGCCTAGCTTCCAGCGTCTCTGACAGGAAGATCCAGAAAACACAACCTGTCTGGCTTGTGGGTAGCAGGTGGGCCCTCCGTCCCACACTGACTTTGCTGGTTGCACCTGATGGCGCCAGGATTGTTTAAATGGCCCCCTAGGGCTGCAGAAACAAACAAGGACACCAGGTCTTTTCTACGCCTCCCACGGGCTCTCTGGGTCTGTTTCCCAAGGCCTCATCCCTCTCATCCCCTTACTGACACCACGATGAACTTTCTTCACACTCACTTCAGCTCGGAAGCCCCACCCCAAGCTGCACTGGCATCCCAGACCTCAAACCTCTTTGGGGACTGTAGGAGCATATGACATGTAGCTCCCATGTCTGTCCCTTGTGCCTCAATCACCACAACCTGGCCTGAAACATCACCTTCTTTCCCACAGCCCATGGTCCGCACCAGCTGGGCAAAGCAACCACTGACCTGGGCAAGTAGTCACTGGAAGAGCGTTTGTCACCTTGGGAGTCTTCCGTCGTAGCATTGTCGAGGAGGTCTTATAGAGGCACGAGGCACTAGAGGGCACAGAGGTACCCAGGGAGGCACAGCTAGCCTGCCACTGTGCCTGGGCTCGAATCTTGTCCCTCAACTGCTCCAGACGAGGATTACTCTTCCTGGGCTGACGCTGGGGCCCCAACACCAGGGGTGGCCTTTCTTTCCAGGGCCCATGGAAAGGTGCACATGATTCATGCCCTCCTGAGGAACCCGAGAACCGACCAGATGACACCGAGCTGTTCACATCCTTGGTGTCCAAGCATGGAGACCACATTGGCAGGCTGCAGGCCTTCATGTGGGGGCCTGGCTCCTTGATATAATCAGACCAGGCCACATAGGGAGCTGACCGAAGAGTACCCAGCTTCTGGGGAAGCACAGGACACCTCAGTGTGGCCAGAAGACCGTCCTTGGCTGCATGCGGATGGAATGCTTCTTCCCTTGGAGAGAGCAACAGCACAGCCAATTAGAGCGGAATCTCAGATGGAGTCCTGTAATCCCCAGAACCCTGTCTCCCTGTTTCGACCTCACAGCTTGGGAAAGACAGGAGGGACCAGAAAATGCCCCTACCATGGGGATGCCCTGGCATTCTCCCTCAGACACTACCCGCAACCTTTTAACGTAGGTACCACAATAAATTCAGTTTATGAATGAGAAAACTGAAGTTAGGAGTGGCCAGGTCAACCCCAAAGGCACAAGCAGGTTTTGGCCAGAGACCCACACACTCAACCCACCTCCCACAAAGATGCCGCCCCTGGGGGAAGGTGACCACACAATGAATAACAGTACTGACAGTCCTGTTCAAGCCCACACAAACACTACCTGGCCTTGGTGCTGGCCTCCTGATGGGCCAATCTCCCTGAGGCCTTGAGGGAGTAGAGACCTTCTTGCTGGCTGTCCCTGGGGCAGGTCTGCAGGGTTACCCTTCGGGAGATGGGCAGCATACCCATGGCCGGGGTTGGCATTGCAGCTGAGGCAGGAGGGTATGGATGGCAAGCCACACCACCAGTGGGTCTGGGTCTAAGAATTTAGTCACATGGTAGCCTATAGGTCTACCACCCAGCACCCATCATGGACAGGCTACTGCCTTGCTCTGGGTACTGTCTAGTATGGGTCCTCTGGTCCTCGGGACAGTCATTGAAGGTGGGTAGGGACAATGAGTATTAGCCTTGGGTAGACAATGGCTGTGGGACTTCCAGATGGGGCTGCTTCTCATGGGTGGGAGAGAATTCCAGGTGGCCCATGACAGCATAATAACCCCGTGTCACTGAGTGACAGCCTGAGGTGTCAACCCCTACTTGTGGCACTAGCAGACATCCAGCTATCCCTGACATTGTAGGGGCTGACATTCAACCGAGACTTCTGGAAGTTAATATGGGGGGAAGGATCGAGGTTCTGTGGTTGGTAAACCCTGTGCTTAGCACAGCTCAAAAGACAAAGGACTTGAATCCCAGCGCGAAGCAGGATAACCTTGGACACCAGGGATCACACCCTACCATGAGGACTGTGGGCACCTCACAGGCTCTTTGCTGCCTCACCTCCTCCCTGTTGACTGGGAAGGGAAGGTGTCGACAAGATTAGGAGTCTTACCAGGTCTGGGCCTTTTCTTCCCAAGCGTCCCCAGAGAACAGAAGACTACAGCAGCAAGAAAAATACCCAAAACTTGACTTTTCTTTCCCTTAATGGTGCTGGAGACAGTTCACAGGGATTGTATGTGTTGGGTGAGCCCCTACCACTGAGCCTGAGACTGTTACTAAATGACCTGATGTAGGGATGGGGTCACAAGTCCCTGAAGACAGTGATCCAAGGACGGAATGCCTGATTGTGAGGGGAGGCCACCCACACCAGTTCCTAGGTGCTCCCTCATAGCCAGGACATTGTGGCACAGAACAGACAGGACCCAGAGTTGAGTCCCAGGGCGCTGGACAGACCTGGTGCAAGCTTTTCCAAGAGAAGAGGAATGAGGCAAGATCCTCTGAACAGATGGGGAACACGGTGAGGTGGGGGGAGTGGGAGCTGGGAAGAAGAGAGGGGGAGAAGAGGAAGAAAGAGTATGTCATGGGGGAACAGGAAAGTTGAGTGGGGGGTAGAATAGGGGGAAGAGGGAATCATAGGTTAGAAGACAGATCAGGCGCCAGTGTGACCTCTAGTGATCTAAAGCAGTAGTGGAGAGACCACCTTGAATGCCCATTCCTGATAATGAACTTGATGTCCATAACCATCCTGGAGCCTTCATCCAGTGAGTGATGGAAGCAGAGGCAAACACCCACAGTTAAACACTGAACTGAACCCAAGGAACCCAGTGACAGAGAGAGAGGAGCGATGAGCAAATTGGCAAAGAATGGTCTGGACCCGTGACCGGGGTCTGATATTGCTGTGGGGCTGAGGCAGGGGGATGTGGAGGGTGAACCCTGCCGCATGGGGGCATAGGTCTACTAGTACAGTATGTGTGTGCTCCTCTTGGCAGTAGTAACTACATGGTTCTGCCCTAACTGCCCTGGCCTAGAGTCAGTCCTGCCTGGGCTCATCTGCTGTCGCGGGCAGACCTGGAGCAGACCCCATCCGTATGTTCCTTGACGACATTTGCAAGAGATCAGTGGTCTATGAGCAGACTGCAGGGTGGCATCAAGTAGCTTTAGATGTCTGGAAAACATGTAGGCTTTCTAGACTTTTCCAAAAACGCTCCAAGAGATGGCAGGTACAACTGACTAGAGAGACAATTAGGATTATACCAGACTGGGGCATGCTAGCCCAAGCCAGGACACAAGGAAGCTGGATCATACCAGGGAATGACCACACCACCCTGGGGCCTTAGAGAGCTCTGGTTTAGAATTCTCTGCTCCAGAGAGCCTCCCCAGAAGGTTCCTTGTAGCCTTTGCTATCCTTTCTCCCACCTTACTGCCTGTAAGAGGGTGGGACAGGGGCAGCCAAGCTCTAGAGGGTTGAACCTTTGTTATCTAACAGTTTCTGCCAAGATTGAAGGAAAGCTTTTAAGCTGTGAGGTAAACAACTCAAAATAGCTCCAGGAAGTTCCTGAAACTGACCAGATTTTCTAGGTTCTTTGCTGCCAGAGTAAGCAATAAAAGACTTCTCTCAGAGATGCCAAGCTTCAAAAAACAGCTGCCTGCAAGAAACAGACACCAGCCGAGCAGTCACTTTTAGACCAGTCACTACGAAAGGACACTTGGCAACCTGTTGAGCTGCTTGCAGACTATGTATTGTACTCCAGTTTCTCAGCTTTTGTAAACTCTCATGAGGTGGCCCTTGGTAATGTAGCTGTCTTTGAGTCATTTCTGCTCCTATAAGTAACCCCAGTAAAACTAATTGGCTCACCGAGCTGGACTTGGTGGTATCCCTACTTTGGTCTGTCGTGGGCTCCCTATCTGGGTAATTAGACTTGTGCTATGTCTCCCCAGGAAAAGTTTTGTTGTTTTGTTCTCCTGGAGGCAGAAGGACAGGGTGGTTCTGAGCCCAGGAGAAGTGTTTCGTCACTGGGTTAGGAGCCCTGCTTCCCACCCACAGGAAGCTTCCTCGGGGCTAAGCTGTCTCCACTAACTGGGGTTTGACTTGTCTGGAAGAAACCGCACCATAAACACAACATTAGCCAGAGTGAGTACTTGACTGTTGCTTCAAACTAAGCTATTAAAACAAATGTCTTCTGAGCAGAAAAATAAAACCCTGTAGGCCGGCTCCCACCCACCCTGTGGGAGCAGTGCCACCATCCTGCAGGCCAGGAGCTCCCGCGTCTCCCATGCCACCCTGCAAGTTTGGCACTCTGCCCTTCCTGGTCTCCCTCGGCCTTGGCATACGTCCTTTCTCCCAGACCATGTTCACCCGCGAGGCTTAGCTGCAGCTCCAAATTGGACCACAGGCCAAGGTCACCAGGGTTCCCTCTTCTGATACCCAGTCCACAGCAGGATAAAACTATACTGTTAAAGCAGCTGGCTGGTCAGAACTGCCCTGTGCCTGACTTAGGGTAACTAGGAGCAAGGCTTTGTGGCCTCTGGGTAAACTACAGCCTAGGAAAAGTATCACACGTGCCAGCAGCATCTCAGTCAACCTAGATATTGCAAGGCCTGGAGGTCTGAGCCCCTCATGACCCTGCCTTACTAAGGCATCATTTCCTCTGCCTCCATCCATGTGAAACACTAGCACAGCTCTGAAGGCCACACACATCCCCATCCTTCCTGCACCCCCCTCACTTCCCTTGGGAGGGTGGTCCCTTCCATCCTACTGAGGGCCTGGGTTCCCCACATTGATCCCACATGGGTGCTACTGGCCAGATCCCTTCTGCCTCCCTCAAAGGACAGGGACTCCTCAGGGATGAGCACAGCCTCGCTAGCAGCCAGCACTGGCCATGTCCCTTTTATATAACATCCACAGAGTCCCCTGCAAGGCTTGGGCACTGTGCTGGCCACTGATGGCTTTGACCTTGCATCATTCTTCGACAGTCTTGTGAAGTCTGTAACAGAGGGACCAAGTCACACGTCTAAGGTCCTGACAGAGTCATAGTCCAGGATACCAAATCCTCTCTACAATCCACCAGAACCCTGTGGCCAACAGCAGCAGCAACCACTGGTGGGAGCACGTAGAACTTCACCCAAGATGAAGGGAAGGGGCGGGAGCATCCAGCAGAATGGTCACATGCCTTCTGTGCAGCAGAAGGGGGCTCCCTCCGGTGACCTCAGACAACCAGACAAGTCGTTTAGAGCTCTCAGCCTAGGCAAGCTCCTTAGTAGGGCTCGTGGGATGCCAGCAATGCACAGATTTCAAGGTGCTCACCTGGTTGGGCATAGAATAATAATTAAAAATATGCTAGAGCCCAGACCGGGACACAGTACATTGTCCGGTTCCTCCATGAACCGTGTAGGCACAGCTAAGAGTGACAACTACTCAACAGCATAGCCCAGGAGGCACTGCCCCCAGTCCCCTGCGACTGAAAAGCACACAGGCTTCAGCCTGCAGCATATGCTATGTTTAGGCTATAGTCTGGGTGGGCAGGTGGCAGCGGGTGGGGAGGGGCTTTCTTCTGGAAACCTGCAATGACTCTAATTAACCCCATTGTTTATTTCTCACCACCTCCTCCCAGGAAAAGCAAACCCAGTGCAGTCAGTGAACCGTGAAGGGGAGCAGGGCACCACACCCACCACCCTGGGGGCCCCTAGGGCTTGATACCTCAGAGCACTCCACAGCAACCTCGACTCAAATCTGGCGTCCTCACGTTGGCATGGCACCCAACTGCCAACATGACCGCCCAGACTGCAGCCTGATCAACAACCCCAGCTGCCACAGCCCTACCCTGAGCACACCATAGAGCTGACGGCCAGGAAAAGGAGCGGAGCCTCTGGCTTCTAACAAGAGCACCTTGCTTTCTGCAGGCCAGAGGAGGTCCCAGCTGGCAATAAGGGGCAGATGGCAGGAACACCCTGTGTGTAAAGCACAGTGCTTTTCCGTGACACACAACACGCACATCATATGCACAGCACACACACACACACACACACACACACACCAGCCAACTCTGTGGCTGGGGGTGGGGGTGTTTGATTTGGGTGCACTTCTAAATCGGGTGAGCCTATCTCTCTAGCCCCACAGCCTGTTCCAACACAGACTGCTCTCCAGGGAAGCCAACTGATCTGAGCCCCAGGGGCCAAAGGCCAAAGGCCACACAGAGGTGGCGGATGCAAGGGTGGAAACTAGTCAGTACAATAGCGATGACCTGGGAAGGGTGCCGCCATTCAGGCGGGCAGATGGGAGTGCTGAAAGGGTGGAGATGAAGCCCATAAGTGGCCTGGACACACACGGCTGTCCTCTCCTCAGCGGGGGCTGGCAGGAAATGCAGGCACAGGTGCAAGGAGCGCTCCTGCATCCGCCTCCTGAGCCCAGTCCTGCAAAGCCCCTCTGCTAGGCGACCAAGAACTGTGACACAGCAGCCCCGATAAAGCTTAGGAGACACTATCCCCGCCCACCTAGGAGGTGGGTGACCGAGGACCCACGCCATAGAGTGAAGGCCCACGAGAAGAGACCCCCCCCACCCACTACCAGCACAAGCCTGTTCAACAGGAAGTGAGGGCCTGCCAGCCCTTCCGTTACTGACCCTCTGCCCTGCCTTCACAGCCAACAACAGCAGTCCCTGCTGAACAGGCCACTGGTAGTCCTCAACTGCTGGGGGCGACAGCAGTT